CAGTCGGAAGGGTCGTGACAGTCGCGAAAGTCGTGACGTTCGCGACATTCATGAGGGTCGTGACGGTCGTGATGGTCATTAAAGGCCTGAGGGTTGTGACAGTCGTGATAGTCGTGAAGGGTCGTAAGGATCATGATAGTCGTAAAAGGCGTAGGGTCGTGACATCTTGACGCCCACAAGAGGCGTGACGATCGTGACCAGGTCCAGGTGAAGACGTGATGATCGTGAAAGTTGTTGTTCCCTGATCAAAAGAGTGCGGGAAGCTGCTGCACCCAAGTCGCAACGCGATCTGCGGCGGATCTCGCTCTAAGCGCCACTTCGCTCCACTTTGCGACAAGGCAGGTCTGCGAGAATGACCAAAAGCTAGAGGCCGTTGCTTTTGACACGATGACCTGGCGCGATTGACCAGGATGGCCCTCTCGAGCGCGCATGCCAATCATAGCGAAGGTGTCGCAGTGCTTGCTGAGCAGCGAGGAGATGGTGACAGGCTCTGGGACGGCCGGAGGCTTTCCAAGCAAGGCCATGACCAGGGCCTTGCTCTGGGCCCTCAATGTCACTGGTGGCAAGGGCGGGCGGATGTGCGACATTGCCAGTTCTGGCAGTCTGTCAAGAGCGACCAACCAGTCCTTGAACATTGGGCCTTGCGCAGACCTCAACGCGACCAGCCCCAGAGCAGCAAGGACAATCAAGGGAAGCACAAGCATCCAGCAAATGCTCATCCACCAAGAGCAGCTAGCCCGCTGCACTGCAGCTGCCTCGATTCTTGACTTGAGAGCAGCAAAACAACGCGCATTGTTGCGCTCCCTTTCTGCCCGCTCCTCTGCTGCTTCACGCCTAAGCTTGGCAGAGACTTTGCTCAATTGCGCATCGACAGATTGCCAAAAGGTAGCCAAGTCCCTTGGCATCGCCTCAGATGCTCTCTGGAGAGCTTGGCAAAGATCCTGCAGCTCTTTGCTAAGGGCGTCGATGCGCTCGTTGGCAGCAGGATCTTTCTGGACTTGCATCTGCTCCAGCAAGTCCATGCGCAAGGCGAGGGCATCGTTGGAGGTGTTGATTTCCCCTCAAAGAGCCGCAATATCTTGCTTGACATCAAGGAATGACTCCTTGACGTCTTGTTGGAGCAAGTTGTGCTGATCGCACACTTGCTTCACGTGCTCTCGAGATCACTCACTTGTGGCAAGTCGATACTTTCGGCTTCATCTTTGGCGGGCTGGCCCTGACCGTTGCCATCATCCGTCTGCACGGAAGTGCCAATGGCCTTGTTTACGGCACCGTTAGACGCCTTCGCAACGGGTATCTGACTCTGTGGAGTCTTGCTGTGGTTCCACCCTTACCCTTAGTCTTGGTCTTGACTGGGTGTCCAAAATTAGAGTGGCTCTCGGCACACGCAGAGTCATTGACACTGTTGGAGGGCGCGCTGCCCTTGATCGTCGAATCAGTGGGGCTGCTCGGCGAAGCAGAGCAACTCTGTGGAGTCTTGCTGTGGTTTCCACCCTTACCCTTAGTCTGGGTCTTGACTAGGTGTCCAAAGTTAGAGTGGCTCTCGGCACACGCAGAGTCATCGACGCTGTTGGAGGGCGCGCCGCCCTTGATCGTCGAATCGGTGGGGCTGCTCGGCAAAGCAGAGCAACCACTAGTCACAGCAGCGTACGTTACTTTCGCACTTGGAGGCGAGGCATAAACACTGCTCGCCGAAGGCTTGCGAACAGAAGGGGTACCATCCTTGGGCTATGTGTGTCATGATTCAATTGGGCGAAGGCCGATCAGAGCACTCAGCATGAAGCAAGACGTATTGCTGACCTTGCTAGAAGAGCCAACATTGCTTGGCATGGTGCTGTGGACAATTTTGCCAGCCTCTTTGGGCGTGCTGGTCTTGACCACAGAGCTGCTCTTGCTGGCTTTGACAATGCCAGCGGTGAAGCCACTCTGACTGAGCTGTACACCCTGATGAATGTTGATTGGCGTGATGTTCTTAGAAGCGACAGTGGTGGATGGCGGGGCGCCCTTGGTAGCAACACCATTGGATGGCGTGCCACTCTCAATTGTTGAGCTGGCAGGGCTGTGCAAAGCATTGCTCAAGGGAGCAAGTTGGAACATGCTTCCATGGACTGGTTCCTGGTCTTGAGCTGTGCAAAGACTTCCTCAATGAGGCGAGTTGAACATGCTTTCATGGAGTTGTTCCTGGTCTTGAGCTGTGCAAAGCGTTATGCTGCCCTCGATTGTTGAGCTGATAGGGCAGCTTGGCAAAGCACAGCGGAAAGCGGCAGCAAGCTTGTGCAGAGCATCTTTGAGCTCCACTGACTCCTCCTTTAGACCACTCAAGCCTTTTGAGCCCTCCCTCATTGGCGCCCGTGTCGGAAGAAAGGGTGTTCAGCTCTGCCTGAGGCATTGTCCAGACCAACCTTCAAGTTGCTGCATTTGGTCTTGACGTTGGTGTGAGGTCTGCTCTGCTTAGAGTCTTTGTACAGCACAATTTCGAGATCAGCTTGGACGCTCTTCAGGCCAAGCTGGAAATTCAAAGCTTGTCTTGGCGTTGGACTGAGCGTGCTTCATGTTGTCAAAGTCAAGACAAGGCACCTAGGCATCATCTCTGATGCTGAAAATATTTCCAAAGATGTGATCAATTTGGCTTGGAAAGGGATGACATCCCTCTTGGGTCCAATGAAGCTCGCATTCTCGTCTTTGCCCTCTTCAGAAAGCGTGAAGATGCTTCTTGTGACAATCTAGAAGAGGCTGTCAATGGCATTTGTGAGACTTCTGCCAATTCCGCCAGCTTTTGAGGTCCTCCATAGGCTTCTTTTGGACATACGGGTGAGATGAGTCAGCATAAGCTTCGACTTGCCAAGTATCCCTTCATACATCAAAGCCTCTGTCAAAGAATTCAGGTCACCAGTCGTTCCAGGCCCAGTTCTGGTCCCTGCTGGGGCCATCACGATTGTCAGTATCCATCTTTCCCTGCCAAAAGCTTGGTGTTCTTGGATACTTTTGACTAGGTGAAGGTCTTGAGTGAGCATTTCAATGCCACTTGAAATCTGCCAAGTCTGCTGGACAGCCAAAGTGGCTTGGGCAGAGGGAAGAGGGGTTCCGCGTCTACCTCCCCATGCCAGATAATGCTGGCCCAGCTCTCATGACAGGCAAGTGATGCCTCAAAGACGAGAAATCCAGGTGTTGGCTGGCGTCAAAACAAGATTGGAATGGTAACCTACAGCAACAATGATGCCCTCCAAAAGACTGCACTTCCTCCTGCTGGAAAAGGTGGAGCCTGCCTGACCTAACAATTCACTCATACTTCTTTCCTTCCTCAGCCTTGCGTGTCCACCTTTGTGCCCCTTCCATAAAAAGGCCTTTAGTGTTGAAAAGCTACTCTGACTAGAATTCATCACCAAACCCAAAGTGACCACAGAGACACTCAAAGCCAGGTGTCCATAATTCTGGATGGGGTTGCCCGGACCTTCACCTAAGCAATGAAGGCTGTGCTCCACTCTTGACTTAGCTGGCACAAAGAAGTGGCTGCTGAGCTCTGCATTGTGGACTTAGGTTAAGTCAATTGTGCTTGGAGCAGGCTCGGTTCCCTAAGCTTCAGAGTCTACATTTGAGAAGCCTCTGTGCCCACCCAGATCTCCCAACAATCATGAATCTGCTCTGACCTCAAAGTCAAGACAACTCATGAGTGCTAGCACGTGCTGAACGCGCACGCGCGAACGCGCCCATACGCGCAGTCTTAGGTATGAATGCAGACCAACCCAAGACATACACGCATCAACAAACACCGTTCAAGCCCATCATCCAGCAATGACTCTTGCTGGTGTAGTCATCGGGACTGCCGATCATCTAGACGTGCTGTCACATCATGCCGCCATCTCGCTTTGCTTCAGTGTCTCGATGGCGCAACTTGGAGCTCACGGCCGGCAAGTCGAGCACCGGTAGGCACGAAGAGGTCGGGCTTGGTCTCCCATCCGATCCCAACACTTGCTCCACAATCCTCGGTCTTTGTTCAGATCACTCAGGCTCGCGACTCCTCTTTCGATCCAGCACCTCTTCAACTCACTTGTCCATCATCTACAATGCTTTTGGAGAGCAAGCATTCGGCAAGCATGCTCGGCGTCTCCCCTCTCTCGCAGCTGCACCACCTGGCGCTGGCTCGCTCGCGGATTTTGCGATAGAGACATGGCAAGCCAAGCCTCTGCTTGCGGCAGGCGGGGCGGACGGCGCTATCGCCATTCGTGGCCTACCATTACCTGACCAGGAGAGCTTCGAAGCTCAAATTGAAAGATCAATTCCGTCCTTGGCAGTCAATGGCACTCCTACAGGCCCTGCAACGTCTCTGAGCTGGCATCCCACCAGCAGAGGCATTTTGTTGGCAGGTACCGGCAACGCAGTGCGACTTTGGGACGTACAGAGTACCTCGTCGGACCCCACAACAGAGTTGGACTTGGATAATGTGGGCGTGCTCAAAGCTGCTTGGTCGTGGGATGGCAAGCTGGTGGGCGTGACTAGCAGGGATGCAACTGTGAAGCTGTACGATCCACGAGCATCCTCATTACGACCAGTCTCTTCAGCTCAAGCACACGCTTCGAAGATCAAGCCGACGCGCTTGACCTTCGTCTCAACACACTCCAATGCGCTCTTGACGACCGGCTTCGACGCCATGCGAGCAAGGGAGTGGGCGCTGTGGGATCTCCGCGCTAGCCATTCAGCTGTTGCGAGATCATCTTTGGACGTCAGCACCTCTCCCCTCGAACCAGTCTGCGAGCCAGACAGAGGTCTAATCTTCTTGACCTCCCGCACCTCTACTAATGCTCAATGGCTTGACGTCGGCTCGCAAAGCTCCTCGAGTCCTTCAGCAAGTGGTAGTGTCCCTCTGGGTTTGCCAGCTGGTGGCCCTCTGGTACTCGCTCCGACACACGAGCTGAACGTGATGCGGGGAGAAATCGCAAGACTCGTCATTCCCGGTTTGCCTGGTACGGGAGCGTCCAACGATTGCATCGTGCCCGCATCAATCACCATACCCAGAAGACAATATATCGACTTTCACGCAGACCTCTTCCCTGACTCTATAGATAGGCGTTCGCCTGCCCATGCCACCGCCACGACTTGGCTAAGGGGCGATGACGCTCAATTGAAGAGACGATCAATGGATCCCGACCACGCGCAATGGACCGGCCCGCCTCCTCCACCGGGCGCCATGGAAACTTCTAGCGCTCTGACACCCAAATCAGCGGCTGCAGCTAGCACAGATGCTACTTCCGCCGCTCTGGAATCAAGACAAGATTTTGCAGCTCTGGCCGCTCGGAACGGAGATCGAGCGTCGGCGATTCGCGCACCGGCACCTACTGTCAAAGACCGGTCGCTGGATGATTGGGAGCAAAGTCCATCTCACAATTCGACAACAGAGGCTGTCCCGAGCGATGTTGCAGCAGAGGCAGCAATCGTGCGCAAGACTGCAACGTCGGACTCGGTTGACCCACCAGCGGCGGCCAGCACCAGCGTTCCACCACCCAGCAAGAGACAATTTCCTACATCCGCTCTCAAATCATCTACAGCAGGCATGCCTCGATGGTCTCGACGCTTCATCGCTGGTCAGACACCCCTCATTGCTGCGCATCAAAATTTGGCTTCGCTGGACATTTCGCGGGCTCCCGATGCACGAATGTTGGCGGTCAGTACCGAACTCTTTGTCTTCCCTGTGAGCGGCCCCGGTGGAAGACTGGGTGTACAGAGAATTTCGCAGACTGGTCGACTGCCGTCTCCCACGCCTGCGTTATCAAACGGCAGCCTGCTCTTGGACTTCGTCATCGATCAGTTCAACCCCCGAAAAGTCATTACCGCTGCCGAAGATGGTCTGATACGCGTCTGGGATGTGCCTGATGACCAAGAGGCCGCAGAATTGCCGGAGTCTATGAGCACTCCTTCCACACAATTTACTCTTCCCGGCGGAGGCAGGAGCGGAGAGCTTGCCACACATCCACACGCTCAAGGGCTCTTGGCTGTAGGACCGACAGATCCTGAAGGGTCACTGCACGTTCTAGATATTAGTGAGCCGAGCAGCCAGCGGGCAATATCGCTCGACATTCCTGGTGGAGGAGCTTTCAGCCTTGCGTGGAGTCCCAATGGCAAGCGTCTTGTGGTCGCAGGCAAGGACAAGACGCTGCGTATCGTCAATCCGCGAGCAAAGCTAGAATCCGCCAGCCACATTGCTGCTAGTGCGGAAGCACACACCAGTTCCCGCAGCTTCCGAGCGATATGGCTATCTGATGAGGTGCTGCTGACGGTTGGACACGGTGCAGGCTCAGTGAGAGAGCTGCTGGTGTTCCACTTGACTCTGGATTCGTCAAGTAGCTCTGCGACACTCAGGCGGATTGCTCGACAAGGTCTCGACGTCTCTCCTGCAGTGCTGTTCCCTCATTGGGATCGGGATACAGAAGTGCTCTGGCTATGGTCGAAGGGCGAAAGGTCCATATCCTCTTTTGAGATCAGACTTGCTTCTATTACCAGCGCTTCGGCCAGTCACAGCAGTGCAAGTGACATCTTCACGACATTACCAGCGTTCCAACACTCGCAGCCCCAGCTCGGTCTCGCATTCTTGCCAAAGGCCTCTGTAGATGTCCGCAGCGTGGAGATCGCCTCCGCTGTCAGGTTGTCGCGCACAGAGTTGCAGCGCGTCTCGTGGAGAGTGCCGAGAGCCAGAGTAGAATTCTTTCAGGATGATGTCTTTGTGCCGACGCGGGACGAGACCGTATCGTTGCTAACGGCGAAGGAATGGCTCGAGGGGCAGGATGCACTGGTGGATCACACATTGATAGATCTCAAGCCCTCAGATATGACGCCGCGTAAGTGCAATGCTCAACACAGCCCAATGAATTTTGCCGTCCATGCGCGACTGAGGAGCTCATCTCCCTTGACTGTACACCCTGCATGCAGTATCACGAGCACCCGCACCTACGCAGACCTCGCACCTGCCCAAAGGACCTATCAAGCGCCAAGAAACGGAGAGCGAGCGCAATGACAAAATCCTTTCGTCCGTGAGTCAACATCATACCTTCCTTGCACGGAGCGGCTGGAGCTCACTCTGCAGGCACCACGTCTTCGCTTCAGGTCTTTGCGAAAGCTAAGCTGGACGAGGCCGATCGAGCAGATCCGAGTGCGAGGAACGCTGCTGCAAGGAGGGCACCGGATGATGATGATTGGGGCAGCGACTAGGTTTCGTAGATCGGGGCATCCCTCCATCTGGCTCTGCCCTCGAAATGCATGCATTTGGCTGATGCTTCCTGGAATCCCTTGTAGTACCACGCCGAGCTTGGGTTGTCGTCCGTCAAAGATTCACGCGTCGGTGGAGTTGCGAAGGTTTGCGCGGGCACTGCACGCGGATCAACGTCGCATCTCGGCTTTGGTAAGGTCCCTCGCAGTTAAGACAGGGATCGACGGCACCTGGGGTCGCCCAAGTTCAATCACGAGACTTGACCACTTTTGCGTCCCGTTCTTGGGCTTGAGAGCAAGTGCGTGAACTCAAGGTTAAGATGCGCTACTTTCCCAGCGCATCTCGAGATCTCGCTGACAGCGCAGTAAGGGTATGACGGCTTGCTGCACACGGCACGACGAAGATCAACCAAGGAAATTGGCAGCGAGTGACGATTGATTCACGTTTGTGTGGAGAGGAAAGCGGCGCAACTCAAGCGCGCGACCCTGCAGGCATACTGATCGGCCCTGCATCCACGCCAGGTCATTTTTTAGATTCCGCGCTAGGCTAGACAGTCGCCTCTAGGGAGCGTGCCGAGACGGCAGCCGCACCTCGATCGCGGAGTCTCATCCCGATGGACCTCGGAACCGGATGCGCTTTAAACGCGAATGGCAGCAGGGAACGTTCGCAGCAATGATATCAGCTGAGGGACCAGAAGGACTAAGGACTTGGAGAGTGAGTGTCGAAGAGAGTTTCAAATGGGATTACGCTGGTGGCATGACGCCTTGAGACATCCTACCACATCTCATGCAAAGCTTCTTCTTGAGGCTCCACAATCTGAGCGCAATCCCCCTTCGTCAGACATCGACCGCCAAGCGTGGGACCTTGGCTCCCAAGACTCGGCGAGGTGGTCATTCTGATCAGCCAAGAGCGAGGGGCGACAGGCAAGGATTGCACACCACGAGAGATCTACGATACGTTTCGTCTATCCTTGGCGCGCTCAAGCTGGCCTTTGTGCCGGCCAGCTTGGCGCCGTTAAGGAGTTGGGAGCTTGGAGGGGTGTATGTTGGTCACACATCAAGCGCAGGAGCGCGTTGACCTTCGCCTTGAGGAAAGCAGAGCGCGCGCAATTGGCCAGCAGCAAGAATGTAAGAGCTCCCGATTCGGTTCATGCAGCTGTGGTGGCTTGCGCGTGCGGGGATCCAAAGCGCGGATTCGACGCTAAGCGTAGGGGCCGAAGCGATGCGCGTCGCATGCTTTATGCAAAGTCCAGAATCAGCTGATTGAGCGATCCTGCACTCGGGGAGTGACTGTCACCCTACTTACTGTACGTGCCTCTTCCGCTCGCAGCTCCACCTCCTCATCCTTAGCAGGCACTCGAGGGCTACGTTGATCGAATCCCGCTTGCCGGATAGCCTACGTAGCTCACAATCGCTTGCCGGAAATGCGACCAGCTTCGATGTCCAGCCGTGGCTCTCTGCGGCGCGCCAAGTTGACCACCTCCACTTTCGAAAGCAAACAACAGTCAGGTCAGGGTCTCTCATCTAGCGCGAGGCGACACTGTCAATCAGTGACGAGCGGTCTGATGCTCGGGCTCTATGACGATTGTTCAGCGGTAGCGCCACATCGGTAGAGATCCGCCTCTGACGACAGTCATGAGGGCCCAGCAGGGCCAAATTGAACACTCGCTTGACCTTGACGGAACAACTTGAGCGGACAGGGCGCTGAGGAACGTTCTACACTCGAGGACGGGAAAAGCCCTCGGCCGCCATGCCGCGATTTGACAAAACCCCGAACGCTGTTCTCCGTCAATAAGGACTGCGCAACGCGATCGAGGCGTCGATTCCTGTGACATGGTGGGTGGGTGCGCTCCGACTCAGACTTACGACTATGAATCTAACCAGCAGGTTGCAGGTGCTTCGCGCCAGATGAAGGGGTGTCGAGGTGCCAGGCATATGAAATTACAAAGAGCGCGGGATGAGTGCAAGCTCAATTTCGTGCACTGCACTCCTTCACAACGGGATCTGATGTTGACATAAGCCGAATGCAGGGTCGTGGCAGGGTGGTCAAAGCTATATAGAGGGAGCCACATGTCGACAACGTTCTCCGACCCGCTTCACTTCACCACATCACGTTCAGCTGTACTTTGTGCCACAGCATCACCCTCCTCACCATCCTGCAGCAGCTAGCTACGATGCAATTCCTTTCCGTCCTCTTGGCCGCTCTGGCCGCCGCTGGTAGCGCAGCTGCAGCCCCATCTTTCACTCTGTCCAACGGCTTCCCTAACCCCGACCCTCAAGCCCTTGCTTCCATCCAAAAGCAAGCCGGTGGCTCTCTCCCCAACACCCCTTTGCCCACCGAGCTCAAGGCTGACTCTATTCAAACCCTCCAAGTCATTGCAACCAACGAGATCTTCGAGGTCGCCTACTTCTCGAGCTTGCTCAAGAACGTCACCAACAACGTCGAGGGTTACACCGACTTTGCCGGACAGTCCCGCGAGTATGTCATTGCCAGCTTGAAGGCCATCCGCGCTGTGAGTGTTGAAGTATTGCACCGAGTGTCTTCCCGGAATTCTAACTTGTCTTTCGAATCCTTTTGCAAACACAGCAAGAGGAGCTGCACGCCATCGGCGCCAACGCGATCCTGTCCTCCGCTGGCGCAAAGACGATCGGAGCTTGCGAGTACAAGTTCCCAGTAAGCGACTTCAAGTCGGCCGTTGTGCTCGCCAACACCTTCACCGACCTGGTTCTGGGTGCTCTGCAAGGAGCTTCCAAGACTTTTGCCGTCGATGGTGGACAGTCAGCCGAGGGTCTCGTCAGCCTCCTCGGCTCCATCATTGGACAGGAGGGTCAGCAAGATGGAGCCTACAGGCTCATTCAGAAGAAGGTGCCCTCTTCCAGCCCTTTCTTGACCGCTGCTAGCGGTGCGTTGGCCTTCAACGCCGTTGCGCAAATGTTCATCGTGCCCGACTCTTGCGGACCCAACTCCAACGTTTCGTCCATCGGTGTCCCCAGCTTCGACAAGCTCTCGCTCGCAAAGGGTGTCAAGCCAAGCAGCAGCTCAACCTCGCTCAAGTTCACCACCAACACCAAGACGGATCTCAACGGTGCTCACTTGGCCTACATCAGCGGCCAAAACAAGCCCGTCGTCGTTGCTGTCAAGAATGTCAACAAGCAAGGCTCTTCCACCACCTTTGAGGCTAGCTTCCCCTTCGAGAAGAAGAACTTCAGCAACGGCCTCACCGTCGCTGCATTGGTCAAGAACAACGGTCCCTTCGCCGATTCCGCCGCGGTCACCAACAGCACCTTCGCTGGACCTGGCCTCATCGTGGTCGACTAAAAATTTCACCGTCGCCCCCAAACGTCCCTGCCATCCGCGTGAACCATCTCGCGCTGGCAACTTCTATCCCCTCTTTGCGCAGGCTCATCTCCAGTACCATACCTGATGCTCTTGTAATGCATTGCATTTAGCTGTGTCCACCGCCATTCCGTCTGAAGCCCATTGTCGCGCACGCGCGCCTCGCACACTGCACGTTTCGTCGCCATGAGCACATCTCCAGCGTTTGATATCGCAACGGTGTCATTGGCGGGCAAGGCGAGCTTTGTATGGGAGTGCGTCATCTCTCAAATGTTCTTGCCGTAGTCTGCAGCGCTCTCGTGGGATTTTGCTTCGGTCAACTTTCGAGCTGCCTTGACCATATCTTCTTGAATGATGTAATCTCTGCGTGCATGGCAAGGATGTTCGATATCAGTACACGAGTACAGCAGTGAAATCACGCCTCATGCAGGGCCACCGTCTTGAAGCGCAGTAATCGCGTCATTGCCACGCACCTGTCATCTCTAATCGCAAACATGCCCGCTTCCGTCACCACGTTCCGCAAATCTGCAGCGTTGAAGCCATCAGACAATTTGACGATGGCCTCGTAATCACTGTAGGATGGCGTTGAGAAGACATGAGCCTGAGGGGTACATCGAGCGCAGCCGTCGGACATACGGAGTGCAAGCCACTCACAGCTCGTCTTTCTTGGCGACAGGCCTCGCGTGAATCTTGAGGATGTCCAAACGCGCCACCTCGTTCGGCAATGGGATCTCAATTTTTCGGTCGATACGACCTGGTCTCATCAGAGCAGGGTCCTACGGGCGCGCCTGGAGTCAGCTCATTGCCACAGAACGATTTCATCATCACGGACTCACGAGCGTGTCTGGTCTGTTCGTAGCAAAGATGATCTTTGTCTTGCCAAGGTAGTCGAATCCGTCCATTTGATTCAGAAGCTACAAATTGATGTAGCATGAAGAGTTGGACGTCAGTCGCCGATTGCGGTGCTCGCACGCTTTTGCCTTCACTCACCTCCATCAAAGTTCTCTGAATTTCTCGATCTGCACTCGTGCCCTCGCTAAAACGCCTTCCACCGATAGCGTCAATCTCGTCCATGAAGATGATTGTCTGAACAAGTCTTAGTCGGAGTCAGCCTCCGTTGCTTCCCAATAAAGAGGCGCAGCTTTCTGTAAAGTCTCCTGAAGATCGGCCACGCGATCCGACTCACAGGTTCGTGCTCTTTGGCATAGCCAAACATTTCGCGCACCAATCTGGCACTCTCTCCGATGTACTTGTCGACGATGGCGCTTGAAACAACTTTAAGGAAGTTTGTGTCGAGCGTGGCTGCAACTGCTCTTGCGAGCAGAGTCTTGCCCGTACCGGGAGGTCCGTACAGCAGAACGCCTTTTGGGGGCTTGATTCCTACTCTCAAGAAAAGCTCTGGATTGAGCAGAGGCAATTCGATGACCTACACAAGCGAGGCGAGAAGCGGCCCGTCAGCTCTGAACTTTTTGTATGAGACCTCAGCTGGCTAGCGCGGGTGGCTGCGTACTGCCGGCGTACTACCACCCGGCAGAACTACCACCAATAAGAAGCCGTCCATGCTAGCCTACGTGCACCCGCCTCACCTCTCTCAATTCCCTGATCTGCTCTTGCAAGCCACCGATACCAGCAAAGTTGGCATCACCGGGGTCTTCCATGCTCATGTTGTATACCAACGGGTCGACCTCACGTGGCAGAATGCGCATGATGGTAAGGGTGGTCATGTCGAGACTGACTCGCACACCTTGCTTCAACTTGTGCTTGGGCACAGTGGAGCGGATGCCAACCACGTAACGAGGTCCTGAGGATGCTTTGACGATGACTACGGGATGGGGACGTAAACGTGCGCATGAGCAGGATGTGCACCGCCAGGCTTACGCTTGCGCTCGCAACTCACACCTCTCGTCGTCGAGCTGCTTCAGCACCTCGCCGATAATCTGCCCCACCGACTGCAAAGCCTTGATATCATCCTCCGTCTTGTCGTAGTCCTTTTCCAGATCACGCAGCCCAAAACGCACTGTCGCGTGTGGGTTGAGCGTGATGATATCAGCGAAAGTACTATGCCCTTGGCTTTGCTGTGAACGCGTGATGATGAATCATCACACTCACGCTTCTTTAACCCCTCCGATAGATCTTCATGCTGCTTCAGAGCCTTCTTGTACGACTTGAGCGCTCCCTCTTTGCGAGGGTCGCCAGGTGCTAGCGAGCCTGAAGCACCATTTGATGAGCCTGCAGCGGGCACTGCGCTGCTGTCCGCCATCCTTTTGATCTTATTACGCGTGAGAGCTGGGACCAGATTTTGCTGTACGAGATCGCGTGAGGTCTCTGCAGACGGCCAAGGCGGATGCAGACGGGGCAAGCGATGTAGAGCAGCGATGTCTAGCTCCCAATGAGGCCAATGGATGTTGCCAGGTCAGCAAGTGTAAGTGCAAAGGGTGATGATGGAGAGCTAGGCTGCTGCGCCTTTGCGAGAGATGGCGAGTCTGTGCGTGCACATCGCTGCCCGCCCAAGTGGAGACGCGCAAGCGGCCCATGAGAACGCGCACGGCGGCGAGCGGGCATGGCTGCAGTCAGAGTGTGGCGCGCAAGACTATCTCCCGCGCGAGATGTGAACAGGTGAGCCAAAGTCACGAGTCGTGAGTCTCTCTCTCAGCTATAGCTGCAGCCTTTTGTATGGCGGGCGCGCGAGCGTGCACGGCATCACGCGCCGGCGCCACCGCCACGGGACAAGGAATTTGTGATCTCAAGTCGTCCGCAACGTTCGCACACGAGCAAGACTCGACTCAAGACTTGATTTTGCACATCACTGTGACTCTTTCAAGCCATTCCTGATACAGCAAACGTGCGTTATACACCCGCTACAACACACTCACAGGTGTCATCAAGCTTCGCTGCCCTGATCGAATTCGCCACCAAAGGACACTCGGTGCTGACGCTCGCAGCGTCTTTTATCGCATCCGCATCTTCGCGCAGCTGCACGCCCGCCGACATCGGTGGTGAGCACAAAGGAGAAGAAGGGCAACGGATTGGCATCGATGGAAAGCTGGTTCCCGCAAACGCTTTCTTAAGGAGCTTTGTCACCTGCGATACTCGCTCTCCTCCCTCATCCTCTCTCGAGCGCCGCATCGCAGCGCTCTTCCTCCATTCATCATTCGCGCCAGATTAGTTAGACGGCTCTCCTCGACGCTCGACTCCAAACATGTAGTCACGCAAAGCAGCGTCGGGGTAGCATCGGCATCGCCGTCATCACGCTCGCATCGCCACTTCAGGTCATACAGCGCTGCATCAGCTATCGACGAGTCTTCTGATGCCAGGCGAAGCGACACCGATGCCCAGGCTTGGAGACACTCTGCATCTCCTTCCTCATCTCGGTCACGTACTGCCGTGAGGGAGCATTCGTGGGAAGATCCTTGGTCCCTCATGGCCTCTGACTTGTCCACGTGGAACGACCATCGCGAGCCCGAAGTGCAGGGAATGCCATTCTACTCCAGACCCTCCACGCCGTCGACTCCCAGCTATACGCGGACCGTGTCCAGACCAGCCACAAAGACGTGGACCGCCAGAGTGTTGGCCCATCCATCTCCTGTGTCAGCATCCCCTGACCCCTTGCAGCGCTGGGATTGGAGAAAGAGAGCAGAATCTAGAGGTGGAGAAATGACGCCAAGGACGCGTGTCAGCCCTTCCAGCTCCATCGTCAAGGGAGTCCGGGATCACGAGCCAGAGCGGGAAAGGTTGCTGCAAGAGATCCAGGTCTATCGCGAAGCGCAGTTGCAGCTTCTGGATTTGGAAAGAGCGACTACGCAGCGCACTTTGCGAGATCGACGATCATGGACGATCGGACGACTGTGCGAAACTGGTCAAGCAATGGATGGTCTGACCGCTTATTGGAGAGCCAGCAAGAGGTACGGTCAGCGCGTAGCTGTGTTCGCCCGTCCAGCCAGAGCACCGCTGGGTTGGAGCAGATTCTCACAAGGAGACCTATGCGAGCTCTTTCCATCCGCCGAAGACCCAAAGGCCTTTCATCCTCTCAAGGCCGAGTACAAGAAGGAGAGCTTAGAGGGAGCTCAAGAGAAGAAGCAGAAGCCCAAGATCCATACCGCTACCGTTTTGAGCGTCGCTCCGGATCGTATCACTTTGCTCTTTGACAATCTCAACTCATCGGTGGATCTCGAGGGCTGCGCATCCTGGACCTTGATGCAAGGCGAGAACCTGTTGGTATACAAGCGCACCGCCAAAGCTTTGGACGTCATGTCAAACGATCTGGAGAATCAGTACAAAGCGCCGAGGAAGCGGGCAGATGACTCGTACGCTGAGTACATACTCAGCGGGACATCCGTGGCCGATGCGCTGCTGGGTTTAGCGCCAGCGGAAGGTGCGAGCGCTTTCGCTGGTGATCAGCGATTAGCAAGCTGGGTGAGAAGGAGGCTTCGGCCAGGTCCGATACTGCAAATGGAAGGTGATCCCGGATTGGGTCTCAATGAAAGTCAAGAGAGGGCGGTCGCCACCATGCTGGGAAACAGGCTCAGTCTGGTGCAGGGTCCCCCCGGTACCGGAAAGACCCGGACGATCGTCGCAGCAATTCAATTGCTAAAGCAGCACTTCGAAGTCCCTCAGCCCATCTTGTTGTGCGCGCACACCAACGTCGCTGTGGACAATCTAGCAGCGGGCGCACTACAAGCTGGTCTCAAAGTGATCAGAGCTGGATCTTCGGCCCGCACCAGATCGGACCTGAACGGCACGACACTGGATGATGCGATCGATAAGCATCCCGAGAAGCCTCGGCTTGATCAGATCAGAGCGGATGTCGGGAGAGTGCGGCAGGCGATCTCGGAGGCAGAAGCGGCGTCTCAAGGCGGCCTAAGCTCCAACTTCCAAATGTGGAAGAGCCTACAATTTGGCAACTCTGCCTCATCGACATCGAAAGGGGAAGATGTTTCTGCTCTCAAGGCACGCATCATGAAGCTGCGAGGACAAATGTACAATTTGGAACAGCAGATGATCACGGAAGCCTTGAGAGAGGCAGATGTGGTGTGTTGCACCGCCGTCGCTTCATGCTCCAACCGCCTCACTCCTATCGACTTTCCGGTCGTATTTTTCGACGAAGGGAGCATGGCTACTGAAGCTACCAGCCTGATTCCTCTGATGAAGGGCTGCAGGCATCTGGCGCTCATTGGTGACCACAAGCAGCTCCCACCAGTCGTCACAAATTTTGAGGCCAGGCAGAAAGGAGCGTCTCTGAGTTTGTTCGAAAGGCTGATCAATAGAGGAGATGTCCCTAGCACCATGCTCGGTGTGCAGCATCGGATGCACCCAGACATTGCAGCTTTCCCCAATCGAGCATTCTATCAAGGAGCGCTGGAAGATGGCGAAGATGTACATGTTCTCGAACCTCTTCAGTCCGAGTACCTACCACAGGTCGAGTCATCTGAACATGGTCAGACTCACTCTAACCTTTCGGCAAGAGTATCGTTCATTAGTCACGAGCACAAAGAGGAGGCGCTCGATAAGTCGACGATCAATATCAAGGAGGCGCAAATAGTTGCTCGGGTGCTGGCCGACTTGTTGATTCGCAACCCTTCATTGCGGGGAGAAGATATTGGCATCGTTGCTCCTTATGCGGCTCAAGTGCGCCACTTTCAACAGATGCTAAAGCAATGGACCTCCTCTTCTAGCGCAAGGAGCGCGCGGGACTTTCTGCAAGATCTGTTCGGCGAAAAGCACAGAGCTAGGGCGTCGCAACTGTCCAAGGTCGAAGCGCACACTGTGGACGGGTTCGAGGGCAGGGAAAAGGAAGCCATCATCTTCTCGTCTACACGTGCTGGCGAAGAAGGCTTTGTAGGATTCTTAGCAGACTCGAGACGTCTTTGCGTCGCTTTGACAAGGGCGAAGAGAGCACTTTTCGTTGTGGGAAACATCGAGACTTGGCGCAATGCCAGATTGAGCGAGAGGGGGGCTTCGAGCGTGGAGAGTGCGGATGTCAAGGTGCTGCACTCGTATGCCGAGTGGATCGAGGATTGCGGGATGCTAGTGCATGCTCAGGCCGAAGAAGAGCTGGCGCAAAACCAGGAACAGCAGAATGCCCCATCAGAGTGATACACTCCCGGAACGCGTACTCCTGCAAGCATTCAATCAATATACCAAGGTCGGTGCTTTTCGTCTGAAATGGCCGCCGTCATTGCCATAGGATGTGATATTCGAGATCAGCGGCGGCTTGCTACAGCCTCTGATTAGGCCTACACGGAAGAGCCAGGGAATACCCATGAGAATACATGTGAGAAAGTGAAAAGTTGTCCGGGGAAGGTGAACGTTTGTGGCGAGGCAAGACTGCGCTGCACTCGATCACAAGCGTTGAGCGTCTTGGCCGAGCTTCTCGATAGCAGCAGCCACCTTCATCTTGAGGTTGGCCACGTCCAAAGCTGCAGATTCCAATTCCCTATGCAAGGCCAGACGATGTTGTTCATCATTCTGCTTTGCAGTCTGCAGTTGCCTCTTGAGGGAGGAGAGTCTAGCTTCGGCATGCTGCATGGCCAGATGACCGGCTTGCTGCATCTGGAGCAGTTTAGCTTCATCGTCTGCTTTCTTGCTCTCGATGGCTTGATGCTCCGAACCGTTGACCTGAGAGCGCAGGCGTAGCAAGGCACGCGGTCAGTCTCATTCTCTCGAACGCCACACATAGCAGCGCTACTAACCGCTAGCGTCTCCTCAAAGATTTCCTGCTGCCTGTCCAGTCGACCCTGCAATGCGATGTGCGTTTCCCGCACGGCAGTGAGCTCTTCCGAGATTCTGTCCACATTGTCCTGAGCAACCAAGCACTCCTCGCAGATCTTCTTGAACTTTTCGACCTCTCGCGATCTCAGCCGCTCGATCGCAGGTTTGATCAGACTCTTGATGTCTACACCGGGCGGGAGCATGGATGAGGGATTGCGGGGCACGATTTCCAGCTCCTGCAACTGGCTGCCGGATCCATCCTTGAGGTCGAGGGGGAAGAGTCCCACCTTGCGTGCAAGAGAATTGAAAGTCTTGAACAGCTCTTCAACTCTAGATTGAAGCTTTGACACCTCCAGTTCAAGGTTCCAAGACCTCTTCGCCGCTTCGTTGTTCTCCTCTGCGATATCGTGCGACTGCTTGAGGAGGTTCTCCTTCTCTTTGGTCATGGCGTCGAAATCGGACTCTGAAATACCTTGCGAGTCGACCTGCTTCTTGAGCGTAACAGCTTCTTGCTCTGCGCGCTTGAGCTCAGTCAACTTCTGCTCGATCTGCTCGTTGAGCGCCTTCAGCGTGCCCTTGGACTTGGCCAGCTTGGGCAACAGAATGTCATCCCGATACTTGATGAACTTGGTGATGTCCCCTTCCAGCAGCTCCTTCTCGCGCGTCTGCTTCGTCAGTGGTGAGTCGTGATCGGTGTACTCTCGGAGTTGTTGATCCAACTTGAGCTCTTCAGACTCGAGCTCTTCCACCTGTTTCGTAACACCAGCATTGCGCTCAGCAAAGATCTGATCCAGCGCTGCCACTTCGTCTGGGAAAGTATCCTGATTCTGCCAGAACTTGTCGTAGCATTCCCACAAGAACTTGTAGAATAGCTGCTGATCGTCTTGCTCGTCTTCGAGCTCGCGCTCCAAGGGGCCAGCACCGCCGTACTTGGTATCGTTGGCAAAGGTGCTGTTCATGCAAACGATCCAGTCGAGCATGGCCACGATGCTGGGCCAATTCTGCGCGCTGCCAGCTGCACCCAGCTTCATCTTGCTCAGATCTCCGATGAGCGGGTATTTGATATCGTTGAGCAGCGAGATGATCTCATCCGCTTCCCTCTTGTTGTCCTTTGTAAAGGTGTACGTGTTGTCGATGGACTTGTTGTAAATGTGCCTGAACATGGAAAGGAAATGCGTCTGCGTCGGATCGTTCATGGATTTGTGGGAAAAGCCGGGTGCGCTGAAGCCGGTCCTCTGCAAAAAGTCGAATACGCGCTCCTTGACTTCCTCCATGAATGGACGAGATCGCAGTGGTCTCGGTTCGGTCAGCGCTCTGACGCTGTGAATGCCTGGACCCATTCCTGGGGCCATGGACTGTCTTCCGCCGATCGATCTACGCATGGCACTGCGATGAGAAAGCGCAACGGTCAGCAGCTGCAGCGATCCATCTGTGTTGAGGAGTGACTTACTTTGGCGTGGGTCCACTGACGCTTTGTCTGCCTGCCACGCTGCCCGCCGCGCTGGACCTCATGCCCATTCCCATGCTTCTGGATCCATACGGTGTGGCCTGGACGGACGATTGTCCATCATCGTGCTGCTGAGTGCTTTGTCGATAGCTCATAGGCGCGCCACTAGATCTAGGCGCCGAGCTGCCCAATCCTCCCGCTCCCGCACTGCTCATTCCCAATCGAGATCCTTCTCCTCCCGCTCCTCCCAATCTGCCAGGTGCCAAGGAAGCGCGGGCAATGCTCGACTGACGGGGCAGCATGGATGCTCCGCCATTGCCTCCTGCTCCGTACGTCTTGGATGATTTGAGAGCTGAAGCAGGAGCTGCTGGTTGCTGCCAATTGTTCTCTACCGAAGCCAGCGTCGAACGACGCCCTGCTCCGCCTTGCGACATGATTCAGGACGCGCGGGTGCGCACTGTGGAAAACGGTGGGTGGGATGCGATGGGAAAAGGGATTGGAATACAGATCTTCCGACAGAAGTGACAAGCGAAATACGCCGTGGCTGAGTGGATGAGAGTGGTGATGACGGTCAACTGGAACCAAAAACAAACCAGCCATGCAGTCACGAGGCCAAGACGCGCGAGATCGCTTCACCATTGCCCCGTAGACGTTGACTCGACGCGTCAAAGCGTGCTCGCAACATCGGCACTGAGCGCGCGCGCGCGCGGGTCGGTGTTGTTTTGTTGCTCTCAGCAGCCCACGCGCGCGCGTTGTGCCCAGGCACGCGCCCACGCACGCGCTCGCGCGCCAGCTGCATGTTGTCTACCACGTGGCAACTCTCACAGGGCGAAGTCCCCTTCCAACATCCTTTGTGTGGCAGATAAACAAGTATCTGGCCGACGTCTTATCGTATCCGTTCTGAGTCTCACTGTCCGGAATCCTCGCCAAAGCCCCGTGCGCCTTGCGCTATCACTTCGCGCGGATTCCGACTCGAGCGCGCCCTCAGCCGGCAGGCAATCAAGCAATCGATGATTGTAGATGTCTATCATCCGTAGAACGCTAAGGTTCCATGGTGGTAATACAATGTGTAGCCGGGCAAAGGGAATTCTGTCTGATCTACGTCCTTGACGAAAGCTTGGATGCAGCAACAAGCAAACGTAGATTGGGTATTTGGCAAAAAAGGTAGTGAATGGACGAGCGTCTGGCTAGAGGGTAGCGCTTGTCGGGGCGCGCGACTCTCGGGATCGCCGGATAGACGGAGGTCTGGGTAAGGTGCGAGCGTGGGCGCGACAGCGGCCAGAAGGTGATGACTCGCAGCGCCAAGTCTCGAGACTTTGCCAAGTTGAGAGCATCAGCTGGATGAGGGAGCGAGATGTGCTTCAAGCGCATGGGCTATAATATAAAGTCGAAACGTACTTCTTCTTGAATCTGATCGTGGTGCCGACGGCGACGCATCCGTTCTTGATGGCGCTTGCCGTCAAGTGATGCAGAATAGCCGAGTTGGGTGGGGCGGGGAGAAGACTCAAGTCGTCGACTGTTCCTCCTGTCGCTTGAGCCACGGCCGGATTGGCAGGCGAAGCGTTCAGTAGTACGGTAGACAACTGACGAGGTAGCAAAGGAGGGAGAGGGAGCAAGGGGGGAAGTGGTGGTTCCCTGCCTCGGGAACCCGCTGCCTCGCACGCGTCCCGGTACGCTTCCTCGATCTGCTGGGCGCGGGTTATCGTAGAAGGGATATCCTGCGTCCAAATTTCTTCTTGTGCTGGAAACATAGCAAGATTTGCAGAGTCAGCTTCGCGTTCGCTTCGATTTTAGGCATGCCAAACAGTGCAAGCCGGCTCACCTTTGTCCGGTCCAAATACCTCGTCTAGATCTCCGCGCTTGACCTCCGCCTGACGCTTGGCAGCTTGGAGGTCGTGCGCAGTGGCATGACCTCCCATACCCGCCGGAGCAAGCGCGTTGCGTTGCTGCTTAGAGACGCCCACAACGCCTGCGTCCTCGGGCTTCCGGTCCGGATCGTCCAAGATGGGCATCTCGATGTAGTTGACCAAGTTACCACTTCCGTCAGTAGCCGTTGGCAGATCTCTCGAGACTCTCCATCTGTCGTCCACGATGAATTTGAGTCGATGCGTTCCAGGTTCGAGATGCAGAACAATGGTGTGATCGCCTGTCTTGCCTCTGCCACCTCCATGCGCATGACTTGGACGTTTGAGAGGCACTTTGGATCGCCACTCGTTTGCAAACGTTCCAGTCACAAAGACATCTCTGCCGCCTCCTCGCCAGGTGACGGTAACGGGCCTCAACGGTCCAGAAGGAGGCTGGTAACGACCAGCCGCTGCAGAGGCCGTTCGTCCACTCGCTGGCGCAGTCGGAGCACGCGAAGCAGGTGTGGACGTCTGCGAAGCGTCGAAGCCTTTGACGACGCCTCGACCATGAGGCGCCGGTCCTGGGAAAGCTGGAGTATTGACGCCACTCTCGACGCCAGCAAAGACCTGTACGCCTGATCTTCGTCTCTCGCCAGAGTCCCTGCTTGGCTCTGGGCTCAAATTGAGAGAATCTTCTTTCGATTGAGGTACTTCTGAGCGCGTCTGTGTTGTCAAAGAACGAAGCGCTGAAGGTTGTCCAGGCGTGGGTGTAGCTGCCCGAGAAGCGTCCGTGGCAGTGTCGGCACTCAGTGGCCCTTCGCTTGTCACAACAGACTCGCGCGCGTCATTCGTCTCGACACAAAGTCCTGCAGGGGTGACTGCTCCTTCACTAGCTACATGCGTCGCTTGGACAGCTGCTTCTACTTCGTCTGCTGGTAGTGGTCGCGACAATGATTGAGTTGGGCTACCAGGTAGCGGCGAGCGGCCGGGTTCGGGCGAAGAGACCTTGCTTGCAGCGCCTGGTTCAATGACTACATCTTCGGTGTTCAAGACTGCTGCAGCTGCACCGGCAGGTGCGAGGGATGGTCCACTGACGTCGTCCATCCAAGCGCTTCTCGACTCGTGAAGAGGCAAGCCACCGACCGCGGGTGCTTCACTGGTAGGGCTCGCGTGAGTGGGAGACGATGCGACAGAACCGGTCGGACTGGCATATGTGCTAGGAATGAGGGTCGGAATTTTGAGGTAAGATGGCAGAGCAGCTGGGAGCTGACGACCGAGCGGGTCTGTGTTGCCAGTGCCATGACGAAGCGCATCTCCAGGAGATTGACCGGCCGGCGTCGATGCGACAGTGCCAAGACTAAGTCCAGTGTCTGGACCGCTCGCCAAATGTGGCTCGTGAAAGATGCTGCGATGGGCGGGCGCAAAAGCAGCGATGCCAGTGATCGGCTGAGGAGCTGACACGTAGCCATTCTGGTCCACGCCAGCAACTGCTCCTCCGAATGCACCAGACGAGGACTGGGGTGATTGGCCAGCGTAGGTAGGGGCCAGAGCAGGTGAAGGGCTGAAATGCGAGGGCATGCCTGATGCGTGACGAGCCACTGTCGCAACTGATGGGCTGGGATAGGGCGACACGACTAGATTCGGCTCGAAGGGAGGTGGTACCAGCGTTCCGGGACCCCGACGCAACGGCGTCATCCTATTTCGAGGCGCGTCCGGGTACTTTTGATCAGCGATGACATCCTGACTGTAATGAGTCGGTATTGAAACGTAGCTTGTAACTCACCCACTGCTTGGCGCATCGTCAGCATCGCTGAGCTCGATGCTCTTCTTTCGACGGAACGCAGGAGCTTGTGAGGCGGTAGGAGTGCTCGACGAGGGCTTCCGAGCAGCAGCCAAGACACCGCCCGAGCTGCCACTTCGCGCTCGAGCACGAGTTGGACTCAATTGAGCTGCGCGCTCTGCGGCCTGCCTCAATGATGCCGAAGTGCGTGATGTTCGGGGAGATCGAGAGACAGGCTGGGTTCCGGTGGTGCTCGCGCGCCTCAACGTCGGTGATGGAGATCGATCGTCGGAGCCTTGCGCGGTCGTGGCGCCTCGGCCACCGCCGGGCAGATCCGAAGGCTGAGAAGGATAGGGTGGAAGACCATTGTAGCGTCTGAGTCTGTCCCCTTGTTGAGGGTTGGCTGCGCCTGGCGGTCCCTCCCGCTCCGAAGAAGGTGTGTTGCCCATGCCTCTCTGTTTGATCAACGAGCGTAGCGCTCATCCACTAGGCGCTGGCCTGAGACGTCGACAGTATGCTAGCGCCTCTAAGGTACGCACACCGAGTCGCACTGCTATTGGCCTTTCCGTTGCAGTCGCGAAAAGTCAGCGTGAAAGATTTCGGGGATACGTGATGCTTCGATTCGATCTATGGAGACATTAGTGGTCACCTGCACGCCAGGCAGCGACACTTTGAAGCTTGATTTCGACCTCGATTGCTGAGTGCACAAAGGTGGTGAAAGGACTTGGCAGTCGCGGCGTGGCGACGCGACGATGAGACGGGGCAGCGTAGCAATGGTAAGAGTGTGGATATTCAAAACATACTGAGATGGAAGTTGAATAATGTCGAGGATGATGCGATGCAAAGTCGACAAGTCGCGTAGGAGTCGGTGAGTATTCGTGCGCGTGTGCAGTCAGTCACGAGTATGTGCAGAGTGGTGCAGAAGATGGTTCAAGCGTCCTCGCCCTTTCGAAGGACTTCACTCGGAGTCAAAAGGCGTGTTGCCGAGCTTGCTGCTGCTGGCTGAGCGTGAGAAGCATTTGCTGATGGGTGTCGCAGGAGCAAGTCGTGAGTGAAGAGTAAAGGTGCTGCTGATCGCGGCTTTGGTCTCACTTGCCGCGGGCACGTCATCAATCAAGCTAGCTAGGCGCGGTGTGGTGATGTACAAAAGGCCTCGGGTCCGATAACACATGCTCTGACACCCAGCCAAAGACGATGACGTCCATGCATCGCCAGCAGCAGCAGCACGCAGCATTTGTGCCGAGGGCCCGATGATCGCGCAGACCGCGCACGCATCAGCTTGTGGAAGAGGAAATTCAATATGAATGATGCACGTGACACGATTAGAATTCAAGATTGTGTGAGAGAGAGAGAGAGAGAGAGAGAGAGAGAGAGAGAGAGAGAAGAGAGAGAGATAGCCACGTGGTCTCTGCGCTCAATAGTTTTGGCGGTGAGCAGGTACGCACGGGCACAGCTGATGGACGGGGTCAGTATGTGCGCGCTCTGCCCGCGCAGCACGATGCGATGCGATGGAATCGGTTGACCGAGCACCCGCCGCGTCATGGCATGCACCAAACCCAAGTGCGCCGTCCTGTGGGCGGTGCCTGCATGCATGCATGCAGCGGAGGCCGCTCCGTGACGGCAAGGTCAAGTCGCCACGCAGCAGCACGAAGGGTGTGTACTCGTGACTGTGGATTTTGGGTTGCATACGGCTGCGTAGGCGACGGGAAGTGGATCTGGCGACAACCCCATCATTTCTCTTGGAAGATCTACGGGGCAGTCGTGAGTCTCATGCGTGCTCAAGGTCCAGCTGGACCTTCAAGGCAGCAACCGAAATCACTTGCAGCAGGTGTCAGCAGCAATTCTTGATCAATCGTCTACACGCCATCCCTGCCCCTCTTCACTCCTCGATTGCTCACTAGCGTCAGGTTACATCAACAGTCGGAGTCGCCCTGAGGTGTTTCACGTCCTTCTCAGCACCTCGACTCGAGCACCCTTCAACACCTTCAAGCGTAGGCGACCTTTCTTGAATCGCGATGCTGGCTGCTGTGCGCAGGTTGCCCACCAGGGCAAGTGGGCTGGTCAGCCCCCGGATCGTGGCGGCTTCGAGCAATGGTAAGTCTGCGATCATTGGCGACGTCAGCCGAGAACCAGCGCATACCATGTTGCTCATTTTTATTTGCCAAACATATCAACACAGTCGTCAGAGCGGCTGCTTTCTCCACGTCATCTCGTGTCGAGGCGCTGAGCAAGTTCAACATGCCCGCCATGAGTCCGACGATGACGGAAGGAGGGATCGCAGCCTGGAAGAAGCAGCCTGGAGAGAGCTTCTCAGCTGGAGAGGTGCTCCTGGAGATCGTGAGTGCGATCGAGCTGAACCAGCTCTACAGCGGATAGATGGCGACTGATCATGCCTTCATTCTTACGCGAACAGGAGACAGACAAGGCCACGATGGATGTCGAGGCGCAAGAGGACGGAATCATGGCAAAAATCATTGTGAGGCACAGGTTTGACCTTTGGGTGACATGACAGTCTTGCTTAAGGCGCCAATCTGTGTTTTCAGGTCGGCGATGGCAGCAAAGCAGTGCCTGTAAACTCCCCAATCGCGATCATCGGCGAGGAAGGCGACGACATCTCAGGTGCCGATGCACTCGCTGCAGAGGCTGAGAAGGACGCGTCCCAGACCAAGAGCGAGCCCAAAGAAGAGTCAAAGCCAGAAGCACCTGAACCTCCCAAGAGTGAGCCAAAGAAGGAGGAGCCGGTTCCTGCTTCTCAGCCAGCTGCCTCGTCGTCAGGTTCCGCGCCGGTGCGAAATGAAGGCGAGCGCGTCATCGCTACACCAGTCGCCAGGCGAATTGCACAGGAGAAGGGCATTCCCTTGAGCAAGGTCAAGGGCACAGGTCCTGAGGGCAGAATCATCAAGGCGGATGTCGAGGCTTACCAGCCAGAGGCTGCAGGAGCAGCAGCACCCGCCACATCCCCTTCGGCTCCTTCGAAGAGCGCTGCTGCGCCTTCAGCGCCCGCACCTGCCCCTTCTTCTTCCGCAGATTACGAGGACACGCCGGTTTCCTCCATGCGACGCGTGATTGCGTCTCGCTTGACCGAAAGCAAGCAGCAGCTGCCGCACTACTACGTGTCGATCGATGTTGAGATGGACAAGGTTCTTCAATTGCGAGCAGCGTTCAATGCAGCTTCGGAGGCCAAGGCCGGTGGAGACAAGCAATTGGCCAAGCAAGCTAAGCTAAGCGTGGGCGACTTCATCACCAAGGCCGCCTCCGTCGCGTTGCGAGAGGTACCAGAGGTGAATGCAGCATGGTATGGTGACTTTATCAGGAGCTACAAGAAGGCGGACATCTCCATCGCCGTGGCCACCCCGACTGGTCTGATCACCCCCATTGTGCGAGATGTTGGTGGCACGGGTCTGGCAAGCATCAGCGCTCAGACGAAAGCATTGGCTGCCAGGGCCCGGGACGGCAAACTCAAGCCGGAGGAGTACCAAGGCGGCAGCTTCACCATCTCCAACATGGGAATGTTTGGAATCACGCACTTTACAGCCATCATCAATCCCCCGCAAGCGTGCATCCTCGCCATCGGAGGCACAGACACTAGGATTGTTCCCGATGACTCGTCCGAGCAAGGCTGGAGAAAGGCAAACGTCATGCAAGCGACGATTTCGGCTGACCACCGCATCGTCGATGGCGCTACTGCAGCGAGATGGATGAAGGCGTTCAAGGACGCGCTGGAGAATCCTTTGAGGTGAGGACAGGGATTTGAATGAGACAGCTTTGATCGAAGCGGCCGCTTGTGCTGATATGCTCCCTCACCTGTGCGCTCTCTCTCAGCTTCATGCTGTAAGCTTTTCATACCGCTTTTAGACGCGCAAGGCGCCCTTTGAGAGACCTTGGATGTACTCATGACAAAGAAGCAATCCGATCGAAGAGCGATCAGCCGACGGGTGATTTGATCTTGCAGCCGGAAGCTGATGATCCAACCACAGTCTTGCTAGGTGTCATTCTAGAGGCAGGGCACGACAGCCTATGCGAAGCATCGTCCATTGAGTGTGATGTCCGTCAAGAATTGTAGGTACATGATGCACACGGTAGGTGTAATTACATGGATGAAGGCTCTACTCTGAGGGTCGAGCATGTGAGGCCACAGCTCGCACCGGTCTCGCAGACCGTTCGTCTACTCTTCGTTCTCGGACATGCCGGCCCACTTGGAGGCTGCACGGAGACGAGGGCCGTACTTGTAAAGCACGAAGGGGATAGGGGTGAGGAGCAGGGAGAAGCCTCCCAAGAGCGAGCAACCGCCCTGCACAGTGAGAGCAGAGAACATCTGGCTCGCAAAGAGCGGGAAAGCGCCTCCCAGACCGCTCCTCATGACGTCGTTGGCTGCGAAGATGGAGGCTACGTATCTGGGATAATTTTGTGCTAGGTAGACCAAGATGCCTTGAAAGAGGAAAAAGACCGACATGCCGAAAAGTCCGCTGCCTAGAATGGGCACGATCCAGTGAATGGAGCTGAAACTTGTCCATCCGATCCAGAAGAGGGAGATGGGGAAGCAGATACCTCCAACCATTGCGATGATTTGTCGATCCTCTGGAGAGTGTTCGCCAGACCGCAAACGTGGGTTGAGGTACTTGATGACGAATATTGAGTAGATGCCCATTCCGATGACGGCGCCGACGACGATACCCAAGAATGCAGTGCCAAGCTCTCCAGGGTTGAAACCATGCCTTTCTGCAAAGATGAGCGGGTAGACCTCAAAGAAGCAGTACAGAACGGCGTAGATGAATGCAATGAAGAGATTATTTGCAAAGGCGACAGGCTCGGCAAAGGTCAAGATGAACGGTCGGACCAATGTCATCTGAGCCACTTCTCCGAGTGTCATGCCCGCAGCTTCGAGGTCTCCTTGACTGGTGAGTTTCTGGTTGCCAGTCACTCGGCGCAGGCGAGCTGCTCTTCGAGAGAGAATGGTGGAGTGGTTCGTCTCGGGGAGTTGAAAGAACATGATGAGCCAAACGCCGCCTGTTGCCCAAAGCAGAGGCCACAGACACCATCGCCAGCCGTTTGCCTGTCCGGCAAAACCACCAATCAATGGGCCGAGGGCTGGACCAGACGCAGCGGACAGACCCCAAAGACCCAGCGCGATGGAGAATGATTCCATGTCCCAAATATCGCCGACTGTTGCTCCACCTGTTGCCAATACCGGACTTCCGACAAAGCCAGCGGCGAATCGGAGCGGCAACAAAGCGCCCAGGGAGGAGTTGTAGATGGAAGGGAATTGGAGCAGGACGAAGAGGCCAATACTGATGATGTAGGGCCAAGTGCGACCGATGGCTGGAATTTCCGACATGGGACTGAGGAACAAGGGTCCGATGCCGTAACCCCAAACGAATAGAGTGATGGTCAGAGCAGCGGCTGTGCGACCGCAATTGAGATCCATCATGAGGTCCTCGGTGACCGGCGAGATGATGGCGGACCCCATGTAGATGGCGGTCGTGGCCATGCAGATCTGAGCAGTGACCCAAATTTTGTAGAGCAGCGGCCAGTTGCGCGGATTTTCGGGATCGCTGTCCGAGTACCAAGTGACGAGGGTGTAATCCCCGCCATTGTGCAGCTGACCAACATCTGCACCCTGCTTCTCCTCGCTCTGATCGCCTGGCTGCTTGGCTTGATCATCCTTGGCTGCTAAGGCCGCCTTCTCAACGTCGGCCGGCTTCAGTTGCTCTGCACGGGCTGCACCTCCATTCAAAGTCCCACTTTCGCTGTGGTTGGATTCGGCTGCAGGACTTGCTTGGCCCATTGACAGCTTCTCTTTCGCTCGCTCATCTGCTACTGTAGGAGCGCCCACTTTGTACTTTTCGGGCACGACATAGCCTTGCTTCTCTTCTGGTGCGCGCAACAGCTTCTTGCCAGAGAGGAGGTAGATGATTGACCCTGCCGCTGTCTCGCCGAAGCGCGAAGGCGGAGGCAGGGAGGGGTTTGAGGTGGAAGCGGCAGACGACATGATGGGTGACGGGTGGTGCTAGTGAGGGATACCGCGAGGATGGCAGCCCTGTGAAGATGCAGCGTCACAGATGCTGCTGGCGGGAGTAAGGGTACGAGTGGAGGTGCCGACCTCTTTATAAGTGCGTTTAGTCAAGACGCGCTCCCCCATTCGTCGATCGAGTCAATCGTCGATCGATGTCATTCACAAGAAAAGCCACGCTTTTTGCTGGTGCATGCGGATGATGCTTGCTCGCATCCTTCCACCCTCAACGTGAGTAGGAAATTCACGATTGTCGGTCGGTGAGTCACGAGTATACTGCGCCAGCGAGCTCATATTTTCTTCTCCACAGCAGCGGTGCTGCTGATGACGTGCGGATCCAGCATGCGCGTGTCGTCAGCATCACTCACGACTCCGTCGACCGTCGTCTGAGGGCCGCGGCACTGCGTGGGTGTGACTGCCTGAATCGATCGAGCCGCGGCACGCCGCAGGAGAGTCAAGCGGCAGGCGGCCAAATTGACGGCAAAAACGTCAAACCCTGCATCCAAATGATTCGGAATCCATGCAACGGGAGCGGCAGCAGCAGCTAGGGGCCGAGCTCGGGCATCAATCAAGAGTCAAGTCAAACGAAGAATGACGCTGCGTCGCTTGCTTGCGGCGATGTCGATTCGCGGCCACTCGTGACTGCTGATGCAAGCAAGCATGCGCGGACGAAGCTCGCGAGATCGCGCGTATCTCGTCAATCAATTCACGATTCACACATTGATGTGAACCAAAAATCAAGTCTCGGCGGATGCGCCTGAGATGACCGCGGCCATGCTGCATGCATGCAGCATTTTCGACTGCGCTCATCGGCCCGCCCGTGCCCGCCGGCATACGCGTGTCCGAGCAATAACGCCCTCCACATGATGGCGGGCGACCCATTGAAAGTCTTGGCGCAAAAGTTTTGAAGTCTTGAGTCACTGTCAGCTTAATTCATGGGACACTGCTCGGTGTACAGTAGCGCTGTCAGCATGCAGGTGCACATGTGCCGTGAGCGACGGGCTTTGCGGCTATACAGATCGGGTGAACGCATTCGATACGATTCACGATTCATCCGCGGTTAGCCGCGGATGAATCGTCCGACGGTGCGTGTGTAAGGCTCACAGGGAGAGCTCTTTATGTCCGCCTCGGGCTGCTCCACGAATGCGAGTCATGCGTCTTAGCAATCGTGAATCTTGAATCGAAATTCCTCTGATGAGAGTGTCGCGTCACGAGGTTATGCTCCACCGTATTTGTATGGAGACGCCGCGCCGCTCTGTACGTCGAATCAGACCCGTTCAGGATTTGGTCACGTGATGAGCTACACCGCCCGCTCCCACAGTGCACGTGTCCCAGCACGAAAAAAATGGGGCCGTGCAAGGCGAAAGAAGCGCCGTTTTTCACTTTGGACTTTCGCTTTGACTCTTGTGACTGCGCGCAAGACCGATCAGGTGCACACTCGAGATATTCACGATATGAATCAAGATTCAAGATTATCCATGTTGTGATTCACATTTGATTCACACATTCACGATACTGATCGTGATTAAGATTCCTCAGGCTTTGCATTTTGAGTCACGATACACCTCTTGCTTGTTCCATGGCTACCGGCGACCCTATCACCGCATTGCCCGAGATAGCGGTGAGCTATAGCGTTTAAGTTCCAGAAGATCGATCCATCGCTTCATCCAGGCTTGTGAGCACAGGGCACGGACGTCTGCACTCCAACCTTGTCCGACATGCCGCCTCCTGCGCAAGATCCGTCCCAAGATGCAGCATCCACGCAATGTGCGAGCAATCCAGGCCGAGCTTTCTTCGATTCCTTCTTCGCGCAAGCATTAGATCAAGCTGGTTTGGAAGATGCTTCGCTGAGGCCAAATCGCACATCCGCCAACACGCCCGGCTATGCCGAGGACAACAAGGCGCGCCGTCTGAACGAGCTCAGTGGCAGCACAGTGGGCATCAGCGATGCATCCCAGCCTAAGAGCGTTGCAAACAATAGCACGTCTGCTTACAGCGGTCTCGATTGTGGCTCCAACCCTGGCCCGTCTGCAGAACAGCTAGAGGCTGAGAGCGCATACACGAGTGCAAAGCAGCACTCTCCGCGGGCTCTGAACAATACAACGGCAGGAGCGCCAGGAGGTGGATGCAGACCCAAAGGGAAGCGCAGTGACAAGCAAAGTTTGAATCGCGCCTTTCATGGGTTGGGCAAGAGAAGCGCCGCGGACGATGCTAGCATGAGCGCAGTCCAGGACCTCGCATCCACAGCGCGCCCATCAAATCCGATTGCTCTGGAAGACTTGGAACGAGCACAGTTGCTGCAGGAGATGCAAATGGAGAGGGACAGCTTTGCCGCAGCTTCTTCCCAGGCGATTCGTCCGGGAATGGAGTCGGAGGAGTCGGAAGATGAAGACCTGGCTCTCCTTGGAGAGGGTCTAGACGCGCCCGCTTCATTGTCCGAGAGCACTCAGTCCATCCTCAGCCTGACACAAAGTATGAGGGAAGCCAGCTCGCCTGCTGCAGCCCTTGGACACGCGCCTGCATCCATGAGCAACATCAACGCTGGCTCGTCGTCGTCTGCTGGTGCCTCCAACTTTCGCAGCCCACCTATCTTGCCCGTGGGCGCCAGTGCTGGTCACAATCAGCTGCTATCGAGGCAGAACAGCTTCAGGAGCGCTAGTGCGAGCGGGCAGAGGACTCCAGTCATGGACAAGGATGGTCTAGGATGGCCAGGTGAGTTGTTGCATGAAAGTGTTCAGAAGGCAGTAGAGTGCGCGAGGAGGGCTGCTAGCTGAGGCTAGCGGTGCGCACTACGCTAATCCGCTCAACGTTTGTTCTGCGCTTTCGCAGCCAAGTCCACCCTCGATCGGCTCAATCATACGCCGGCTCAGGCCGCTGCGAATTCAGCTCGTCTAGCAGGCGCTGTGCGGACCATCTTGCAGTGCCTTGGCGAAGACCCGGATCGGGAGGGCCTGAGAAGGACGCCGGAAAGGTATGCCAAAGCGCTGCTTTGGATGACGCGTGGTTACGAAGAGAGACTAAGCGGTGAGATTGGCGAGCGGCAGCAAATCGGCGCGTGTGACCGCAATCTTTCGCTGACCTTCACCGTGCACACAGACGTCATCTCAAATGCAATCTTTGACGAAGAACACGACGAGATGGTCATCGTCAAGGACATCGAGATCTCGAGCTTGTGCGAGCATCACTTGGTCCCTTTTAGGGGTAAGGTGAGTTGGCCCTTTCGTCGCGCGATCTCTGGGTCGCTGCCGCTGATAATCTGGTCCGCGCTGCGACGCTCAGATCCACATTGGCTACCTGCCGAATCGCTTGGTGATCGGCTTGTCGAAACTAGCGCGCATCGCAGAGACGTTTGCTCGTCGGCTTCAAGTGCAAGAGCGTCTGACCAAACAAGTGGCTTTAGCGCTAGAAGAAGCGATTCACCCGCAAGGCGTAGCTGTTGTGGTCGAATGCGAGCACATGTGCATGTCGGCCCGTGGGGTGCAAAAGCAAGGCGCGACGACCGTCACTAGCTGCATGCTCGGCTGCTTTAGGAATAGCGCAAAGACCAGGCACGAATTCTTGACTCTTATCAATCGCAAGTAGATCTTCAACAACTCCGGTCGTCGTGAGATCGCGTCAACCGCATCGTCACGCGCGCCATTATAGTCGTCATTCCCACCTGCGGAACGAGACGGGTCGTCAGGAGTGGCGATCCGCGATACTGCCAGTCCATCTTTCAGCTGGCTGACCGGCCAAATCTTCACGTCATCTTCAAAAATGTTTGCAGCACTCTGATAATTCCCCGTGTACTCTAGATTCAACTCGAATGCCACGCAATCAACGATCTCCCGCTCTGCACCTCAAGACATCACCTCTGTCAGACTTGCAACGCGCGCGGTCTCTGCGTCACTCAAGTTGCATCCTGGCAAGGTGGGATGGGCGGAAGATGTCATTTCGCAGATGGGGGCGCTTGGTGGGACACGGGGCGTGTGTGGGTGTGATCTCTCAACTTCTCGACAGATCTTGCTAAGCGAGCGCACTCCATTGCAAAGGTCAGAGCCAGAAGTTGAGTCTTGTGGTGCAGCGAGCAGCTGATCTTCTTGGGTCACGAGCGGCCCAAATAGGCTCTTTATCATCTAATCAAAGCTGCGAGCGCGAAGACCACGAGGAGGAATTTTAGGCGGGGTCGCCTTCGGGGCCGGCTTCAAAACCTTTGGTGGCTTCTTGCCAGGGACGACCTCTTCAGGAGGAGGCTTGGACTCGATGTCGTGCGTGCCACGCTTCTTGATAGGAGCGCCAGTAGTGGCCATGTCGACTGTCTTGAAGGCTCGACGAGCAACAGCGGGTGGATGAGGAGGCTTCTCCTTCTTCTCCTTCTTGAGTGGCTCGGCTTCAGGCTCAGAGCTGCGACGAGCAGCAGGTGATGGAGGAAAAGGTGGAGGAACAGGCTTCTCCTTGTGCGCCTTGAGAGGCTTAGCGTCAGGCTCAGAGCTTCGACGAGCAGCAGGGGGTGGAGGAACAGGCTTCTCCTTCTTCGCCTTGAGTGGCTCAGCTTCAGGCTCAGAGCTTCGACGAGCAGCAGGAGGTGCAGGATGAGGCTTCTCCTTCTTCGATGGAGGAGGAGGTGGAGGAGGGTGCCACGTCTTCGGTGGCGGCTTGTGCTTGACTTCTGCATGCTCACCTCTGCGAGTAGGGGGAGGGTGAGGGTTATCCTTCTTCGCAGGGGGATCGGGCTTGCCGCTTTCGTGGTGCGTGTCAGGCTGCACCTGACGTGCAAGGAGACCCGGGCTTGGGTGCTCGAGGATAGGAGTTGGAACGTTGATCCTAGCCTCGAGAACTGGGGCGCCGAGAAGCGTTTCGTGAGGTCAATGGTCAGCCTAGCTCGAGGCGCTGCGGGATGGAGAGTCTCGTTGCCCTACTTGAAGGCTCGTTGAGCTAATACTCACCATCTTTGCCAAAGGCAATGTCACGCTGTTGCAGCGCAGTCGGGTAGGCATTGACCAGCGCCATGGCCACGACCACGAAAGCGGTCAGCTGAATGAATCGCATGTTGCAAGCTTTGAAAGTACTACTGAATCTGTTGCGTGTTGAGCACGATACTGGGATTGCTTAGAGATGCAGAGAAGGGCGAAAGTCGAGGAGACGAAGCTGCCCTTTTTATAATTGTCGAGAGGCACGTTCTGGCTCTAGAGGCCACTGGTCTACTCCTTGTTTGACGCGGCCGCAACTCACATCACTGGCCCAGCAATAGCATGTCGGAACTACTATAGACGGCTACATCCGCCACCAGCGCCAGCGTTTTGCGATTTCGACAAGGGAATAAGATCACTGGACCGGAGCCGAAGCGCCAGCCTCTGGCACTTTCTGCGGGTGGCAATGAAGCGAAAGCCGAGACACGACACCACGGCAGAGGCTGTGAGGAGAGCTGAGCGGCCGCTGACTGTGTTCAAATGAAGGTGGTTGGGTCCATCCCGCACTTTGAGATGGTAGCCAGGAGACGAGCACGAGCTCCGGCGTCAACTTGACCACGCTTGCGACCATCACTGCGATCGCATCATTCCTCTGACGCCCATGCATCGTGATTTGCTGACCTTGAGTCCTTGGCAGAGGTTTGTGAGACATTACACACCAGTGCTTAATGAAGAATCAACTTGTAGCTCTCATCGTGGATCGCAGTCCTAATGGAGTGATCACCTCCGAGACCAGGCGGGATGCGGTGATGCCTAAAGACCGGGGTCAACCGCGAGATTTTGAAGTTTCTGGCTTCAAGTCCAGAGCGTGATGAGTAAGAAGTATGGGGCCTTCAATCTATGTCAGCAATTTGGGCAAGGGCTGTGCAAGGAGCGGCATCGCGAGCCACGTGTCGGCGAAGTCAAAGTGCAACGGGTCTTGATTGAGAGTTAGCCACGAAGCTGCGAATCGTGAAGCTCTCACATTTCGGCATGCCCCGTTACCCAAATTGCAATTCGAGTCGTCACTCGTGCTGGCCGCATCAATCAGGCCATGATCGCGTGATCGCGACTTTTGGCAACGCTTCGTATACCGCGTAGCATGTCCAACACGTCAGGCTAGGGAGGGATGGCGCCTTCGTATCAGAGCAGACAATTCCATGCTAGATGAACTAACTGCCTGCCCTCCTCTTGCCGAGCACTGCCCTTGCCGCGACGCCCTTCGATTCGGCCGCCCATTGCTTAGCTCAGACGAGAAGCACCAACAAAGGTCGCCGTGCGGACTTGGCAGCCACGGAGCCGACTAGATAATGCGAGAGAGGCGGTGTCGCAATGGAGTGACTGCGGAGGTCATCGTGATCTGAACGAAGCAGATCTGGGCCGATCTCCGCATGCGTGAGAGGCAAGTGCGTGTTGCGGTGGGAGCAAAGGTCATTCTTGACTGCAAACGGCGTGCTGACTCAGAAGCACGCCGTCCTGAGGGGGGTGCACACCACAGCGCAGAGAATGTATGTGCTCTGCGGTCGCTTTACTTGCGGTCTTGACACCAGACCGTGGTATCAAGGTCAAAGGCAAGCCAATGCAATTGCTCTACTCGATTCAAAGTCGTGACAGGGGTTGATGGGAGACGCGCTCAACGGAAGCGGTGAATCCTATCATCCAGCGTCAAATCCAGTCGTCAGCACAATGACCAAGAAGAGTGACGATACACAGCTTACTCACTCGTCGAGAGTGCGGCCACGCATCCAGTCTGGCTCGGTGCCCTTGTAGCTGCGAGCGCAAAGAAAATTATTGCGCGATCAAGTCAGCGAACGATTGTGCGCCGTGTCAAAACGAAGCTTACGCACTAAATGTCGGTCCAAAGCTCCTTTGCGTCAGGCTCGGGACTCTGCTTGGCCTCCTCCACAGCTTGATCGACCTCCTCCTTCGCTTCCTTGTCGATCTTCTTCAGCGACGCCTCGTCCACCACACCCCACTCTAAAATCTTGCTCTTGAGTCCCTGAATGGGATCTGACGAGCTTCGCATGGACTGAATCTCATCTCTGGTTCTGTACGTCGTTCCTGGGTCAGACAGAGAATGTCCACCATATCTGTAGGTGACGTGCTCCATCAAGAGAGGTCCATTGCCAGCCAACGTAAATTCGGAGGCGTGCTTCGTCGCCTTTTGAACAGCCAGGACATCCATCGCGTTGACCTGAATACCGGGAATGACATCACCACGAGTGTAGTACTGAGTGTTCATACTAGAGCGTTCCGCGCTCGTGCCCATGCCGTACTTGTTGTTCTCGCAGACGAATACGCACGGCAAATCCCAGAGCTTGGCCATGTTGAAAGCCTCGAAGACTTGTCCTTGGTTCGATGCACCATCACCGTACATTGCAAATACGGCGTCTTGAGTTCCGAGATACTTTTGAGCGAAAGCAAGTCCAGCGCCGACTGGCACTTGTGCACCGACGATACCGTTGCCGCCAAAGAAGGTAGGGGTGAACATGTGCATAGACCCTCCCTTTCCCTTGCTGATGCCAGCCTCGCGACCAAAGAGCTCAGCAATCACGGACTTGATCGTTCCTCCACGCTGCACAGTGAATGGGTGGCATCTGTAGGCTGTGATTAACTTGTCGGAGGGCTTCATGCCAGCTTCCATGCCTACAGCGACGGCTTCCTGCGAAGATCAAGGGGAGTTTCGGGACCTCAGCTTCTATCGCTGCGCCCAGACACCGTGTCTGCTCAGCTTTCCGCACTCACCTGGCCGATGGCCAAGTGGCAGAACCCTCTGATCAGCTTTTGCTTGTATAGCTGATCTGCAGCCATTTCCATTCTGCGCATCTTGACCATCTCGGCGTACAAGTGGAGCAACTGGTTCTTGCTGGTCTCGATCTCCAGAGAAGGAATGTCGGTCTTGTATGCCTTGAATGAGTTGGCATCCAACTGAACTGTAAATGGCTCGCTATCACCCGAGGGTACACCAGTGGCGGACGAGGATGCGGCAGTGATGTGCACAGACTCGGCGTTCGAGGAGTCGACTGTGGTGCTGTAGAAGGCCGATGCTGGGCGTTGGCTGGCCAATCTCTGTCATGAAGCATCAAAGTTGCACAAGTCAGCACGGTGCAATACATCTCGCCAAGGCATCACAACCACAACTCACGCTAACGGGTTGCCTGAAAGCAAAGCGCAGAGCGCCGACTGGTGAGCGAAGAGCTGCCATCGTGAAGCAAGCTCAGGATGAGATGGGGCTCGACTGAGACAGCGTCGATGTCTTGGTCAAGGAAGGTCGAGACCCGGCTTAGCGAGTAGAAGGAGTGATGGAGGTTTGGCGCGGGCTTGCGAACAACCTTCAGCGCCTTGGAAGCCTGACGATCAGCAGGCAAGTTGCCATTCGGCCCTGCTGTCGCACAGCACAAACAGCACAAACAGCATCGCTACGATTCATCTTGCACTTCACGCAAGATTTGATTTTGGTGCGACCCCATCGCTCTGGCTGCAGCGCATGTGCAGCATATGCAGCAGCTGCGAGGTTGGCGGCGGGCGTCAGGCCGTGCGCACAAGGAAGCGTGGCGCTCCTCCGCTGTATGCACGCATCACGCCCTGACGCGGCGAAGCGCGGTCACGGCTTATTGTCGTCAGCGCCGAGAATACGCCGGCTGGAGACTTCGTCCCCGACAGAATGCATGCCTCTGTTGTGGTGCCTGCATCCCTAAACTTTGGGGAAGGCCTGCTCAGACCGCCGCGGCTCCACCACCCTTGAGCACGATCGACGAGCCATCGCCCAGCTGCTGCTGGCATCAGCTTCAGGAACATCGCAGAGCATAGACCCATTATAATCCACCGCGATGTGGATAGTCGTGAGTCATGCAGGTGCTGGCTGATGTCGACAGGAGTGGTGAGCTGTCGCTCACGACTCACGACTCACGACTCACGATCTGCAATTCAGCACGTCTTGAAATTTGTTCTCTCAACGACAAGTCCTAGCAGCAGCGTGGAGATTTGGGCTCGGTCCCCCTCTCGCGCGTGCCTCCTAGACAAGGCCATCACAGTCGTGGGTGGCATGAAGCGCTCAGGCAGGTGAACAGAACAAGACGACGAGCACGCATCAGAAGTCCAGATTGCGGCCTACGCCGTGGCTCTGTTCGCAAGGCAAACGAGGGTACACCGAGACTCTTCTTAGCTGAACCTGCAAAGCTACCTTGCAGCTCAATTTGCTGATCAAGAGGAGGTCGTCACTCGTCCGTCACGTCCACGCTTGGCAGTACATTGGTCCTCGACCCAATATTTGTCTGCATCGCATTGTGTGTACAACAGTGGCTGCTTTTCCGTGTCTTGAATGCGCAAGCTTAAGAGTATATACAAACGGGAATCCCGGGTTGTGTCACCCTACATGATGAAGTGTGCGATGAGTTGGACCTTGGAGATCCTCTGAGACGCGATGAGCCCACAAGCGTGATCTGATTACGCCTGTTGAGCAGCCTTCTCAGCTTCCTTCTCCCTCTGTGCAGCCAAGGTGGCATCGCTAGTGTGTCCATTAAGGTGAGAATTGCCAGTAATGTCGTTGTACTGCTCGTTCGTAGCATTGGGTCCGAGATCGCGAGCAGCCGCATACGGAGCTTCGGGCTTGTGTCCCTCTCCCGCAAAGATGGCTCTGTTTCTGTCAGCGACGTACTCTCCATCTTCCGTGAGACCCTTCTGAGCGGTCTTTCTCGCTGGGTAAAAATCGGCAGTGTAAGTCAAGAAGAAGAGGGCGAGAATGAATGCGCACGTCCATTCTGCTACTCCTGCCACGCTGACGATCCGATTGCAGCGCGTGTCCCCTTCTCGAGCGTCTCCAGAGCAAATACCGTAGGTCACTACGAAGACGATGAGAACGACGAGGGCAACGGCAAGCAGGATGGACTTGACAATTGCCATGGCACGCAAATGCCAAAGTTCGTCATCGTGCGACTTGGAAAGGCTGTCGTGAGAATCAGACAAAAGAAAAGCTGGTAAGCAGACGATCGCTTTGGAGCGAATGCTCAACTGACCTGAAGATCTGAAGTGTCTGGAAGAGCACGCTGATTGCGACACCCGCTACGAACACCACAGTCATTGACCAGTGCACGTTTGAGTAGCTGGCAGTTGCGGGAAGGCAAGAAAGGTAAGCGTCTGCCATTCGCATCTTTGCGAATCCAAGCCCCCGCACGCATTCACTCGAGGAGTGGTGGCCGCCAATATTCTCGGCTTTTTGAGTGCGCATGTACGCCTCTGTTTTTTGACTCACTTGACCGCATCGAAGACACTAAGCAAGACCAATGCAGCAGCACCAATGACGGCAAAGACAACGCTTACGATGTCGTAGCGGGTTTGGCGCTTCCTCAAAGATCCAGGAATACGCCTTTGGTGACGAAGATGACGCTCGATCAACGTAGTGAGGATGTAGAAGGCAGCTGATAAGGACGAAAAGACTGGCAGAGGGATGGGCAAAAGGGGGCAATCGTCAGCTTGGTGTTCCAGCCGCTGCCCTTGGCAAATCTGAGGATCGGCGTCTTCCACTCGCAGGGTGTCTCGATCGCGCATGATCCGTGCCTGAAGCCTCGTGCATTTTCCACGTGGACTCACTGATGAAGAACGTCTTGTGCCTTGCTCCCACATCGGAGATGAAGACTACAGTAGCTTGATCATTGCTGTATCCCTCGAAGTTGTCCCTACCACCCCACAGACCCAAGAGACCAAAGATGTCCGTGCACCAAAAGGCGAATGTGATCAGCGGCGCGAGCCAATAGTATCCGTGAATGGGCAGCATTGTGAGCTGCGGCAGTGTCCAAGGGGTGTCACTTGAGGTCTTGGGTATGAATCTGGAGCCTACGTAGTTGAACGGACCTCGCTAGAGTGAAGGGGCATCGACGTTGGTGGTAAAGTCGCAAGTCGATCGATGTGGGAAGTAGATGATTGCCCACTGTCTTGTTTTACAGCACCATTCTTCCTCGCTCGGAAGGCATCAATCGTGAATGTGGAGACTGCTCGGAGCTGCCCAACGGCAGCCACTCGTCATAATTTGCAGCGCCGCATTCATTCTGCTCGTCTGCAGTCGTCGACACCGCTTTGGTACCGTTCTATCAGCGAGTGCAGCGACGCAACAAGCGGAGCGGTGCACATCTCGGCTCTTTGCGTGGGCAGACCCTGCTGCGAACGGCAAAAGAGTCTCTGCCCTGCGCATCCAACGCGGCAAGCTGGCGGCTGGAAGCGGTGCTGAAGCGATCGACGGCCCAAACGCATCAGGAAGGAAGCTGCAGATACGAGAGATGATGTACGAGGCACGTTGGAACCAAAGATCGAGCCGCCGAATGGGCGTCACAACGCGTTACCGGTGCGAGCGCGCCGCATGGCTGCAGGGTGCATTCACCGCATGACGCAAACTTGCAGCTTGGCACATGACCCCCGCTGATCAAGAACTTGGTCACGTGCAACGCCAGGCAGAAGTCAAACTTTGGACTTTGATGACTCTTCGTTCTTGCTGGATCCCCATCAAACATCACAACCTCAAAACTTGACATTTGATCAGGTTGCGTTCAAGGTAGCACATAAGCCTCCTTGCTAAGAAACCGCGATTCAAGCTTCATTAGGCAACTTCACAACCGCAAGCCAAAATTCGTGGCAGGCGAGCAAGGCAAGCTGCTTAAGGTAAGCTTGAGCAGCAAATAGAGCCTAAGCTGGTGCGACAGGCAAGAGTCGGCTTCAAAAGCAATTTGGCTCAAAGCGCTCCTGTGACTCTGATCCTGCGACAGGTTGTAGCTCTGGCGTGGATGCAAGTGGTCGTGAGCGCCCACCTCGACTACACTCCGTCGCGCACAGGCATTTATGCGCTCCCGGAAGGTCGAGGTAAGGCAAGACGACACTACTATGACCAGATATTCAGCTGCTTTCGAAAATCGTCTATTCATTTTTTTTGTCGTCGCAAGCGCAGCAGAGACATGACAGCCGGACGCATCAAACCCGAATTACCGATCACACGGGGTCGTTGCTCTGAGTTCACAGGGGCGCGGAGAGGGAGGTCTAGAACTCTGGAACGTGCAGGATGGCGTTGCCACTGTGGCTTACTTCTTGATCTGACCAACGACACGTTGAGGTTGAGCCATGTCGATGAAGATGTCGTCGGGGCTGTGACGGTAGAGGGGAGCGCGGAGTCTCTTCTGGTCGAGATGGTGACCGATGAAACCGATTGAGCGTCCAAGGACAAAGATGCCGTTGAGGAAGCCAATGCGGATCTGCTCGTTTGCCTCTTCGGTGGTGAATGCGCCCGAGTCCCTGAGCAAGTCGACGAAGCATACAGCAAGACATCCATCGACGTTGAGGATCAAAGTGTCCTTCTTGGCAGTGGTCACACGTTCGACAGCAAGGGCGTAGTCGAGCATGCGGCTAGATGGGAAGTTCTTCTTTACGAATTCCTTCACAACCTCGACGCGGTAGTCGGGATTGCTGGTGCTCTTGATCTTGTGACCGATGCCTGGAATCAAGCGTTGAGCCTTGCGCATCTTGTCGACGAATTCACGAGGTGTCAATCCAGAGTCGTAGGCATTGCTGAACTCCTTTGCAGCGTCATCGAGGGCACCGCCAAACCGGTCGCCGATGGTCAAAAGACCAGAAACGAGAGAGGACACGAGGTCCTTACCAGCACGAGTAGTGACGATGGTGTTCATGGCACCGGATACGGCAGGTCCATGGTCAGCGACCAGCATCAAGGCCATCTCGATGAATTTGGTGCAGAAGGCGGGCAAGCGACGCTTGAACCACAGCAGAGAGATGACACCACCGATTCCCATCTCTGAGGCAAAGACTTCCGAGATCTTGACACCAGAGTACATGAGCTCAGCACCTCGCTCGTCGGAAATGGTGGAAATGAACGCCGCAGGCTTTCTGACCATGCCAAGCTCCTGCGCCCACTTGTAGTCGATGGGAATCGCAGGTGGCGCGCGCTCAGGCTTGGGCACGACGGTCCCACTGGCCACGAGCTTCTCGTAGACTTGTCTCAAGACGACAGGCAGGTCCTCGAAGGTTTCGGGAACGATGAAGCCGGCAGCCTTCATCGCAGCGTTCTTGGCCGAAGCTGTCTCAGCATCAGAGTTGGCCATAGATCCGGCGTGACCGAATTGAACTTCTGTAGTGAACATCTTGGCGCATGTTCCGATGGCCCAAGCAACGATGGGCTTGGTGATCTCGCCCTTCTTGACCGCATCGATGACTCGGTACTCCTCGACACCACCGACCTCACCAAGCAGCACCAACAGCTTGCAGTTGGGGTCCTTCTCGTAGCGGATAAGGTGGTCCAAGAAAGTGGTCGCTGGGTAGCGATCACCACCAATGGCGATACCTTCGTACGTTCCGTTGGTCTGCAGACTAAGGATATTGTTGAGCTCGTTGGACATACCACCGGACTTCGAGACGTAGCCAACGCTTCCAGGCCTGTAAAGCTTGGATGCAAGGATGTTGTCCATCATGCCACCACTGTTTCCAATACGGAAGCAGCCTGGCTTGATGCCACCCACGGTCGCTGGGCCGATGATGAGCACGCCAGCAGTCTTCGCTCGCCAAAGGATCTCACGGGCGTGACGTTCAGGTACTCCTTCTGCGATCAAGGCCAAAGCTCTGATCTGGGGCAGCTTCAAGATCTCCAGCGATGACTGATAAACGGAGCGTGAAGAGGCAAAGTTGACCACAACGTCTGCGTCGGGGTGCTTCTTGACAGCCTCCTCGACGCTCGTGTAGACCGGCAGCAAGACCTCTTTGGTACCCCAGTAGAACTTTTGAATGTGGTGGCCCCCGAACGGGTAGATCATGGCTGCTACTGAGGGCGAAGCTCGGCCGCAGGAGAAGTCAAAGTCAAGCATGCCTTGGATCGCGCGCGGCTGAAGACCGTAGACCAAGCTGCGGGTGTGCTCATCGAATGGCACATGAGCCGGTCTCTTGGGGACACCAGTGACGCTGTCAAAAGTGACGATCTGGTCTTGCGGCTGGGTTCGCTCTCCAGTCTGAGGGTCGACGTGACCAGTAGGGTGCTGGGCGGGAGCGTCTCCGTTGGCGGGCGCGTTGGGAGTCTGCGCACCTGAGGGCAAAGGCTTGTGCTGCACATCGAGATCAGCAGCGGATTTGATACCAAGAGCAAGAGGCACGATGTCTGTAATGTGCGTGTCTGGGCCAAAGACTTGAATTTCGACTCCGAGATCTTCGCCGAGCAAGCGCATCGCTCTAAGACCCTCCTGGTAGTTTGGCCCACCTCGACGAACGAAGATGCGGACTCCATAGGTCGAAAGAGCCTGCTTGAATTCCTTCAAGGCGCGAATGATACCCTTGAAGGTAGCAGCCACGTTGGTAAAGTTGGCAATGCCTCCTCCAATGATGAGAAGCTTGCCTTGAGGGTTGACCTCGCCACGAGTCATCAAGTCAACTTTAGTGTGCAATGCAGACTTCGGTCAGCATCGCAAGGCAAGCTTGACACACGTCACACTGAGCTCACGGATTGTCTTGGCGTACTCGTACGTCTGGCCCTCGCTAGGCGCTCCGGAGTACTCTCCGTAATTGGCCAGCTCGTGCGCGTATCCATGTGCGGCAATGGCATCACTATCGAATAAAAGAGAGGCAAGACACTCAACTGCTGCGCAACCCTGCGACCTGCTGACGCTAACTTCTAACGCACCTGTACACGACTGAAGCACCACCTCCTGCGACCATAGTCCAAATGCGGCCCTTGTTGTTTAGGACAGTCAGCTTCAGAGAAGCACCTGTACCCGAGTCGAGTTTCTGAATGTATGCTTCTTCCTTGGTAAGATCACGGCCGAAAGGAGCAGGGAAGAACATCGGAGGTCCTCTGTCTTCTCCTTTAACGCCGCCCGCTTGACCAGCGACTGAATTGTTGTACAGCGCTGGGTCACGAGCAATTGCCCACTTGGGGCCGCAAATGAAGTCTGCAGTTTGGTCCAGCTTGGCAGCCATATCGAGATAAGTGATCGTGCCATCGTCTGTGCAAACAAGAGGGTTGATCTCGAGGTAGGCAAAGTGCAAGTCCACGTAAACATTGTAAAGGCGGATCAGGAAGTCGGTAAGGTGCTCCTTTTTCTCTGCGCTCTTGACACCCGGCAAGAGGGTAGAAGTCCACTGCTCTCGCGTGGGGAAGCCTTGCTCTGGGTCCGCGGGAATCAGCAGCTTCAAGGCCTTTGCGTCCACATCGCCAACGTCTACACCTCCCTCGTGAGTGAAAAGAATGTAATCTCCCTCTCGTGCAGAGTTGATACAGACGTAGAACTCTGTGTCTGCAGGGTGAGGGAAGAATGGCTCCACGATGAAGTTGTTGAGGGTTCCCGTCACTGTCTCCACCTGTGCAAATCCAGTCCCTGCTGTCAGTCACTGCTCGCATGCGCTTCATGAGTCGGGTCGAGCAGTCACGAGCTCACTTTTTGTGACTTGCCTGCCCGCTCGCTGATCCACGCTTGTGCGTCTTTCCAGTCAGAATTAAGCTTCAGCAGGCCCGCCTTGCCGCGTCTCTTGATGAGCTGATCGGGCTTGGCAACCAGCTTTACCTCGTGCACCCAGCTAGGCAGAGCAGTTTCAGGGGTCACTGTGTTAGTCTCTGGGTCCCAAGAGACTTGCGCGACCTTTGCGACTGGCGCGTTAAATTCCTTGAGCTTGAGAGAGGGATGAGCTACTGGAGACCTGGGCAACCAGTAGTTGACCAGCAGCTTGGCATCGAACTCGCGAATGGCTGTCAAGCGCATGAGCGAGGAAAGTCAAGGGGATTTGAGTGCGCTATTCATTCGCCGGCGAGCTCCGTCTGCAATGAATCGTTGAGAAGCAGCACTGAGACACTTACGCTTGGACGACATCGTGCAAGCCGCTGTGAACAGCTAGTAAGAGCGTTAGAAGGGAATGGACGTAGCGTGACTGTTTCGGTAGCAGCGGCTTGTGTGTATGCTGCAGAGTGTTAGGTCGCGTGAAGAATTCCTCTCCGCAACCCTGCAACCAGGTCAATGAAGGTGTGGAAAGGTGAGAGTGAGAGTGATAGGTAAGGTGGTTGTGGTTAGAATGAGGAGATGGGACGCAGCACCTTGTCGTGAGCACTGATCTGCTGGCAAAGCACAAACGTCTGGTGAAAGCTCAACAAAATGCACGGCGGTCGGAAGCAACTCGATCGAGAACGCATGGCTTGGGCTTCCATGCAAACGAAGCGCCGAGGCGGATCTGTGCGCGCTGTGCTGCCTCCCCAAATTCGTCGAGCCGGTCGGAGGCTAGCGCAAGGAGAAAGGTCAGACGGACGGGCTGCCTTGGCGACCGCCCGCTTATTTGCGGAGCGAGGTCAAGCTAGACCTGCCAAAAACTTTGGTCGCGAGCAGCAGCAAGCAGCAGCCTCTGCTGCGTTCGTTGGTCGACTCGGTCCAAGCGCACTTGCATGCAGCAGCAGCCCCAGCTGCAGCGAAGGTCGCGCTGAAAGGCAAGCCAGGAACGCTAAAATCCAAGTCTGAAGCAGCAGGCAGCAGCAGGCAGCAGCAGGCAGCAGCGCACGCAGCTTGCATGTTGATTTAAATGGCATCCATCCCAAGCATTCGATCTTTTTTTGATGAGATTATGCTGGGGCCGCAGGAGCAGGCTCCGCGCTACGGGCGCCTGATGCTCCTGCATGCACGTCAGCCAGCAAGTGATGATGAGCCGGCCCCATGCCACTTTTGACTGCAAAGCAACCTTTTTTTTGACGCTTTGATTGCTGCGCACAGATCCACCGACGCGCGAACGCCAGCCGCCAAACTTTGCCCGCGAGCCGACGCCCGCGGCGCTCATCCTCGCGCGCAGGATTTGTTTGATCTTTTGGATCAGAAAACGATGGGGCGAGGAAGGTGATTCGCGCGGTCACCGCGACTTGAATCGCAAGCGCCCCTCGATCGCTCGAATCTTGAATGATGCCAGCGTACGTTCATCAAAATCACGAATTCAAGATTCAGATTCACCATTCAGATTATTCAGATTGGATACGATCTGGCTGCATCGATGAACTTTTACAATCGATGTTACGCACATCAGCTTCTCGACCCTTGCTCTCTTGTCAAGCTGGAAAATGGTAGGGTGGAGACAATCGAACGTTCTGGCATCCCCGCGCGCGCGCATGTCCGGCCGCTCCTTCCGAGTCAAGTGAGTCTAGCTGTGAGTGGTGTACTCAAGACTGTCGAGGGTAGTCGGTACCGCGGTGAATGTGCACCTCGACGCATCCGAGAAGATCCGAAGAATCAATTGAAATTGATCGTTATTTAGAGACAACAATCGAAATCGAGAGAGCATCCAAAATCGTAAATTCTGATCATGAATCTTGAATGCCCCAAAGTCGGAGGTCAGCTCGCGTGGTAAACACGTGACTTGCAGAGAAGAGAGTCTTGAGTCCAGTCAGGCTGCATGCGTGTGCACGTCGAAGGGCTTGATGGATACGACGGCAGGAGAAGGGATGGTCGGCGACTCTTGCTTGTCCCACGCCTAGCTCTGATCTGCGTGACCAAATCGGAATCACGAACGGCAAGAAGGCCAGGTGAGTGTCATGTGAAAAGGGTTGGATGGATGCGCATGCAACAAAGTGCTGCTAGAAGTCGCCGGCGGTGCCTTTGCAAAACGGCGGAAGGCACGAAAAGGTTTGCGCTAGCGCACATAGCGTACGCCGTATCTTGCAAGTTTGCCCTAAGGTCGCGTTAGATGCTTCTTGGCAAGCGTCACGTCACAGACGCTTCTGATGTTGTTGATCACAAGTCTGGATCAAAGTCGACGCTTCACTCCCCAAGTCAGCCTGGATCAAGCCACCGCTACCACTCCAGAATTGAGAGATCAGCCACGTTCGCAGATGCGTCGGACAAGCGTCTTTCATCTACCCTTTCGAAGCCGGCCAAAGCCTGAACGGGATGCAGCCTTTGTGCGAGCCGCATTCGTCCGTGGCTAGATCAGAATGGCGCTTCAGCATACATCCTTAGCTGCTGTACCAAAGTCTGCACAATGCTGGAGACTCCCAACGGTTCGCAGCGTGCGTGCAAGGACGGATGGGCAAGCTACATGTACATAGAGTCTGCCAGTGAGCCCCTCCAGGGGAACAGCCAGTCCGCCCAACACCAACGCAACAGGTGCAGCGAGAGTACTTTGAGCGGCAGTCAAGAGTGGATCATGCGGTGGAGGCCGTATCTGACGCAAATGAATCCACGTGATCCGAGCCGCATCGACGATACCGAGACGATTAGCGCAAGCCTTGCCCTCACTGGCAGCAACTTGCGCACCACGGTCTCTAACTGATGACGACAATGAGTGCTGCCGTGATTCAGTCCAATCAGCTGCGCTGGGTAGCACGGATCCCCAAGATGCGAAGGAAACGGTCCAGGCACATACGTCAGGCCAGTATCATTCACGACTGGTCATTGCGCCGCCACTGGGCGCCGCCGGCGCCCACCAAGTCTACTCGGCGCCAGGGATGATCGAGCGCCCCATGGGCCGCCAGCAACCTGTGTAGCTTCAACTCGAGCGTGAGCGTCTTGCACACAAACTGCCGGTAGCTGTTATCCAGCTACGATGAGTCATTCGGCGAGAGCTGATCGTGATCCGCCGATACCTGGGTTTTATGCACTGTGCACCTCCCACTCGTAAGCACGGCATTGAGTGTTTCGACGCCTTTCAGATCAAGTGCTGGCCGCGTTACTTTACCCATTTGTGGCAAGAAAAGGCGTGGCTCTAGGTGTTTTAGTGTGAAATCAGCAGAAGTGGCAAGTCCAGCCCCGAGCAGCTTACCCGTCCCCTTAAGAAGGATCGCTCGATCTCCCACGCAAGGGCATTCGACCGTTCTTGAGACCACCCCTCAAAGCAGCACGTTCAATCACAGGGCGCTGTTCAGCTCAAGGTTCAGAAGCAGGTCTTCTGGTCTATCACCCTCTGTGCACCGCTATATAGTCTATCCAACGCTGCTCGTCCATCCTCATTACAGGCAGAGCCGACAGCGCTCTACCATCGTAGTACAATTTGCTATATTTGACAGGCTCTAGAGCGACCTCTCACACCAGGCTTTGATAGCCATCTCTCGCCCAAGCCACAAAGACGCTCGAGATGTTTCACTTTGACCGACGCAGGCTTTGCTTCAGCAGACCATCCGTGGGCATTCTTCTGTTCACGCCTGCCATCACAATCCTTGCCGCCATCGAGACCGCATGGGCCACATTCGACCTCATCAGGGTGCATGGCACCGCTGGCAGCTTCTACCGCTTCTGCGGGGTCGTGGCGATCATCGCAATGTGGACGCTTGTCATCGGTGCCCCTGTCGGCTTTATCGGTGTAGCTATCCGTAGCCGAAAGATCTCGTGAGTGAAGGGCTCTGGTATGTGGTCGCTTATTGGGCAGGCGTGGATGGCTGACGATGGGTTTCTGATCTCTACAGCACGGCCTGGTGGCACCTAGCGACCTGGCACGCAGTATTCACCACCGTCGGGGGTGTTATCAAGACCATCGCTCTCCTCGCAAATCGATCCGGCTGGCTGAATCTTTGCAACGCTGAGCACCAATACCTGTTCGATGGTATGATCAGTTGCAAGCGCTATTGGCGCATTCGTATGCTAGGACACGTCATCGTGTACTTTGGGCTATGCTCCCTCCTGATCATGAGCGCTATGCTACTCACCGGATTTGTTGCGGAACTTGCCAAGAGCGACGAAGGTCATCAAGAATTCATCGTGGTGGACAATAGTCGACGTGGTGACAACATTGGTCTCACGCGCACCTGCGCTGGTGGCGGTGCTGATAGTCGTGCACGCTTCGTCGCGCCCCATCTCCCACGACCAGCTCCTCAAAGAGCCGATTCTGCCCGATCAGAAGACGCGCCCGTGACTGCGGACCAAGTCATCGAAGGCCTTCCGTCTGGCACCTTCACCGAGATCCCTCTCTCTGAGAAGAAAATCGTCGACTCGCGCTCGTCTTCCTTCTCACCGGATACCAATCCTTTCGCGGACAAGGCCTTCGATCAGGAATGCTTGCCTCCTCCTGCCTTTGAGGCGATCCACCCGACACATGCAGCCGGGGCCAAGGCAGCTGCTGCAGAGAATGCCAAGGTGCAAGTTCCTGAGACGGCACATCTTCCAGACACCAAGCTCGATGGCTAGATGGTGCAATGTGGCCGCATTGGAATTGCGAAGAGGCCACGCAGACCATCATCCTCTTGACTTTGTCAGACTGCAGCGTTGCCCTTCAGAAAATCACGCAGAATTGTGGCATCTAATCGTGTACAAGTGTCCATTACGTAAATCTTGATCCAATGATGCGGGTCATTTCTGATACTACCATCTTCCCAGTGCACCTTCCAAGCTTCACGGGCGAGGACCGTATAGGGCGCCAGAGTCAGTGTAAATCGTCTGAGCGGTGATGTTGGTGTCCTTGAGCAGGCCAATGTAAGTCTGAGCGACCTCATAAGGCTGAGCGATCTTGCCCGTCAAAGCCCTTTGACTCATGGCCTCGAAAGTCTTTTGCCTCTTGTCTTGCGGCATGCCGCTCCACAATTCCGTCTCCACTCCTCCTGGGCTGACCACATTGACTCTCAAATCGTACTTCGAAAGATCGTAGGCCAATTGTCTGCCCAGGCTTATCAGACCACCCGCAAATCCACTGATGATGGCCCAATCGGGTCGAGGGCTGACGGAGATGGAACCGGTGGTGAGGGTGATGGAGCCGCCTTTGCGAAGATGCGGCTGAGCAGTCTTGGCGGCCAGGATTGCACTGAAGAAACGCACTTCGCCCGCCTTGAGGATCTGGTGGTAGCTTGCTTGCTCCAGCGGTGATATGGCCAGTGGATCTCCAGCGGTGTGTATTAGGTGGTCAAATTCACCCACGGAAGAGAACAGATTGGCGAGCGACTCCTGCACAAGTAGGGAGCGCTTAGGGTGAGCAAATTCCACTTCGGACCGGATGGCATCACAGTGAATCGCACGGCCACTGATACCCATCACTCACCTCCATACCCTCTCCTAGCAGATTGCAGGCTTTTGCAGAGACCCTGCTGGGGTCCGCATTATACTGCAGCTTGGGGTCGTTGAGGCGCTTGACGGCGTCGTCTAACTTGGATTGATTGCTGCTAGAGATGACTACGCTCGCTCCCTCTTCGATGAGAGCAGAAGCCACTGCGAAGCCTAGACCCGAGGATCCGCCGATGATGACCGCCTTTTGGCCCTTCAGCTGCGAGACGTAACGAGGCTGTGCAGACATGATGGAGTCGTCGTGGTGCAAAGCAGGGACCTGCTATCGGAAGATGTGGAGAATGTGAAGTTTGGAAAGGGCAATTCTCCGAGAGATGATTCGAGTCCCGTTTTATAGACGTCGTGGATCGTCACCAAAAGCTTACACTTGCCCTTCGTAAGCTTATTTCTCTGATGCGTTGACGTGATCGCTGAGACGCCGCGAACGTAGGCAAGAACACCGGAGAAATGCCGTCCACCCGACTTTCGGCAAAACCACTCCCACTGGGCCACTAGCGACTTTGCGCCGCACACGCACAGCAGCCAGGGTACTCCACTTGCTGATGATTCAGGATCGCAGCCGCCGGCCAAAGGATGCGCGCGCACACGCAGTCACGAGTGAGCGAGCAGAGCATCATCATGACAGGGTCGGCAAAGCGGTAGCCAGTCAAGAGTGCATGGGTGAAGAGTGGTGAGTCACGACTCCAAGCAGTCCCCAGTGCGTGCAGTCACTACGTCGACCCTGGGGCTGTGAGAGTCAGGCCGTCGTGAGCGCTCGAGTCCAAAGGAACCTGCATCCTGAAGAGCGAGCGAATCTATTCGAAAGGGCCACGACCTCGCAAAGACGGACGCTCGGAAGGGCGAGGGAGGTTGTCGCAGCGCGTCCAAGCCACCGCAAAAAAAATCAGAGCGTCACCATAGCATTTCGTTCTGTTTCCAACGCGCCCATCGAGGTCCACCGAGCCACAAGCCAGAGCTCCTTTCTGCGCGCTGAACCAAACTTCCCAGCAACCTTCTAGGCGCATCTTCCTTGCGTCTCTCCTCCAACGCAGCGTTCCAGGTATGTTTCGCTGCCCTGACAAGTCCCCTCTTCTCTACATAATCTCGCCTCGCCTGCTCGTACTCTTCAGACTTTGCTCCTGCATCCATCTGCAAGAGCTCGTCCATCCTGTCCTTTGCTCGATACATGGCCTGCATCCTCTCTTCGACCGCTTCGCCGGGTAGAGGATTGATGGACTTTCGAGCAAGAGCAGGTGTAAATGGTCCTCTGCGTGGACGTGGCAGGACTTTGAGCGAAGGCAAAGCTTCTCCCGCATCGTCCTTCGCTCTCAACCTTCGAGCGCTGGCCGACTGCGAGCCGCCATCGACCCCGCGCCTAGTCGTGCGCTGCATCAAGACGTACGGCGAAAGGTGGTGGTAGGTCAAAGAAGCCAGCGAGTGGGTGAGACGATGGGAGAGTAGTCTGCCTTTGCGTTCCGAAGCGCCTACTACGTCTGCCTCTTCGGCAGCACCGTGAGCGACGTCGTTCCGCAGCCTTGCAGAGCTCGATGTGAAAGCGTGTGAAGTCCTGCTGCTCGAAGCATCATCGATGCTGTCCGATGGCGAAGAAGGCGCTTGCCTCGGTGCTGTAGAGCTCAACAGCATCAGCATCGTCCGTTCAGCTGGGATGCGCGATAGCCGGGCACCGATGAGGACGAAATCAGTCTCGACTGCTCGGGCCATGAGAGGTGTCTGCACTAGGACGCAGCCAGCATCGCTCACCTGCCTTGAGATCCGCATCGATGAGATTGCCTCGCGCCATGATCTGCTCAAAGTGCCACTTGTACAAGCGTCGAAGGTTCTTTGTAGCGTGGGAAGAGTAGGTGACTGCAGGTGGACACTGTCGAAGCACTGCTCTGTAGAGTGCTCTGCATGCTTGCTTGCCTAGCTCGTGCGAGGTCATGCTTGTACTTGCAAATCGTGGAATGGCGGTCACTGAGTGAATGCCCCGTTCCTGCGAGCGAGGACGCCGAGGAGAAATCGAAAAGGGGATGCGAGCGAATGTGGCTGTTGGACGCGGCAAGAGCGTGGTGAAGTTGCGCGCTTGTCCCAAAGAGGTTAGAGCAGCATGGGCACGTGGAGTGGGCTAAGCGTCGCGGACAGATTCGAATGCGATCCGAGCCTGCTGTTGAGATTTCCGCTGCGGAGCTGCCGTGCGAATGACCGCTCTCGAAGAATGGGTTTGAAGCTAGCAGCGCATATTGGTGAGATCTGCTGGAGTTGGGATAGCGCGGCTGTGCATGGGCAGTGACAGCGGGATGAGCATGTGGAAAGGCGAGGGCAACTCGCTCACTTGCGATCAAGAATGACAAGTCAGTCGTGAGTCACGATCGAGTCGATCACGAATGTGACTGTTCGCTATAGCTGCTCGGCGACTGCTGCACTGGTCACTGCATGGATGCAAAAGGCGCGCGCAGCTGGCTGGCCTAGCTGCTGTGCCCACGCCCACGCAAACACGGGCAGGGCAAGCAAGCAATTAATTAAGCAAGCAAGCGCGGTCAAGTCAGCAGGGGAAAGGCATCGCGGCGACTTGCATCATATGTGTTTGCCATGCGCGGACGCGCGCACAACGCTTTGCACCGCCTCGTCTCGATCCTCTTAATTCTCATACCCATGTAGCACACGCCAAAGCTCTCAACGGCGCTGTGCTGCGAGCTCGTCCGCCGCCGATGCTGCAAAGAACAGATCTTCTTCATCGCCCGTCAATCTCTTGGCCCGCCCGGCCCCCAAGAGTCCCACGCATGGACAAGCGCCGACATGAATGCATGCGCTTGGCCTTTTTTTGACGAGATGGCCAAGCAAGGCCCATGCAGCAACAGCTTTGCCGCGAGCATCTTCTCCGACAGAGGCCTCGCGCTCGTCGAACTCCCCGCACTGCGGCCCTCTGCTGCTCCATGCGCATCTTCCCGCTGACCAAGACGCAGCAGCGAGCGATGCTATCAGCACGAGCTCACGCTCGTCGACGCTCCGCTGTGCCCTCGTATGCGTATCGTCTCTCCCTGCAAACACTGAGACACCACGAGAGTGCGCTCTCCTTCGCTCAGCTCATCGGCGGTCCGACTTGATGCCGTCGTTTTCGTAAATTGAGTGCGCTTCCCCTTTCCCGGTCTATCGAGCTGCACGGCCCGCTTTTACGGGCAGAAATACGTCCATACACGGCTAGAGCCCTTCCTTGCATCGCTGCTCAGCCATTCTCCCAGCCTTTTCATCGAGAATCACCGAATCACCGAGCGCTCCGGAGCTGTCTGCTTAACGGAGACCGTGACCGTCGTTCCTCACCCTCGTCCCGGGTCGCACTACGATAGCCGGTCTCGATTGGCTCGACAAGACAACGTACAAAAAGGTCCGTTGCGCACGAATTCCTAGATAGCACATCGATCACTCCATACCTCAGCACAGCTCCCTCATTTGTCGCCTTGCAGCATATTCAAGATGTCAGCGCCCCCGCAGCACAAGTCCGTCGTTTCCTCTTCAGGTCTCCTGAACAAGGACTTTGCGCTTCCACCTGCTCAGACCGGAGCGGAAATCGCCATTCTGCCCGAAAAGCCGGTCGTAGACTGGGCAACTACTTTCAAAGGCGTTCTGCAAGGCTTGGGAGCCAAAGTGATCGAAGGGAACGATTGCGTCACTGCGAACACGCAAGGAATCTTGTGGGTCGATCACGGGCCCAAGAATGTGCCCATCCTGGAAAAGGCGCTTCAGGTTGGCACGTCGGTCAAGTGGGTTCAACTGCCAATGAGCGGCATCAATGCGTATGCCGCAGTCGTCAAGAGGTATCCACACCTTATCTGGACGAGCGCAAAGGTGAGCATCAGCGCTGACGTTTCAGTACTCTTCTCGCTCATCGAACCCGTCGCATCTCGTCACAGGGAGCTTATGCCCAACCAGTTGCCGAGCATGCCCTGACTCTGACCTTGGCACTGCTGCGGCACATACCTCTCAGAGTTCGTGCGGACTGCTGGGGCCCAATGTAAGCCGCCTTTCTAAGGATGCTCTGCTCTGCTCTTGAAGAGATTTGACCCCGACACGTTCTTGCGCACAGGCTAGGCTACTCTCTCTTTAACCGTCGAGTGCTAATCATCGGTGCCGGTGGAATCTCGCTCTCCCTGCTATCTTTATTGAGTCCCTTTACTCCCCGCGTCACTCTCTTTCGTCGCCGAGCCACAGAACAGCTGGATCTATCCGAATTGCCAATGACGGACGAAGCGCGCTCCTTGGTGGATGTACAAGGATTGAGCAAGCTGCACGAAAATTTACCTCAGGCTGACGTGGTCATCATCGCTGCTGCGCTCACGGCGGATACCCATCACGTCATTGGGGAAAGGGAGCTGGGACTGATGAAGAGTACAGCTGTGCTCGTCAACATTGCGCGAGGGGAGCACATCGACACACCAGCATTGATCAAAGCGCTTCGAGAAGGTCAGATTGCCGGTGCAGGGCTCGGTGAGTCTGGGTGATTTGCTCACTCGTGTAATGACCAAGAGGAGCTAATGACGCCATCCATCGCTTGCGCCTCTACAGATGTCGTGGAAGGCGAGCCTATAGGTGACGATCATCCGCTGTGGAACGTCGACTCCTCGCACAATGATGTGGCAGGCACCAACTCGGGCATGTGGGGTCCCGTCAAGAAAGGCGGCGAAGGACGGGCAAATCTCATCGTCACACCTCACACCGCCGATACGCTAGACATGGTCCTGCCCCTGTTCACGCGGGTGAGAAGCATGATCAAGACTTGGAATGAGGGAGACTGCCACGCTAATGTGCCCACGTGCGTCTCACACCACAGCGCTTCACACAAAATGCCCAGGCCCTAATGAGCGGCGATGGCAGCTTCGAGGGGGTCGTCGATGCTGAGCACGGCTACTGAATCGCCAAGAAGGTATGAATCGATTCGAGTAAATCTCTCTTTAAGATATTATTACAATGCACAATTCTCTGCAAAGCGTGATGGTTGGCGCCCCTCGTCCTAGGTGTGATGTGTCGAAGACACGCCTAATCGTCACCAGGGCCGGTCTTTCTGAGGTTCACTCTGATTCTAGGACGCGCAGAATTGGGGGTGAGCGCGGCGTTGTCTCCAGAGTCTGCCGCATCGCCGGCGACTGGTGCGACTGGAAACAGCGCCGAGGCGGCCTCGCCATCAGTGGGCAGAGGGTCACCTGGGCCGTCGATACCGGGCAAGTCCGTTCCGATGACGTGTTCTGCGTAGGCTCTGTCCCATGCTTTCTGCAGTTCGACAGCATCATTCCAAACCCATGATCCTTCCTGATTGTAGGTCTTCGCATTCAGGACCATCTGATGGATGTCATTCCTAGCCAGGTAGGCTTCGCGGTACGAGCGGTTATCGATGCGTCGCTTGACCTGACGCATGGCGACGGGCCGCTGTATAAGGCTGTATTTGAGAGGGAAAGAAGTGCATGAGCACGCATCATCAATTCGCAAGGCCGTGCACTCGACTCACACGTGGTAGTCGGGATAATCGGCCTTCTTGGGCACATCGAGGAACATGCGGCATCGTTGCCGTCCATCATCGTCGCACGCATTCTCCAGAGCGCGATAGACTTTGACCAAAGCGTCTCGAAGCTGGTCTCGGGGGTCGTCTCCTCCAGCCATGCGCTGTCGCTTTGCAGTTGCAGACGCGTTCCCTCGCCCTCCGATCGGGGTGTTATCGCGCTCTGGCGAGGCTGAGACAGAGTCCGGGAGACGTTTCCGCTTTCGAGGCCCGCCCTTTGGCGAAGGCTCGGGCGTGTCCGCTCCAACGGCGCTCTTCCTTCCTTTCTTCTTGCCCGCACTAGGCTCTGGTGTGCCAGCATCCGAATCTTCGCCACCGCCGCCGTTCTTCGCCAGCTGTTTGCGGCGCCGCTTCTCGGCTCTCACTCTCTTCTTCTCGACCACGTCTGCCAGATCGATGTCATCGTCCTCGAGAGCACGCAAGAATTGCTCCTCGGTGAGGCCGTCGTCGTAATGCACCACTGCACGCTTGCGAGATGATAGTTCCTCCTCTTCTACCACCTCCTCGAGCACTGCCGTATCAAAGTCTTGCTGGTAGAGTGTTGGGAGTTCTGATTCCTGTATGAGACGTTCAGGTGGTTTTCCCGTGTGTCCCAATGCCTTCCATTCCTCCGCATCAGTCTTCTCCCGCTCGATGTCCATTTCCTTGAAGCGTTCCAGCTCATGCTCGCCACGAGCCAGAATCTCGTTGAGCTCGGCGTCTCCAAGATCTCCATCCTCTTCGGCTTCCTCCTCTTGATCAGCTTCTAACATTGCACGTAGCAGATCCTCGCGCTCCTCATTGCCTGAAGAATTGTCGAATTTTCCTGCTTGAATGACTTTGCCATCGATCTGCAGCTTGTGGTTGGCACGCTCGAGGATGACTTCTTCTACCGACCTTTCAGTGACGAATCGTAGAATGCGCACTTCCATCTTTTGACCGATACGATGTGCACGATCCTGGGCCTGCAGATCTTGATGAGGGTTCCAATCGGAGTCATAGATAATGACGGTATCGGCTGTCTGCAGATTCAATCCGAGACCACCAGCACGCGTTGAAAGGATAAAAGCAAAGATGTCGGAATCTGGTGCGTTGAACGCCTTCAGCAACAGCGAACGGTCGTCTGGCTTCGTGGTGCCGTCCAATCGACAGTATTTGTGCCCGCGAAAGCGAAGAAAGTCTTCCATAATGTCCATGATGTGGGTCATTTGGAAGAAGATCAGAACCTGCCAATGAAAACACGCGTCAGCGATCGCAGATGCGAGGTAACGTAACCCACGTGTACTCACTCTGTGCCCGAACGCTTTGAGCTTCGGGAGCAAACGGTCGAGGAGCTCAAACTTGCCCGCCACTCGGTAGAGATCTGGTCCAGTCTGCTTGGTCGGGTTGATGGCAAGTTCTACCTGTTCGAAGACGTATGGATGATTGCAGATCTTTCGCAACTGCATGATAGCATTCTGCAAGCCCTTGATGCCCTGTTGTTTCTGCTTCCTGCCGCCGACTGCACCACCAATGTCGTCGCCTGCCAAGAGCATTTTGTGGTTTTTCATCTGAGAGTAGAGCTTGCGCTGAAGACTGCTCATCTTGCACTTGATGACTTTCTCCACCTTGTCGGGCAGCTCAGACTCCACGTCCTTCTTTAAACGGCGCAGCAGGAACGGACGAAGTACTTTGTGCAGACGTTTGATGATCAGCAGAGCCTCTTCTTCGTTGAGCTGCATAGCACTGTCTCCAGAGCCAGTGTTCGCAAATGGCGTGTTGAACCACTCGTCAAAAGATTTCACGGAGTTGAAGATCCTAGGCAAGACGAAATTGAGTAAAGCCCAAAGCTCTGGCAAATTGTTCTGCAGTGGTGTACCCGTGAGCAAGAGGCGGTACCTTGACACGTAATTCTGAACAAGCGTCACAGTCAGCTTGCTCTCTGTGTTCTTCATGCGGTGACCTTCATCGATGATCATGTGCACCCATCGAATCTTGCCGAGCAGTGCCTTCTCCTTGATCACGTACTCGTAAGTGGTGAGGAGCACCTGGAAATGTCCCTGTCTGATGCGATTGGACAGATGACGACGCGCAAGAGGAGGACCTTTGAAGACCAAAGTGGCTACCGACGGAGCCCATTTCTCGAATTCATTGACCCAATTCGTCAACGTAGAGAGGGGAACAATGACGAGGTAGGGTCCCGGCTGCCGTTTGTGCTCGATGAGGAAGGTGATGAGCGAGATGGTCTGAATCGTCTTTCCGAGACCCTAAGAGAGAACAAAATACGCGGCAAAGTCAGCACAAAGGGATAGATCAGCTTCATCGCGCTCGGCTCACCATTTCGTCTGCGAGGATACCGTTCAGCCTGTTATTGTACAAAGACACCATCCACTGCAATCCTTTGATCTGGTACTCCTTTAGCTTACCACCAACAAGAATGGTGGGCTGCTCCAGCACGCGCTCAGTGATGCGATGAGCGATGGAGTAGTAGTCGACCTTTTGACCTGCATTGTCGCTGGGCTCATCATCGGCTTGCTTCTGCGCTCCAAACATGGTCTCGTCGACAGCGACACCAATCTCCTGGTTTGCGGTCTGCGCCGCCACCTCTTCTGCGGAGAGAGGCGCAATGCCTGCACGTTCGGCCGCAATCGCTTCGGCGTGCACATCGTCGTTCTGCTGAGCTTGCACAGCCTCTGCGAGCGAGTTCAGGTAAGAGTCGGTTTGTCGGATCAGATGCGTGATACGAGTATCTTTTGCAGTGTCGATGAGCTTCAGATAAGCCTCTTCATCGTCGGCCTTCAGGGCCTGCAGACGCTCTTCGGCGATACGTTTGAGACGTTTTGCTTCCTCCTTCTCGGTCTCGCTATGGAAGCGAAGTACCAGTTTTCCGATGCGCTGAGCATTGGTCTGCACAGCTCTGTGAGCCGCCTGCAAGTCTCTGCCATGATTCACGATTGTAGCGAGGTAATCGGTGTGCTTCTGCCTGTTTCGGCGTTCGCGATCGACCCGCTGCTTGCGTTCAAGCTGCTCAGTCATACGTGCATCTCTTAAAGTCTGCTTCTTGACCTTTCTGAATGCCGTTCTGTCGAGAGCAAGGGTTGAAGCTGAGCTGAAGGTACGTACAACGGACTGTCGTAGCTCTTTCTGCTTTTCCAGCAATCTCAAGCTCTTGAGCTCGATGAGGGCTTTTATCTTGGCGTTGTCCGCCTGATATCCTGACTGTAAGAGCGGATTGTCTTCGAACGAGCCGGTCATAGTACCGTCGCGATTGCCCGATACCTCGCTCGCCTCCTCCTTGATGGCTGCCTCTTCTGCACCGCGGATCGTGGGGCGCTGAGACATGGTTGACGGGAGGTTCTCGAGCTCTCTAATGCGCTGATTGATACGAGCAGCAATCATTCTGTCCCTCTCCGTTGCGAGAACGAAAGGGTCAAGTCCTGCTGGCATGAGGCTTGGAACAAGCAGCCGTTGCTGCTTGGTCGCTGTGAGATCTTCGGAACCAGTCGTTGGCCGCTGCAAGTAGGTGAACGGCAGTCGGTAAGCATTGTAAGGATACACTGCGCTAGAAGGGTCGTCACTTGGCAGTGTTGGTCTTGACACCTCTGCGCTTTGCGAAGCACCTGCCTCGCCAGTCTCGTCCGCTGCCGTCGCTTTCGACTTCTCCTCTTCAGACCCGTTTGTGGCTGCCAGGTGCAAGGCAATGCCAGCTTCCGCGACTTTGCCGGCATCGCCAGCAGCAGTGAGATCCGGCAAACCCCCGCGTATATCATCTATAGCCTGGTTGGGGTCGAGCAGAGCGCTTTGCAGGTGAGCTGGCAGCGGTACGTTCCTTGAGATGAGCTTGAATGCTACAATTTGAGCGCGCAGGGTATCCAGTTGCTCCTTGGAAAAGACGCTGGTGGATTGAGAAGCCCCCTGAGCAGCTGCGACGGGTGCAGCAGTGACGGTGGGCTTGCTGACAGGTGTGCTCGAACCATTAGCCGGCGACGATGTTTGAGCGCTAGGCACGCTGCTAGCGATTGAAGTCTGGGAGACGGCAACAGCCGATGATGCCGGAGCGATGGTGACGGGAGCCGACCCAGACTCTGTGTTCGTGGTCCCCGGCGCCGGGGCTGGGGCGGTTGTGGAAGTACCGACTGCGGATGTGCTCGGAGGCGCTACGTCGGAAGCTGCTGAGTGGCAAGGGTCAGGAGCGTGAGTCGAGCCACAAGCGTGCTCGCAAAACGGCTCCGTTGCTGACTTACCTTGCGATGGGGTAGGTGCTGCAGACGAGGTGGCCTGATTGGAAGCTTGTTGCCTTTGCTGAGCCAGCGCCTCTTGTTGCTTGAGCATCTGAAATTGCTGGAAGTACTTTAGAATTGTCAGGAGATTTGCGAGCTCTTGACTCGTGTGCTCTGTCTCCCCTGTTTGCTTCAGTTGTTGTATGCGCTGTTTCGATGCGACTTACAAGTCAGACATGCAACTTGCGGGACATAGCAGACCTCTGATGCCCGTACTTACCTGGACCATGTTCTGCAACTTCTGCTTGTTTAGACCTTGGAGTGCCTGCAGGACATGAGGGGGTATGGATGACATCGATGGCAGACCAGAGCTCGAGCTAGGCCCGGGTGCGGCGCCGTTCGAGGCGCTCCCCTGACCACTGGCACTTGTCGATGACGAGGGACCACTGGCGGGGGCGGCAAGCCCATTTGTCGAGACCGATCCCGACATTGCGGTGGGTGTACCTTCGCAAGCAATCTACAACAGTCTGCGCGCGACCCTGAGCAGCGGCGCGCTCGCTTCTAGCGAAACCCTCCGAACGCGACGCGTAGATAGCAAGAGGCGACGTCCGACAATCAGATGTGGGTGTCGAGAAGTGTAAATGGCGATGTGTCGGAGTCGTCGCCGCACGGGACTTGGAAAAGCGCGAATGAGCTCTTGAAAAGCGCCAGGGGTGTTAATGTGACGGCAGAGACAGAGAGCGCGAGCAGGAGAATCGCCGGCCACTATGAGATCTCGAGACGCGGAGCTGTTCTTTGGAGCTGTATCTGAAGTCGCGAGTCTCTTGAGTGTTGGAGATGCGCGGATGAGTCGCTGTGCATCAAACGTGACGCACCTCAATTTGGGCCTATCGGTCAAGGTGCAACGGTCGGGACGACGGCGATGGTTCACGACGCGTGCGCGCGCCTATCTGTATAGCAGCTCACTTCACCCCACGGCGCATGCGTCGTCCTGCCCACGCCAGCCAGCCGTGCACCCTGCGACCACGTGGATACTCTCTCGTGCGATAGAGACACGTCTGACGCGCGCAACCTAAATTTTGTTATTTTTGCTTGAGCAAGGTTTGGATCGCAAAGTATAAGAAGTGGCCGCAAAGGCGCATCCCTCTTCTTTCCAAACTAGATCATACCCGCGGTAAGTTCGGACCCCCTAAAGGAGCCACTCGCATTGTTCGGTCTATTGACACAAGCACCACCTGGCCCACTCCACACTGCCATATTGCACCCGGCTTTGTCTTCCTCGCCAACCCACATTTCACTATCACAGGAATCGTCTTATATAGTCGATTACCGCCGATCTTAAGCTCAACTGAGCCACAATGTTCACCTCTGAAGATGAGCGGAGGTTATTCATCTCCATTTAGCCGTTTTACCAACCCTGCCAACGAGATTCATGGGCCCCTCGCTACCCTCGGGTGGCGGGAGTAGTCGCCCTTCGATGACTTGCTCGGTGCTTTAGCTACCTCGAGATCGCGTCTTAGGACCACCTCTGAGAATACAGCAAAGTCCGAGGGGTTGGTCGGCCAGTTCTGAAGAGGCCTCCCGGTTGTTGACGGAGCAGCATCATGCTCTACGTTCATGATTGGAGAGACGTGGCTCTGGACGTTTTGGCGCTAGTGAGGCACCTTGTGGATGTATGCTTTTGTCATCGACCCTATCAATGTCATGTTCGTTGTCGTACACTCAAGATTGTGCAGTTGTGGTTATGAGGTCGTCGTCACCCACTTGCCATCGGCAATGCTTTGTCACTCAAATGCGGGTCAAGTCAAAAGTGCGGTGGATGGACATGCTTGTTCGCTCTTCTACGCGTGGCCATCTTCCGAAACCGACCCAGCTGGGCTTTCCATTCATCTTCACGTCTGATCGGTGGGAAGCGACGTCTCGAGGCTCTTGACTTGTGTTGGTCTGGTGCAGCCCCTCTCTACGTTCCTTCATCAGCATCCGACCACTATGCTTTGCGCGTCACAGCATCATCCACAGTCTCGAGCCAGCATCACGTGTCCCCCATGCGCCGAATCTGTCCTAAGCTATTCCGGCCCCACGCCTGGCTGCTTGACCTCATGCTTCGAGGAGCAGTAGCTTGTTCTGCAGGCATCCGATACTTTCTTCCTCGACTGCAATACATTCGAGTGGGGGCCCTATTCTACATTTCTGGCAACATGTCATTCTGCACCTGCTGACCTTCGACCACAGCTTTGAGCTTCGCGTAAGCTTTGTCTAGGTCATCATTCACGATGACATGGTCGTGACCACCAGACTTGGCATACGCGAGTTCTGAAGCTGCCATGGATAGTCTGGCGTTCAAAGACTGCTCCGTCTCTGTTCCCCGAGCTTCTAACCTAGATCGCAAAGCTGCCAGCGATGGCGGTGCGATGAAGACGAATTGGCAGCCCAAGTAGTCGTGCAGAGCCTTGATCTGCTTCACGCCCTGCGGAGAAATGGGGCGCATCTCATGTCAGACCCCATCTGCCATTGCGAATTCCAGCCTTCATTGCGCCGACAAACAGTAAGGAACCCGCTGCTGATGATCACTCACCTGGGTGTCAATGTCCAGCAAGCATCGCTTCTTCGCCCCATCCGGCGTCTTTGCGTTTTGAACATCCACTACGGCCTGTGCGCTGGTGCCGTACAGATTACCACCGAACTCTGCATGCTCCAAGAAGTCACCCTTCTCCACTCCAGCCAGGAACGATGGGCGATCCGTGAAATGATACGCCACGCCATTTGTCTCTCCTGATCTCGGGGAGCGAGTGGTGTCTGTATGCGGCGACAAGGACGGGCGCGTGAGCTTTTCAATCGCAGAGCTCATCCGGGGGGCCGTGAATGCTGCGAGCATACTCACGGCTTACACTGAAACCGAACTCTGGATGATCCGCAAATAGCCTCTTGATGAGCGTCGACTTGCCCACTCCAGATGGTCCACACAGCACTACGGGTCTCGCTTCGATCGGCTTGTTGGTCGAGGAGTGCGCGGCTTGCGCAGAGCTGGAAGCAGTGGTCGACATTGTCCTGAAGGGTAAGTAGAAACGCGCGAAGCGTGAGCTGGCGAGTGCCATGTGGTGAAAGTTGTGAATGAAGGTCGAGGTGGATGACAATCAAGAATGTGTGTCCGGCCGGCGGACTAGGACTCGTGACACTACTTCACTCGTGAGTCGTGACTACTTAGCTTTCGGAGAGCGATGAGACTCTTGACTCGAGACTTGACGATTGGAGCTCAGCTTTGGCTTCGGGCGTGCGCCTTGCTTCTCGGGACGTGAAGCGTGCTGAGATGCTGCAGCATGCGTGTGCGTGTGCGTGTGCGTGAATGTTCCTGCAGCTTTCAGCAAGGTCGGCGCACGCGAAACCCCAAAGACAGCCCAACTCAGCGTGCAGTGACTGTCCAGACGAGTCAGAGTCTTGTTCAACGAGTGGCTGCATCCGACGCAAGCCCCTCGATGCCTTCGGTCGCGACGCCAATCGAGGCGCGCGCATCACGGCCGCTCCATTCGCCATACCATCGGCGTGAAGGAGGTAAAGGCTTCGAGAGGCACATCACCATATCACATGCTGATGCGTCTGAGGGTACATCAAGAATATGCTTTCTCCGCACATGCTGGCCTGGTGTCTCTTAGCTGCTGCTCGAGGACTCACAGGCTCAGACACTTCTACTCCGATCGTGACTTTGGACTGAAAGCCTGAATATGGGTGCGTCAAGGCGCGGCGAGAATGAGCGCTCCACGTGGCGCAAGCTGCTGGATGCATGGTTGATGCTGAGCGCGTCGTGAGCCGTGTCGTGCACCGCCTCCTATGTACTCACTCACTGTAGCTACAGTCACTCAGTCACGAGTGCGTATGCATCATGACAATCACGAATCCTGAATGTGAATGGTGAATTCATCGCTGCCAATCCACTTCTCCACGCCGCATCGCAAGTCGCACAAGCCTCGCACAATCCACGCCGTATCAGACTCATCGCGGGTACCGACACCTTTGAGCACACGTACCCTCTGCCACTTCACTGGAGACGCCTAGCATCCAATTGAAGCATTCATTAGCTGGACAAGCACTGCCGTAACCACGATGTCCAACTCGAGCGCCGAGCAGCTATTGGCCGCTGCCGAGAAGCGAGCCAACAGCTCAGGAGGATGGTTCAGCAGCAAAGCTACAGCTCAAGAGGAAGCTGTAGAGATGTTCAAAGCTGCAGCCAACAAGTTCAGGATCGCCAACCGATTCAACGAAGCGGGAGATGCCTTCATGAGAGCTGGTCAGGTGGAGGAGAAATCTCAGGATAAGGATTTCGCTGCGAACACGTTCTTCGAAGCGAGCAAGTGCTACAAGATGGGAAGCCCCGAGAGTAAGTGCAACACGCCGGGCGTTCGTCTCCGCTCCACTGGCGAGCTATCCTGATCTGACAGCTGTCGCTACCTGTCCCCATCTGGCCACTCACTCTCAGAGGCTGTCTCGGCTTTGTCCGCATCGAGAGAGATTCTGCTGGGCTCGGGTCGCTTCAGGCAAGCTGCTGATAGGGAGAAGCAGCTGGCCGAGCTGTACAAAGGCGATGCAAGGGACCCACAACGAGCCATTCAGTCATACGAGAAAGCGGCTGAGTGGTACTCCCAAGAGGGCGCAGGAGCGTGAGTCCAAATGGAGGGGAATACGGCATGCAGTCGAACTGGGGTGCATGGAGCTCACGCTTTGCTTTCGCCTTGCGATTCGCCCCATAGCACCGCGTCTGGCTGCTACAGGGAAAGCGCAACGTTGGCAGTGGAGATCGGTGACTTTAAAAAGGCGCTGGAGCGATGGGAACAGGTGGCAGCCATGTCGTTGGAGTCCAACTTGACGCGCTACAACGTCAAAGATTATTACCTCAGTGCAGGCTGCTGCTATCTGGCCATTCCTGTGAGCATTATTGTCATCAAACATCCTTCGCTCGCTAGGCTGACGACATGATCTTCGCAGGACTACGTTGCATGCTCCAATGCCATGGGTTTCTACGCTCAACAAGACCCATCCTTTCCCACCACCATGGAAGGCAGGTTCTTGCACTCTTTGTTGGAGTCTTGCGAGCAGGGAGACATTGAAGGGTTCGATGCTAGAGTCATGGATTACGACAGGACAAAGAAGATTGTTGGTCATATGGCTACATTGGTTCGAGCTGTCAGAAAGGCTATGCAGGATGAACCTGATTTGGCCTGAGAGCACCGGCTCTGCATTGGATGTAATGGCATAGCCAGTATTCCCCCTCTGCGCGATGTGGTGGCCGCGGTCCGCTTTGGCGAGACGAGGTGCCGAGATAGAGCTGAGCAGAGGCTGTGCAGCCTCGAAGCCCGAGCATTGGAAGTGGGGCTTGGCAGCATTCAAGGGACGCTTGGAGTCTGCTACCACTTGCGCTTCATCTGATGAGAAGAAGTGATATGGAATGAGTCAGCGATGCACAAGGAGATGCGAAGAGGAGCAAGTTCAAGATGGCAGGCATCATTAGCCACCGGCGCTGGTCGGCCAGCCCACTGAGCTCCTGCAGCGGACTCTGCAGTGCACGCCTTGTTCGCTGCATCTATCTTCCTGCTCAGCTGCCAAGCGTGCCATCGACTCACTTTGGTCTGCACACAATCTTTGAACTTTTCAAATTCCTTTTGGCACATGTTGCGGTCCACGGATTCGTAGGATGCCAATATGCATGCGCCATACACTTGAGCTTGAGGTTTGCATTGAGCTACAGCCTTTCCCAGAGTGACCACCGGCTGAAGGTCCCTTCTCGTCGTCGACGAGGGACGCATGATGTGTCTATCTGTGCTGCGCCTGCGTGACTGGTCGAAGGTGACGTTGGCGATGGCCAAGTCGGAGCTGGGGGAGGAAAGCTTTCGTAGGCTAGCGCGGGGAGCGCGAGCGCGGCACAAGATGACGTAGGGGATTGGATTGTGTGCGCCCGTCAGAGCAGAGCTGCTGCGATGAAGGTAATGCACTGATATCAGGATGACTCGTCGAGTGGTCAGGACTCAAATGGTGTTCGCTGTTGGGGTGTGTATGGGCGTGGTGCAAGGCATGGGTCCAGCATCGCGCGAGATCCACCTTTGACAAATCACAAATCGCGCCTTTGATTGCAGCGATGGCTCGCCCGCGGGCGGGTGGAGGAAGAGGGTTGTGACTCGTCCTGAGGATGCCTGCGCCTCGCGCGCATGAAGCCCACGCAGCAGCAGCATCATGCAATCGTCGTCGTGAGTCGTGCATCACGCGGTGGGAGCGCGCGTTGCAGGAAATTCTGAAAGCTTGCCTTCGCGCCTCCTTCGCGTCTGACTGAATGGGCACCGCCTGCTGCGAAATCAAGAGGTCATTCACTCTGATCCGAGCGTCTTCACACTCATCTCGCAGGGACTGGAAAGCGTTCAGGCTCTGGGTCGTTCTGTCACAGAAGATGCGGTGATCGAGAGTGCACTTCAGTATGGAAGCTCAAGGCTCTGCAGCTAACGGGCGACGACGGCATGAGTATCTGGTCGGCATAGCCCTGCTCATGCTCGTCGTCCTTCTCTGGACAGGTGAGGAGTCTCGACTGCAACGTCTTCTGTCAGACCCTCCGCGCTCACACCTTGTGGAGCACTTGCGCCTTTTGCGCCTTCATCGCGGACCTCCCAGCGAGCAACTTCTTGACGAATACCATCTTGACCGGCTCGTACAACAAACCCTTTGCCGTCACATACCTCAACACCTCCTCGTTTGCCATTGTGCGTGAGCGCTATTCTTCCTCGGAGCTACGCGCTGTGCTGAGCGTACTTTCGTTTTCGAACAGTATCTGATACCATTCACGTGCCTTCATCGGGCCCGGAGGCGCAGCGCGAGCAGCAACTTGCCCAAAGACGAGACAGAATCGTCGTTCTGGACTCGCATTGGATTTTACATTCCTCAGAGCGACTCTTCCGCACCAGAAGATCACAGGTGAGGTTGACTACGCTTCTGAAAGGCAAGCTACGCTTCTGACACTGTCTTACGTGCGGATGCTAGAGGCCGGTACGCTCCTTTGTCAAGCGTGCACTCAGACTCTAGCGAGAGGCGCTCGGCCAAACCTCCCTCTCCAACCAGGCGCCGCAGCCATCTGAGCGCACCACGTCCAAGCAGCATCGATGGGCGTAGACCTCGATCGCTGCTTGAGTCTCGACATGGTACCGATGTATATCGTCAACTTCCCGCAGACGCTCCTCTCTCGCTCCGAGAGACTGCAATCTTGGCCTTTCAATTCACAATCGTCTGGTTCGGCGCCAATTGGTCACTCAATGCTGGGCTCGGCCTGACAAGCGTAGCCAGCGGTACAACGCTCAGCTCAGCAAGCGGTGAGTCTGCTAGCAAAAGCCTACATCCAAGACTCAGAGCAGCTTGTTGACGCCGTCGGCAATCGTACCTAGGCTTCTTCACGCTGGCTCTTGGCAGCCTTCTTGGGGTCGAGACCTTCACGCTGCCCAAGTTGGCAGCAGTGCTCATATCTTTCGTCGGCGTCGCCATGGTCACGCGGGCCGACAGCGCGTCGCTGCTTGCCGACGACGCCATCTCCAATCCCATTAACGCACTTTTGGGCGACGCGCTCTCCCTTCTCTCAGCTCTGCTGTACGCCGTCTACGTCACTCTGCTCAAAGTCCGGATAGGCTCAGAAGAAAGAGTAAGCATGCCCCTGTTCTTTGGCTTCGTCGGAATCTTCAACATTCTCGGCATGTGGCCCGTCGGCGTTCTCTTACATCTGATCGGCGTCGAAAGAATCGAGCCTCCTGGCGAAGTGTCGACCTGGGCAGGCATCGGCGTCAACATGGCCATTACTTTCGTCTCGTGAGCAATTCAAAGGATCGAAAGCGAATTGAAACGCTCCGAGCTCACGCAAAATTTCTGCCTGCTCAGTGATTTCGCGTACCTTCTGGCCATGCTAAAGTCATCGCCACTGGTCGCTACGATCGGTTTGTCGCTTACCATCCCGTTGGCACTCGTCGGTGACATAGCTCGCGGAACCCACTCCGGAGGCTGGTTAGGTGATATTGGGAGCGTCTGTGTGCTTGTGAGTACTGCTCCTAGCCGTCCTCCTACATCACGCCTGCTTCACTGACGCGCGTTCCCCGATTGTGGTCTCCTTAGCTCAGCTTTGTGGCCATTGGATTGGCAGACCATGCACTCATTTCAAGAGAGGCTCCTGCATCACATCTTCCCGTCACCGGTCGGCATCTAGCATCGGAGTAGACGGGCTAGACCGTCCATTTGTTGTGACACAGCTAGGATTCGCGAAATGATCCTTGCGGTTGCATGCTACTCTCGAGCAATACACCTCATGCGCTTCTACGTCGCGGCTTGATGCCCGGTGTAACGCGCTCGTTCAGGCTCCGTCTTTCCCGCCAAGACGTTGCCCACCACTGAGCTCTGAGAAGTGCCCTGGAACTTCCATGTAATCATCTTCTGCATCTGTTGCCTCTTCTTCAGCGGGCTGTGCGGACCCTCTTTCTGGACTCTGCCTTTGCACAGTCGATACAGACGGAGACTGGGTCGGCCCGGCTTCGCGCTGTGCTAGCTCGCTCTTTGCCTTTGCTTCCCTTGCAATGCGCTCTCTCTCAACGCGCCGTCGTACACGCTCGCGATCCTCTTCAGCTTGCGACATGGCCAGCGCCTAAAGAGCCAAAATGGGCCAAGTGAGAGGATCGGTGCGTCCGAAGATGTTGTTGATGAATTAGTGGGATGCAAATCAGCAGCATCCTCGTGATCACTGACCTTTCTAGACTTCTCAGCTTGTGCTTCTCGCTCTTGCATGCTCTTGATCCTTTCTGCCGTCTCCTCCAAATTTCTCGCATGCTCATCAAGGCACTGCACAACCAAATCCAATCTTGACCACGCAGCTGTGCCGGGCCTGAATTTCTCATCAAAGGCCCATTCTTCTTTGAAGTCCCGCACGCGGGTATTCCATCCAGCTAGATGGAGCAACTCCTTCGCCCCAGTCACGCACAGCACCTCTTTGTGAATCTTGGGCTGAGCAGACTTGAATGCGCGATACTCTGCTTCTTGAGGATGCTGCTGAACGTTGTGCAGCAGAGCATGCATGAGCTTCGAGAGACGGGAAAATCAGTCTTCGTGCAACGGTCTTCGGGACTCCAGCAGACTCACCCTTAGACATCGCGACGTGACATGAGCAGACGCATTGGCGCTGATCTCCTTATCGAGCACCCGTTTGACCTTTCGGTGGTGAAGAAGGGACCGAGGCTCTCGTTAGCGAGGTGACAGGCAGCCAGACATGAGGTGCGTTTCTGCCCACTTTGAGCTTGAAGCTATTGCTGTCGAATCCATCCAGAGCTAAATGAGCTCCTCGACTTTGAGAGGCTGCCCGACTGCGCTCTTCAGCAGCACGAGCGGCAGCAGCCGCCTGAGCACTCGACATCGCTCAAGTGAGAGTCTGTATGCTTCAAGTCATGGACAAAGATCCTTCGACGCTTACGACTCCAAGGAGACACTCCGCACTAGATGCCAGCTCGTCGTCTGGCTCGACCTCGCAGCAAGAGTGGGTGAGCTCGAAGAGCCTGTCGCAGCGCGCGCAGGTGCCAAGCGGTGATGTTTATTCTCGAACACTCGACAAGTGCCACAAATGGACCTTGTCTTCTGCCTGGTCTGATCTGTGTCGAGATTGGAGCGAAGCAGCTGGATGGCGAGGAACGGTTGGTGGTTGTGTTGGATGTGGTCACGAATTACCACTACGCGCCCTCACAATCTGGAGTAAGCAAGCGCAGCACGGCGCGCAGAGACAAAATGTACACCGCCACTCGTGACTGCATAGCACGTGCGCGCAGTCTTCATTATATCGTGACACTCTTCTCGTCCAACATCCCCTCCTTGCCAGCGAGCTCCAATCAGCCCACACTGCTTAGACGAGCCAAGAGCTTACGACTTGGATGACCTCATTGATGGGATTGTAACAGTCTTATTGTACATGCGATGGAAATGCGATCCGATGTCAGGTCAGGAGACGCGCTTTGCGAGGTTCTCTGGGGGAATTGCACCCTCTTCACCGACTGCCTTGGCTGCCTCTGGCGGGGGCGCACCTCTCTCGAGAGGCCCAGCACCTGCTGGACTGCCAGCCAAACGGCTTCTGAGAGCGGCATACTTGTTCCTCTGGGCTTGGCTAACGCTGGGCGTGACCTTGTCCAGAGCGCTCTCAAAGTGCTTGGCGTGGATGAGCACACTGGGTGGCACCCTGGGCGGAGCATTGCCCCCTTCTCGCTCGGCTCTGCGTGCGGCCAAGAGGCTTTCTCGAAGAGCTGTGACCGCAGCTTCTCTGGTCAGAGCAGCCAAGTCTGCGCCCGAGAAGCCATGAGCTCGTCTATCCAGAGCTACGACTGTCAAGTTAATGTCGCCTGCTAGCGGACTCTTTGTCGTGAGGGTCCTCAGAATTTCGGCTCTCTCTTGAGGATCTGGCAAGTCGACGTAGAGCAGCTTGTCCAGTCGACCAGGTCGACACATGGCAGGGTCGATCATATCCGGTCTGTTTGTGGCTGCAATGACATACGTCTGTTTGCGCGACTCCAATCCATCGAGTTCCGTTAGCAGTGTATTGACCACCCTCGCGCTCGCTTCCGAAAGCTGGCTGTCACGTCGAGGCACGAGTGCGTCTAGCTCGTCAAAAAAGATGACGCAAGGGCTGCTGTTCCTCGCCCTGGCAAACACCTGCCTAACAGCTTTTTCGCTCTCCCCTACGTACTTGTTGAGGAGCTCGGGTCCCTTGACGGAAATGAAGTTGGCCCTAGACTCGTTGGCCACCGCCTTGGCAACAAGTGTCTTGCCGCACCCAGGCGGACCCCACAGCAGTACCCCTGAAGACGCGGAGACTCCAACAGCAGCGAAAAGCTCTGGTCGAAGTATGGGTTCTACAATCGCCATGCAAAGCTCGTCTCGCGTCTCTCTGAGCGCTCCTACGTCCGCCCAGGTAACATCTGGAACAGTAGCAAAGCCCTCTCGCTTTGATGATGGCTGCACTGATGCAAGCGCGCCGAGGAAGTCTTCGGGAGTGATTGAAATGCTTTCCAGCTGTTCGGTGGTAAGGGCGCCCTTGTGCGTGCGCAGAAAGGTCGCAATCGAAGACGCTTGCAGCGAGGGAGGCAAAGATTCGAAAAATGACTGCGTTGGGATAGCAACACCGTCTCGATCGCTTGCTATGAAAGTCTCGATCTGCGTCGGAGGCTCCGTGGCTATTTTCGCTGGCTGCATCTCGATCGATTGGGACTGCTGCGCAGACGATCCGTCCATGTCGACATCAGCGATCTGATCGCCGTCCATGTTCACTTCGGGTTGTTGTGGTTCTTCGACAGCGGTCTGTACCGACTCGGGCGCATCTATCGTCCCCAGCTCTCCCCAGATGCGCTTGACGGCTCTCACGCCCGCTTCTGCAGTAAGGGCGACCAGATCCGCGCCAACATAGCCTGGCGTCGCTTTTGCGAGCGCAGCGAAATCGAAGTCGCCGTTGAGTCGGAGCGACGAGGACAAGACTCGGAGGATGCTGTGACGAGGTGCACGGTGTCAGCAACCGCTCATCAGGACGCAAGCACTGCACATTGCAACTGTGTGTCAAGCGAAAGCGACTGGCGCGAAGCTCAGGGACTTGAATGGGTTGTAAATCGCACAATGCCTGATCGTCACGCAGGGCACCACCGCGAGGGCAGCATACCGCATGACGACCAAGCATGCGTGTCGGGTTTGCGGCCCGGAAGAATTTCTCATCATAGGCAACGCAGTGCTGTGCACTTGACAGCATTGCAGTGGACCTCTGGCGGAACACTCACGCTTCCCTGCCTTTCTCGTCCGGTACACCCAGCGCTATTTCGTGGTCGAAGCGACCAGCTCGACGCAGCGCTGAGTCGAGAGAGTCGGGTCTGTTGGTGGCACCAATGACCATCACAGGTCTACCATCCGTCTTGTTCCAATTGAGATCTGCAAAGGAAGCAGCAATCCGCGTGAGAAAACGTGACGCCTGCATTGTTGGAAGCGAACGTGCTAGATGCTGAAGATTTCACTCACCATCCAGGCATGTGAGCAGCTGTGCCACTATCCGCCTCTCCATCTCTCGTTGAGCTGTCTCGCGTTTGGGCGTGATGGCGTCGATCTCGTCGATGAAGAGAATGCACGGAGCTATTCGTGCCGCCTCTTCGAACAAGGATCGCAAGGTAGACTCTGACTCGCCAGACGTGCCGCTGACGATCGAAGGCGCCGAGACTGAGAGAAAGGGCAGCGAGAGATCCTGCAGAGTGTCATAATGCGGCAGGTCAGCGGAGTGCCACCTCGCGCTGTTCCCCTAGCGACCATGCAGTCTCACCCCAGCCACTGCACCCGCCAACATCGTCTTGCCGCATCCAGGAGGTCCATGAAGCAGCACCCCTCTAGGCGGTGTGACACCAGTATGAGTATAGATCTCCGGGTGGCACAACGGCATTGCGATCAACTCCAGCACCTTCTCCACAGCTGAGCTGATGCCTCCCAGATCCTTCAATCGAGTCGGCGGTGGACGATACTTTTCCGCCAGGCGAGAGCTGCCCGGCCCCATCGAATCGCCCTCAGTACCTCCAACGAGTCCTGAACGTGTCCGTTTCGAATCTCCACGCGAGGAGCCTGATGTCGCGTCTCGCTTCGTGCGTCTTCGTGGAGCGGAAGACCCCGGCGTTGGTGAACCTTCTGCTCGAATGCGCGAGGGGCCGGCTTGTGCCTCTAGTTTTCCACTTCCTCCAGGACTGGCGTAAGTCAGAGATGTGGGGGGCGGGCTTCTAGTGGTCTCCGTAGGACGTCCTTCGATGGCAGCAGCATCTTGTGGATCCGTCTGCTGCAGCCTGAGCCTCTCCTGCGCAGCAGCAGCAGCAGAACCGGGAGGAGCCACGGCGAGCGCGCCGTCACCTGTCGCATTTGACGTAGCAGCGACCTGATCATGCTTTGCAGACGTCGATGCTGAGGGCATGCTGCTCGGGAGCGGCGAATTCAGGTTGATTCCCCCGCCTTTACGCCCCCACGAGGCCGTAATGGCTCGATTCATGGTCGAAGGACGTGGGGAGCAGACCAGCAGTGTGAGTTCAGGCTCGCCACGCCACGGAGTCGGTGCAGCACACTTCACGTGGCGGAAATCATATGATGATACGCATGCACTCGATGGCAGGCGCCAGGCTGGAGATGGGATGGTAGAGAACTTGAACCCAACGCTTGCGGCTGAGGTCGCCCTTCAGGAGTCGCACCTCACGATGAGTATACGAAGGCCTGCGCTGATGATGATCAGCCGAGATGCAAGGCGCAAAAAATTCTTCTCGCTGTAGCAGCGTGACACAACTGAGCCGCGGAGGCCGCGGATCGCGTTGGTCACAGCAGAATACGCGCGCGCGCGCAACTGTAGAAGCGACCGCGGATCACGCGCGAATCGGTCTTTTTTCAAGGCATCGTCATGACTCATGACTGATTTCGGCGACATCACTCGAACTGCTGATCGCCCCAATAAGGGATGTCATCCGTGTATCAGGCTGTCATGTCTCAGATTGACGTTGCGCAAGCCGTCAATGATCTCGATAACCCCCCTTCCCACACGCGCTGTCACTCGTTCGAAATCGATGTCAATGCAAGTCAAAGACCGCGATGAGCAAAGGCCGAGGGACGCTTTACCCTGAAAGACCGTTGCTCCACCAGTGTGGTGTGGAAGTGGTACAAGAACTCGATGATGAGAGACTGGATACGGGAACGGAGCTGGATATAATGCAGTCGTGCGAAGGTTAGCAGGGAGTGTGCAGTCTCGGCTGGACGGCGAAGCGCATTGACATGACACCGTGCTGTCTGCGTCCATTGGCGGCGACGCTCAGTCCTTGCGAGAGAGGTCACCGACAGGGAGGGTGAAGAGACTGGTTTCGGGAGTCAGCAAGCCGGCAGCGCCGACATAGAAGGCGATGGCAGCAGTAATGATGCCGAAAGCGCCAGCAGCAACCTCGACCATGGAGTTGCCGCTGAACTCTGTTGGATGAACGAAAAATTCCTCAAGGTGAGCATCAAAGTCGCCTTTGTACTCAGACTTTGGACGACTCACCCGCGCCGACCAGGAGCCAGAAGGTGATGTCCAGGAAGAGGAACAGAGAGGCGAGACCAATGGAAGCTCGGAAAGAGGCGAGCAGCATGATGACTGTTGAGGAGATATGCAAAGCTGCGTCAACGCTGAGGCTCGACTACGCTCGCGTGACGAGATCTTGAGCTCACAAGTGAAAATTCCCCAAGAGGTCTGCATGTATCAATGCGCACAAGAGAGCACAGCCACACAGTGAGGGTCAACCAAATTGTCAGCGTTGGGATCCTTTCGGGCGCACTACAGTATCACACCCTTTGGCTGTACTCACGCTACGGGATTGAAGGCAGGAGAGCATGACGGGGAGTCGGAAAGGTCAGCATTCATGCACATTCGGAGCTGTGGAGACGATGAGGGCCTAGCTCACACTGTGCAAAAGAGGTTGTGGCGAAGAGTCAGCACATGGTCCAATAGACGGCGCTATTCGAAGCTGTCGGCGACGGCACACTCACGATAGATGCCGACAGCGGAAGTGAACTGGGAGTCGAAAGCGTTTTCGGCCATGAAAGCCTCTTGGACACCAAAGAATGGGATGAAGAGGGCAGCGTACTGGGTCGATCACGAGGCGACGAGGGAGTGTTAGCTTCATGTATGCAGACCCCTAACCTAGCGAGCTAGCGCGGACCCGTTATTTGGAATGTCTCGCAGACGGGTACTCACGCTCCACCAGAAGGCTCCGTAAGAGCAGAAAGCGGTAGCGCCGAATGTGTTTCCGGATGCGAACTCCCAAACACCAGCGACGAATTGGGCCAGACCACCGTAAGCGACTGCAAGACCGATGACAGCGTTGGGCACAGAAACGCCGCGAACGCCGGCGTTGTAGAACGACAGAGTCCAAGTAGTTGCCGCGAAGCCGAACAGGCCCAAAGGAGCGGGGTTAGCGAATTTGCGGCTGAAAGGGACGAGAAGTAGCGCGCGAGTCAGCTTTGTCGCAGATGTATGCGCTATTTGCGATGCGATGCAAATTTCCGAGCTGCTCACTGGAAAACTGGGAAGGCGGGCTGGGTGGTGTCGATGTTGTGTCCGCCAGGTGTCACGGCACGTTGAGTGGGCGCTATGAGATCAGGTCAAGAGAGGAGCCAGTGTCGGCGAGGCTGTAGAATTCAGCACTCATTATCTCGTGACGTGTCTAGCAGCGTCCAAATCACAAGCTCTGCACTGCTCGATTCGGCCCTGAAGGCTGTTTGCTCGCTCACTCACCACCACCGCTGTAGACCTTTTCGGCATCTTGAGTGGCGTGCTCGTTCGACATTTTGACTGCTTCGAGGGTTGGAAGAGGTGAAAGAGTTGGGTAAAGTGACAAGACCGATGGAAAGGATGCTGTGGTAGACGGGAGGTGATGCGGGGTTGAGGTAAAGCAAGCAGATGTCTTCATATATGTACCCATACGCGATGCTCCACCACCTGCGGACAGAGCTTCAGCTTTTTTGACTGGATGTTTGCTGCTTGGTGCTCCCGAGGTGCCGGAAAACACTTGCCAACGCGCGAGATCGCGCTAAGGTTCCGATGCACTGCTCGTCGTCATGTTTCACTTGGCCACTTTGGCACTTGATCTGCCAAAGTTGAAGTAAGGGCAAGCAAGCACTCACAACTTGGATTCCATGGATTCTCGTGCTGTTGAGCGTCCGTCGTCACAGCTGTCGTATCCGTGACTTGCCCTGGTATGCCTGCAGGGGTGGCATGCTCTACCGGTTAGGCCGCTGTGACGTTGGAGGCGGACCGTCTGTTGGGGTGTATGCGCGTTGCTTCTTCCGCCCAACAGCTAGGCAGCAGAGCGGGAGCGCAATTAAGAGCTAAGAGAGAAAAGTCATACTTTGACTGACAGGCTACTGTAGTTGCTGCTGCATGATGCTGCGTGCATCCCACCCATACCCACCCATATCATCAGCTGCCTGCTCCACACTCGTGGCTCGCTAATCACCGGCTCAAGTCGAAAGCGCGCTCATTTGGTCCGCGGGGTTGTGCAGATGAGTGCGGGGTAGCGCTGTCTGAGCTCGCGATCGTCACATCACACGCGCGGCAAGCGCTGAAGCCCGTCCCGCATGAGAAAAAAAAAGTGATCGAATGAGCCCCATCAAGGCGGGGCGCCGCGCTGGGTAGGCATCTCAACGGTGTCACTGTTGTGGTGTGGCCCCATCTTCCAGCGGCTCCAGAGATGTGGGTCCAGTCCATGCAGGAAGTGGCTCATCAGCAAGATCTTCATGCTTGCCGTCACAACCGACTACTCCACATTCAAAAGACATATTTCGCGGCAACAAGCTCCGGCTCCGCTTAGAGCCGCTGCCAATCAGGAGTGTCCTGCAATCGTGAGTATATAGAGAAGCTAAGCTAGGCCCTCATTGTAACGGCAGCCTTTGCAGTTGAGTATGGGGTAAGAGCTACGGCAGGCACAGCCCAGGTTGTCTGATGTGCCCTACATGTGTGGATGCGAAGAGCACGTGCACGTCGTGGCTTCGCGCCTCGATGCGACCTGAACGACCGTGGCCAGTCAGCAAGTCGACGGCCATAAGCAGGGTGCAGGACCCCTCAGCCAAAGAGTAACAAGTCAGAAGAGTCAAGAGTGATTCGCCGTCACCTTCGCCCACTCTCCGTCGTGGCTCCTGCTCTCGCTTGCGGATGGCACGAGCATCTTGTTCATATCGATGAGGCTCCGCATCGCGAACAGAGGAGAAGAGTGATCATGAGCGAACACGCGTTTCCTCTCATTTAAGCCTTGATTAGCGACGCGGAGCAGACCGCATCCGTGCGAAGCTGCTGCTGCTTGACTCACAATTAGCGTATTCTGAGTGCGAGCAAGCTGCATTCAGGTCGTGTTCCAAGCCGTCTCGGATGGGACGGCACCCTTGGGTCTTCCGCCGCCGTCGAGTCTCGAGCTCGATATGGCATTCTGTGGTTGATCAGTGTGTCTTGGGCGCCAGGTACCGAGGTCCGACATGAACATCAACAGGAAGTCTTGTGGCGATCGAGTGGGCTTGCATTAGCCTATACTACTACTACTGCACCTCAGGATCAGTCTTGTCCGAGCTGCACCCCAGGTCGGTAGATCTTTGCACTCGTGACTGCTGGTCGTCATTTGCGCTGCACCCATGGAGACTTTTCTTGGCTAGCAGTCACAGTGCCAGTATCTCGGCAGCTCGCTGTGGCTCTCCACTGCTTCAAATTGGATTGTCATTCGCTCGCGCGGTCCATACGAGTCTTGGGTCATCATTCTTGATTGATCTTGGGGCTTTTTGATCTCCTTCCGCATTTGTCGAGTAGTGAAGAAGTGTAGACCTGCGAAGCCATCCACGGCGAATCCTTTCAAAGTCCGCAGCCAAGTCAGCTCGGCATGATCCCAAGCCATTACGCATGCACGATCAGCAGGCATGACGAAAAGCCACCTAACCGGCGGTCTGGGCTCTTGCTTGGCTCTCCGCGTCTTCATCGTGAGAGGAGCGAGGCGACGCGGGGCCGCTGGACGAACATGGACGCCATCTTCTTCGTCGTCAAAGAGGTGGGTAGAAGCTTCGCTCAGGTCACACAGTGCGTTCACCTGCGATCCCTCTGGTGATGCTGGGCTGAGGGACGTCTCAAAGACACCCATTTCCCACATCGGCTCAGTCAACAACTGTGGATATTCGGCCCTTGGCAGCGTGGCAGCAGGCAGAAGCACCGGTGGACAAGCTGCTGAGGCAAACCACCTGTGTAAGTACTGTATGCACAGCCCAGTCGGGAATGACTCTCGGCGACGGTGACTGAACGCATGTGTCAACGCGGTCCTAAGCATACCTCTGGCCAGCGAGCCAGGCACGGACAGCGAGAGTGGAAGAGAAGAAGATGTCACGACTTGAAAGCCGCTCTGGCCGTCTTGGGTTTTGACTGATGAGCGTAATTGAAATTACCCAGCCATGCAATCGTGAATCGACAGCATGGTCCTTTCAACTCGCTCGCAGTACCAACGTACACCGGCAAGCGGTCCGCGTGATATACAAGTAGAATCGCCAACCCAGGAGAGTCACAGCGGCACGTGATTGACCTAGATGGCATTAACAGACCGTACTTGTACAAAGTGTTTGGCGAGGAGAGCTTAGAGACACGGACAACGATGATCCTGGTCATTGCGAAAGTAACAAGACGCCATTGACGCAACCGTCATTTTCCTGAGCATGGGCAAGGCGCAAAGGCGGCGTCGGAGTCAGTGATGACGGGCGAAGCGTAGAATTGCGCAGTCCGAGCGGGCAGGCTCTGGCCTGTGAGCGTCGTGATTCGCAGCCGGTACCGAGCTTTGACGCTGTCTATGAGCACTCACGGGGTTATTTGTGATCTGCGCGTACTTTCCCCATACCACTTTGCCGCCAGTGGTCACCATGCCCAGCTCAGACACATTGACCTCGATGATTGTGCCTTTGGTCAACACTCCAAGCTGCGTGTACATGGGCGATTGAGGGTTCTTCTTGACGCCAATAATCGGCAGCTGGAACGTGGCTTTGAGATCCGCTGCAGGGTAAGACGCCTCACGGCAGGTCAGAACGGCGCTCTATGATCCACAGGAACCAGTCAAATGGGGTATGATGTGACTTCAGAGCCCATACACCGTTGCGGAGACGTGACTCACGATGTGTAATGTGGGCCTTTTTGTACCGCAGACCCATCGGGCGTACAAACCGCTCCAGCTTGGGGGGCTTTCGCGTGAAGCTCTCGCCAACAAAGGTAGCCTTTGTGACCATTCTCTTCCACCCCTTGCCCTTTCTCTTACCTGTCTTCATTACCTTGAACACCTCATCCTCTGCGATTCCTCTGACCTGAGGAAGTGGCACGGCATACTTGGCAGCTTTGTCCTTCCTTCTCTCCTTGACAGCGCTGCTAAGAGCCTTGGCATCCTTCTGACCTTCCCTATCCAGCAAGTATGTTGGCAGTGCTTCATCAGGTGTCTCTGACGTCGAAGCAGCCTTGACATCCCGTTCGTCCCTCGCCTTCAAAGTCTTCTTCATCTGGATCTTCTCTAATCGCTTCGCCCGGTTCATCATCTTGGCCTTGAGGCCGATAGTGTGCTTGGCGACCGCGGAAGCCTTGTGCGTTGAGCGCGCCTCGCGCTTTCGCCTGGTGAAATCAGGGGAGAGATTCAATATCACCGACTCCTGGCCCGACGGCGAGCCCAGCACACTCACATGCGCTCATCATGGTCAAGCCGTTTGCCATGTCGGCGTTGGTGCTCCTCGATGTAGTCGTTCTGAAACACGAATCCGGATGGGGTAGACCCGGTTGATCAGCAGACATGGCTAGTGCGAGTCAGCGGACGGAGGCGCACTCACTTGGGGCATTGTGGCAAGTCGATTGCAAGCTGGAGCGCCGGAGATGGGAGAGTACGCGCACTGCGATGAACGACCGCGCTAGTCGGCCTTGGAGTGGGCCAAATCTGGACAGAGCACCTTCCAGCGGGAGCGTGGAGCTATGCGATGGATGTGCCTCGTTTTCCGCTTGATGGGTGATGCTTGGGAGGTGTGTCCGTGAGGTGTGTCAGTGAGGTGTGTCAGTGAGGTGTGTCCGTGAGGTTGTGTGTGAGGCAGAGGGTAGCAGCGCAGGTACTGTCGCAGTGTGAGCACAAAGATAGCTGCGCAAAGGATGAGCAGCAGCAAAAATGTTGCAGGTATACGCATCACGCCTCGTCTAAAATTCCTGGCCTCGGAAACGGGGGCAGTGGGACGCGCAGCGAGTCGCAGATCGGGAAGCAGAATCTTCTCGATGGAGCGCAGGCGCGCGAGCTCCCCATCCCTCACGAACTCGTGGATTTCCGTGAGTCTGACACTGGTGACTCTGACTCCAGTCACAGCGTCTCGTTTGGCCGTCTCCACGACTGCTGGATGTGCAACAACTTGGATTGCATGCAGGAAGCCTCCCGCCTTTCTTGCCGGAATTTGACAATCTTGAATGTGAATGAGGCTTACATTCGGTGCGCTGTGGCTGGATCGATCTCCTACCCTGTGGATGGGTGAGCATGTAGCAATCACGGCGGATAAGCGCGGCCGGCTATGAAGAGGCAATCAAATTCGTGATTCACGGACACACGGTCGCAATTTACAGCGTCCAGGTTCGTCGAGTGGGCGGTCAGACGCGCTCGCACTGGAGAATCAAAGCCATGAGTCGTCGACTTCGATGCACACGTCATTCACCCATCGAAGTGACATTCATCGTGACTGGAAAGAAGGCTTGCGCTTCCCTCGCAGCGTTTACCGCGTTCAAGATCTAGCATGTTGCAAAGGCTTTTTACCATGACGGCATCCGCGGAGCGCCCCGCATCAATGAAGAGGGCTGGCTGTAGTCCGCTCTCACACTACAAAGTAAGAATGAACCATCACCTTGTGTCCGCCGTTGCTCCATTGTCATTGACCTTCAAATTTGGGCTCGTTGGCGCGAGCCCAGGTCTTGAGTGATTGTTGTGCGAAGAGGCTCAAGCCTAGCAGCATGCAGCGAGCTCCTCGATATTCCTCCTTCACGCGCGGGCCACGTACCTGTGTATACCCACGTCGTGACTCTCCGCGTTGCTGAGCCGCAGCCACATTCGTGATTGTGATTCACAATCAGCATCAAAATTTGCGACTTCTCTTTTCACCCACTTTCCACCGAGGCTACGGCAGCGCACGGCACGGTGGCTGATTCTACGAGACTTGCGTCCGCCACTGTGAGAGGAGGACTGAGCAGCAGGTGCTGCGCATGCGGATGCCGCCAAGTGCCACGCAGCGATGAATGGCTTGACGTCTTCGTGGAGGGCGAAGCAAGGGAAGCCCGCAATAAGCTGCAGCCACGGTGCACAGAGGATTTTGATTGCCTTGCTCAATTGGGTGCGATCGAGGGGCCGAGATAATTGCCACAAAGGGCACTCCTCTGACGTCCACGAAGTAAGGTGTATGCGCTTCGATCCATCTGTCCGCGAGGCTATGCGATGACTCGTCGTGACAGAGCCTCTCAAACTCGAATCTAGACTTTCTTGATTGCGGTGCAACGTGTCGAGGTTATCTTGGTCAGCGTGGTCCATCAAGAACACTCAAGAACGCCGGTCTCATTCCAGCGCCTCTCAATCATTAGCTTGCCATGGTCAGAGGGTTTGCATTGAAAGCGGAATTGCTTCATCGATCACACTCCCGGCTAGTCACCAGATCGTGCGCCTTCTCACGCTCGCTCGGAAACGCGACCGCTCACTTCGGACATCGGTCCGACTCTGAGCAATGCACGCAAGAGTTGGCACAGCCATCAGCTCTGCACGAAAAGCATAAATAGGCAGCCTGCTCCGCCCGTGTAGAATCCTCTCCTCACTTCGAAAATCAAGCCAAGTCAACTCTAATCTCACATCGAAGACGCACAACTTGATCGCTGTGCAAACCTTGCAAACAAGCTCCTTCCTTACATCGTCTTTGAACAGCCTTAAAGCGCCTATCACTCAAGATGGCTTGCCCCTGCTCCAACGAGTCCACCAGCGACTCGTGCTCGTCTTGCTCCAGCGGAAGCTGCGCTTGCGGTACCAGCGAGTGCAAGTGTTCTAATTGGTGAGTGTCGAGTTTCGCGTTTCGCTAGGCAACGTCTTTCGCGTCAGGCTAGGACGGGAGGCCGAAGGGTCGAAGTTGCGCTTTTCGCGACCATGCATGCATTTTATGCTGCTCTCTACGTCGCCTAGTTTTCCCTTTTCTGACCCTGCACACTGCGTGATGCTCGTTGCCGCAGCCCCAACAAGGGCTGAGCGGAGCCGTCCCGTGGTCGACAACGTCCTACTGTCACTCAGCCGGGCGAACGAAGGTGAGACCTATTGCCACCGAGCCTGGTCGAGCCGGAAGACTTCAAGTTGCTGATCTGACATTTGGCCCGAACCTCTCTGTGATGCCAAATTTCAGCTTGCGTTGAACAACCCACTCGTCTTTACATGTTGTCCTCGATGGTCGGCGAAAGGTCTGCTCGCATCAAGACTCGCCCTGACAATTGACCTCCACCCAACTAGCACAGGCGACTGACGACATATGAGCTATCACAGCGTCCCGAACATCCCTGATCCTGCTGCCGAAAGCAAACCACCACCACCTCCGAAATAACATGGCTTCAGCCCATCTGTGTACAGGCCGCTATTGCCGTCCAAGCTCTCGACTGTGTGACGGAGAAAGCGTCAGCTAGCCATCCCGCACTTCTAGTGAAATTTGTCTCTCTTTCCAAAATCAGGACGCGGCCTGCTGTCCGACGGGCCTCCCGCACTATTCGCCCCGCTCGTGACTTCCATCGTATTGCGCAATAGCTTTCCACTTCTATACTGCCAGTCTCAAAAGAGGTCAGAGTGGTGGTGTCGATCTATGATCCGTATCCCATCTGGACATTGCGCAAGTGAGCGCTTGTCCAAATCACAAGAATGCTGCCTTAGCTGCCGTCCACGTTGCAGCCGCGCCCATCATGAGTCCTGAAGAGATGGCCATCGCACGGGTGCCCGCTGCGATGCAAGAATGAGATAGGCAATACCTGTTGGAGTCAGCGCAGGTCCGTAATGCTCCCTCACACTGGACGCACCTGTGACTTTAAACAAAGCTCCACTGATACCCCCCGCAGCCACACTGCCCAACATGTCGTGCTTTCCCCTGCTCTTATCGATGATTGCATCGGATATGTTGTAGATGAGAGCAATGACACCAGCACTGTTGCCGAAGAACGCTCCTCTCCGTGTGACCTGGTTGAGCACAGCGTTCAGTCTCAAGCGGAAAGTCGGATTAGACACTCCTAGAGGTCGAGTCAGACCTTCCCGTGCACCTAAAAGACCACCTAGCGCCAAGCCTACAGACCCGTAAGGAGGGAGATTCATCAGCGAGAATGAACTTGCCAGCTAGCAAAGGTACTTCGCCACACACCGCTCAGATACGTTGTGCCGGTGCCGTAGCAAAGGTCGTCGCTCCACCCTCTGCTCGGCAGCGCGGTTCTTCCGCCTTCCAATGTGCTGGGCGCACCATCGGCAATATCTAGGTACTCGATGTTGTGTTGCGCATTGGGATCGTTAGGATCCGTGCTCCTCAGACCTGCCAATTGATACCTAGCAGACATGTATGCTGGATTGGTCAAGGAGAGTAGCGTGGTCGGCCTGCGAACGGGCTCGGGAGCTGTGCCTTCCGATACGCCCGACGACGTCGGTACATCCTGTGACGATGCCGGAGTCGAGTAGGCGGCGCCTGTGGAGCTGCTTGATGAAGGCTCGGAAGCTGACCACACTGGCTCAGCTCCACCGCTCGGATTCTGAGCATCGCGGATGCCTGAGGAAGAGGCGCTCGAGCCCGTAGAGCTGAATGGCCACACCATGGCGAATGCGCTATCCGTGCCAGCAGAGCTGCGGTGTAGACAGTGCTTTCAAGAGACTCTTAAGCGTCGCGTGGCAGATGTCCGTGGGTGAAGGTCACAGAGGACGCTGATGCGTTGGAAGTCGCAGGACTTGGAGAGCTCTGGTAGGAGAAGTGCGCAAGCGAGCTGCTACAGGTCGCTCTCAAGCGTCAATGGGAGGGTTGCTTGCCCGGTGAATGAGGAGCTCCTCTTGGGCGGCCACAGTGGGAGGGAGACTTTGAATCGGACATAGTAAAGCTACGCCTGCAACTCCCAACTCGGTTGAGCTTTTCGCAGAATTTTGAGTTTTGCTGAGCCAACCGCCGCGCCAGACCCGGCGCGCCGCGAAAGCTTTTGGCGTAGGCGCTATCGTACGGGATGCGCCGGCGGTGAGCATTGCGCGCGGCGCCTCTGTATTTTTTGGAGCGCGCGTTCGTCAGTTGCTATAGCTGCGTGCGTGGGCGGTGTCGTGCGCGCGCCCTCCACCTTCTTCCATCGGCTTCGCAATCTCAGCTGACCTCTCAAGATCCAAGAAGCGCAACAAGTTACATGCGCGGTGTTCTTTCACCGCCGGCCCCCCCTCGACCATTCCTTCTTACAAGCATCAGCTGTTTACAACCAGCGCAACCCTCGCGACGGGCGCTCACTGTTTCCCAATACTCTAGCATCAATCAGTGCACCCCTCAAATCCACCACCTCGATCCAGCCTCCCTTTCCCAGGGTGCCAAGATGTCGCACGACAAACAGCAGCACGACCCTTTCTTCCGGCCCATCGGAGAGCATGTCGAAGACTCCGACTCCCCTTCGACGCAGCAGGTAGATGGACAGACCGACAGCCTGCTGCCTACAGAGCCAGGTGTTCCGACGGACGCCCAGCCTCGCATGGTAGAGGAGATCGAATCGCTGTGCATGGCTTGTCAAAAGAACGGGACGACTCGACTTTTATTAACTTACATTCCTTATTTCAAGGAGGTCATCATTTCCAGCTTCAGCTGTGATCATTGCGGCAACAGGAACAATGAGATTCAGAGCGCTGGCCAGATTCAAGGTGAGCCATCGCGATCCTTGGGCATTCATTGCGCCACTTGGGAAAGGGCGCCTCGCTCATCTTGGCCCCACGTCTTACCTTTCCGCTACTTTGACCATCGTCGATAGACAAGGGCGTGCTGTACACGGTGCACTGCACTTACGCAAAGGACCTGGACAGACAAGTCGTCAAATCGGAATTCGCTACCCTCATCATCCCGGAGCTCGAGCTGTCCATTCCGCCGCAACGAGGTCAATTGACAACCGTAGAGGGTCTGCTTTCAGACACTGTGAGGGACTTGTCGCTTGATCAGCCTGTGCGCAAGCACGTTGCGCCGGAAGCACACGATAAGATTGAGGCGATCTTGGATCGATTGAGGGGCATTTTAGCGCAAGATGCGGATGGAAACAAGCTTGCTGCAGAGGACGACGCCAGAAAGTTTGAGCCCTTCAGCTTGAGAGTGGACGACCCAAGCGGCAATTCGTTCATCGAGTTCACCGGATCAATCCGAGGCCTTGGCGCCGAGGACAACAAGTGGACAAAGAGGGATTACCCTAGGACACCGGAGCAGAACGCAACACTCGGCCTTGGTGCTCCTCCTTCTGCGCCTAAGGAGGTAGAAGGCGAGGTGGACCCAGATCAGGGCGGTGGCTTCAGCAAGGCAGATGGAGAGACGGAGTTTGAAAACGAGGAAGTGCTCGCTTTTGACGGCACGTGCTCGAGCTGCTCGGCGCCTCTGAAGACACTCATGAAGAAGGTCAACATTCCTTACTTCAAGGTGAGCGGACGCGCGCCTTTGGCTACATCCCTGCGCAGATCGTGCCCGTAGCTGACAAAGTCGAACTCCTTTATCCCACAGGACATTATAATCATGTCGACAAATTGTGACTTCTGCGGGTATAGAGACAACGAGGTCAAGTCGGGCTCGGCCATCAGCGAGAGGGGCAGGAAATTGACTTTGAAGGTGGAGGACTCGTCCGATTTGTCCCGAGACCTCCTCAAATCCGAGTCAGCTGGCTTGAGCATTCCCGAGATCGAGCTCCATTTGAACCCTGGAACTCTGGGTGGTCGGTTCACGACGTTGGAAGGCCTGCTGCAGCAAGTCTACGACGAGTTGTCGACACGCCTGATGAGGGGAGACTCGAATAGGGGAGAGTCTGGAAAGTTCGAAGACTTCCTGGGCAAACTCAAGAAAGCAATGTCTGCAGAGGTCTGTCCATTCACGGTCGTCCTGGACGACCCGTTGGCGAACAGCTACATTCAAAATCCGTATGCCCCCGATGTCGACGAGCAGGTCACTGTCGAGGATTACACCAGAACCTTTGAGCAGAACGAAGACTTGGGCCTGAACGACATGAAGCTCGAAGGCTACGAGGCAGACGACAAACTTGCGCCTCCCGGAAGTGAAAGGAGGGACAAGCCGGACGAGTTGGAGGATCAGGCACATGCGAAGCGGGCAAAGTTGGATACTTTGGCCGAAGCTGATGAGCCTCAGCACGCTGCCCCACCAGGCGTCGGCAAGGCTCTCAAGCCCCTCGACGACGACGAGATGGCTTGAGGACCCTTGCCCCGCCCCTGTACTACTCTACCTGTTACAGTGCAAGTGAATGCTCTATATTTCGCATCATGTTCAGTAATTCAAGCACTGTCACGAGGTGCTTCTGATAGCTACGCGTAGCTGGTGATTCTATTCTATGTAGCGATAGTCGTAGAAGAGGTACCGGAGCTAGTAGCATCGACACCACTAGGAGTAGGTTGATCAGGAGTGACCAATCCTGCACCACCTCTCGCCGAGGCGCTCTCCGCTGGAATAGATGTCTGCAGCAAGCTGCCTAGTCTCGGAGGTGAGCTTTTGTCTATGAACTCGCTCTTCACGGGAAGCTTGGCCGCGGCAAGCGCTAGAGCTGCAGACCAGGTTGATGAGACGATACAAGCCAAAGGAGAAAATTGTGTCAGGCCATATAGATACTAAGAAAGGGGGCCATTTTCCAACGCTGTACTCACCATCCCTAGCTAGCTCTGGTCGAATGTCGACTGGCCCTCCGATCTCGAATATCACACGTCCTACCGGGGCTCTGCAATCGACAAGGGGGACATGTCAGCTACCTTGCAATCGCCTAGTCCTCTTGATTCGGTCGACACCGATGATGCTCACCGGCAAGCCCAGAACGCAAACGCTCCCTTGCCCTTTCCCATTCTCGTTTCGTTTCCCTTGACGCAGACTGGAATGTCTGGAAATACTCGCAAATAGACCTGAGATCCCCTGAGCACCTTCAGCTTTCTCTTGAGCGCATTCTGTGCAGATCCGATCTGTTTTGCGCTTAGCCTGGCAGGCTCCAGCAGTCTGAGACCATATGACCCTTCGTTGAGCGTGGTGCCCTTGATAGACCCGCCGATGGGGACTGGGACCCGGCCCTTGTGCGCTTTGCGGTACTTTGTGCGTCGGGGTGCAAGTTGACCCTTGTATCGTACTTGAGTCGGCCCTTCGGGTCTGCGTAGCAGAGCTGCTGCAGACAGTGTAGGCCGTAAGGGCGAAGAGGTGGTGGCTCTGGCCGAAAACATCGAAGTCCGTGCAGCTCCACCAAGAGATAGCGCGCGCATAGAGGCGCCGAGACTGCCGAGAGAGGCCATCATGCCGCTGTCCCAGTACTGGTCGTCACCCGTCCTTGAATGCTCTTCCAAAAAGGCTGAGTCTGCGATGAACGTCGTATGTTGTAGAAGACGGTGTCAGTGGTGCAGCGCAGAAACGAACGGAGGGAAGGCGCTTGGAACTGAATGGCGTCGCGCAAGTACTAGGAAGCAGTGGTGGCCGTCTCAATCCGAGGGGATGAAGCCTCTTCCTTTTGCTCCAAATAGTTATCTTGTTACATATCAGCACGGAAGCAATCGTGAATGAGCGAAGGGAGACAAGGAGTGGCCTCATCAGCATCGAGTGACGCGGAGGAAGATTCTGTCATCGCACGTCACGTGTGCGCGGAGGCTGCGATGAAGCGCAGGCCGTCCGCTGGGCGGCCAATCAACAACACCGCAAGGCGAGAAGGTCAGCGCACGATGTGCTGCCATCCTCGTGCCCCCCATCGTATCCTTCAGCCTCGCCCTTTGCACCGGGCTCGCTCATCACCCTCTGTGCTAGACTCTTTGCGAGTTTTGACTGCTGGAACTGCGCACCTTTGCACTCGAATCGGAGTAAGGCTTCCCTACCCTTTGCACCATGTCTACCATGTCTGGTGCTCTTCCATCACGCCTTGCTCAGGCCTCGCGCTCTTCCGCGAACTTTGCCGAAGCTCAAGCTCGTTCGCGAGCTCTTTATCGGGACTTCTACAGATCAGCACCAGAGGTGGCAGCGCTATACGCCCTCGATGTGCCACCTTCAGTCTTGAGGGCTAAAATCAGACAGAAATTCGAGGCTCAGCAACATATCAAGGACCTCGCAGTTCTCGACGTTCTGCTTCACAAGGGAAGGGTCGAGCTTCAGGAGACGCTCAATGCATGGAAACAGATCCCGCACTTGATGAAATGGTTTAAGGAAGAGGAGGTGAGTCAGTCTCTCGAGGCAGATCAGGAAGGAGGGGACCTCGGAGCAGACGCGAGATGGTCAGCGTTGGAGTGCGATCGCTACTTTCTCGAGTCCGGCGGCGTGGTCGTCGAGCCTTCCTTCTACAACAGACTCAAACCGAACGCCTGTTCGTTGTCGCTGAGCGTCGAAATGCGCTCAACTCTCGCCGCATCGTATGAATTTGTGCTTGCGATCTTCTGGATGCTGATGGTGCTGCACCTACGCCCTGCTATTACTCGTCCCTGGCTCGTAATACTACAGGCTGCTCGTAAGTACTTGCCCGCATGTATGCTAGCGTTCACTGAGCACTCTCGGACTGACGTTGGTACCTCTCACATTGCGAATCCGCAGCCGTTCCTCAGACCTTCTTGGAACGATTCTACGCTGGAAAGGACGAAGGAGGCATCACCCCCACTGGCAAACCCATGTAGGGATCAGGCTGTGTACGGACATGACACCGGAATCAGCAACGGGCGAAGCGACCAGGTGATGTCATGGCCAGTCCACGAACAAAGGACCTTTCGCCGCTCTGATCATTCTGCCAAGGAGGGATGCGCGACACTGTGATTAGCATCGCATCACCTTGACAATCAGTAATTCATGCTACGCGGCAGGTCAAGCGTGCGTCGTGAACTGAGGAAGCGATCTGGTTGTGGGTGACTTGGGCGGGACTAGGGCATCGACGCAAATACTGCATCGGCAATCACGCGTAGGGAAGGTCACACGGACACTTGGATCACATGGGAGACATGCCATTGAAGCGTGATAGTACAGTGTGGGAACCATGAAGCTGTGGTAAAGACAAGAGAACGCCGAAGATGAGTCAAAGGCTCACTGGGTCGTTGAGAGTGCGTGCGTATGGTAAGATGAGCGTGAAGAGAGCTCGTGGATTATGGAGAAGGCACGACGTCGCTTCGTAGAATGTCTGACACGCATCGCATCCTCCGGTTGGAATGATCAAAAATCCTAGCACCGGCCAACAGCCAATTACTTGGAGGAAGAGAACTTGGTCACCGACTTGGTGCCCTCAGAGATGGCGTGCTTGGAGAGCTCTCCAGGCAGGATGAGACGAACAGCGGTCTGGATCTCGCGAGAGCTGATGGTGGACTTCTTGTTGTACTGAGCAAGCTTGGAAGCCTCGGCAGCAATGCGCTCGAAGATGTCCTGAACGAAGGAGTTGAGGACTGTGAAGCATCGGGTAGCACGGAGAGGAATCAGCTCAAGCTGTTCGATGGACCTTCGTCGATACCCTTTTGATTCGATCGATACTCACTGGCCATGGCCTTGTTCGAGATACCAGTGTCAGGGTGAACCTGCTTGAGGACACGGTAGATGTAGGTGGAGTAGGTCTCCTTTCTGACCTTGGACTTCTTCTTCTTGCCATCGGCGCTCTTGGCAGCAGACTTGCTGGCAGTGGACTTCTTGGCCGCGTCAGGGGCCTTGGCGGGAGCCTTGCCGGCTTGAGAAGAGGGTGCCTTTCCGGCGGTGGATGCGGGCTTGGGTGCCATTCTAGACGAAGGAAAGCAAAACTCGGTCAGCGATGAGCGCGGTGTAGGCGATGGATGACGTTGAAGACTGGACTCACTTGAGAGATTCGCAGAGTGTTGAGAAGACGAGGCTGTGTGTATTGTTACGAGCTTACGCTGCAGAGATTGGTATGATCGTGGTTGGGGGAGGAAGGAGATGCGAAGTAACATCGCGTCTTGCGTTCTCCTTATGAGTCGCGACGCGCTTCCTCTAGCTCGAGCCGCACGGACACACACGCCGCGAAGCGAAATGCGCGATCAGCCCTGCAATGACCTGCATGCAAAGGGAAAGGCGATCTTGTGGCCTCACGTCGCGCACCGGGTCAGGTGTTACGTTTCTGCTGAGCTTCACTCCGCGGCAACCGCGCGAGACGTGGCGCGCGCAGACTGTTGTTGACATCCGGACGGAATTAAAGACTACTACGTCAAAAATGGGACAGTGCGTCTGTAGTCTGAGCATGAACCGCAAAGCGCGCGTCGCGCGTGGCGGACAGCATTTTTGTTTAGTATGCTTTTAATGTTGTCCGCCCGCCACGAACGCGTTCCGCCCATGCAAGCCCACCAGACATGCGGTGCTACGTTTTTGTCGGGCGCAGGAGCAGTGTGCGCAAACGCGCCACGTCGTGTGTGCGCGATGTGCTGCAGGTTGCTCGACGCGGTTGCGTGTGTCCTCACGTCTTGCTTTCGGGCAGGGCATCTTCCTGGCCCGAGCACAGGACACGATTCGCACTGCCTTCATAAAGAAGCACATCAGGTGGACCATTCGCCTCACCCCTTCTCTCTTGATCCTCAACACAGACCTCGCAATTTGCTTCAGCTATCAGCTTCAACACAACCCACCACACTCACAACCCCCACCCAACTCAATCTCTCAAGATGTCGTGAGTGTCGCTTTGTCGGCGTGGTTCTCGTTGGGCACAGGCAATGTTCGTCGGACTAGCTGCTAACCGCGCGATTTGCTTGCTTCGTTCCAGTTCTGGCGGAAAGTCTGGCGGCAAGACCGGCTCTGACTCCAAGTCTCAATCCCGCTCGGCCAAGGCCGGCCTTCAGTTCCCTGTCGGTCGTATCCACCGTCTCTTGCGTAAGGGCAACTACGCTCAGCGTGTTGGTGCTGGTGCCCCAGGTGAGTCGCATTCACACAGCTCGGCGAACCTTGTGCGATGTGCTGACGCGTCCATTGTCTGTCTTTGATCTATCAGTCTACCTCGCTGCCGTCCTCGAGTACCTGGCAGCTGAGATTCTCGAGCTCGCTGGTAACGCCGCTCGTGACAACAAGAAGTCTCGTATCATTCCTCGTCACCTTCAGCTCGCCATCCGCAACGATGAAGAGCTCAACAAGCTTCTCGGAGGCGTGACCCTCTCGCAAGGTGGTGTCCTTCCTCACATCGCTGCCGAGCTCCTGCCTTCCAAGACCAAGAAGGGTGGCAAGGCTGCTGCCAGCCAAGACTAAGCTGCTCGTATCGAGAGCTTCTAATCAAGCTTATCACAGCTTGCACTCCCAAGTCGTCATTGCAGCAACAAGTCGTGCTTGATTCACATACATTGCACGCAACTACATCCAGGCATCAGGCCTTTCACCCTTTGACCTTCGTCAAAGCTTTACGCACCAACCACCATGTGCTTCTATTCTTTAGCTACCCAGCCTCGCTGATCTTCCCACTCGTGTACAACATCCAAGGCATATTTGGTTCTACCGCGACTCGGTGCTTGAAGAGTGACAAGTGTGATGCTGGCGTTGCGATTCTGCGCGAGCGACTCGACGCGTGTATTGCCCGTAGCGGATCATTTCGGTGGTGTGGCCAAATCCCTGTTTGGAGTGCAGCTGGCTGCTCGATGGCTGTCGCGATTCTACTCTTCCCTCGGATGGGAACTTCGTTACACGTCAAGTGATGAGCAGGGCTCCGTCAGACCTCGGATGCAGCGACGTTTGTCCAGGTCGCTAAAGGCACGTTGGGTTGACACGGGCAAGCGTCGAGTCTTGCAAAGCGAACGACCAAGTGACGTGCATCGAGCGACCGTCGCCCTGGGACGTAGCGAGTATAGCAGCACTAGTAGCAAGCAGCGGATGGTCATGCAACCGGCTACTGCTCGCTTTGTAGCACCGCCAGGGCAGCGTTGAGGCTCTCGATTTTCGACTCGTTCGCAGCCTGCGCGTTCGCAACTTGGCGATGTAGCTTGTCGGTCACGGAAGAGGATTCGCCGGCGCCTGAAGCGCCGCCCAAGTAGAGAGCACCTGCTAGCGCGATGCTTTGCTCGTACTCTGAGATGAGTTTGTGGTGTGATTCATCCTGGCCTACAACCTTTGTCAGGTCTGTAGGTGCATTTGCTACTGTTGCTTGGCTGGTTGCGTTGTGGTCTCGAGCTCCTAGCGCGAGTAATTGGTCCGGAGCGTTGTTGGCCTCGCTACATATCGTTCGAGGGGACAGTGGCCTCGGAGTGTTTCTGCCCTTTTCGCTCATTCCGGGACTTCCTGGGGAGGGAGGCGGGCTTTACTGCACTGTGCTGCGCTCGTGTGATCTTACGCATGCAGTGGAGACGCCAGCCAAGCTTGCGATGCTGCCTCCGACGTCGCGGAGCTGCAACAATGAGAGCGTATGGCTTAAGGCGCGACCAGGTCAAAGACAGGACAGCTGCGAAGTCTTGCTTGGCGATGTGAGGGAGTCTCGGTACGCTATCAATGTGTTGCGGTGGTGTGCAGGCGGTGGAGGACGGGTCGATGAGGGCATCCGGGGGCTTGCTGATGTGCATGCGGGGACCAGCTGCATCTGGCTGCACACGCGTGGCCAGCACACGTGACTGGCAGTCTGCTCACCATCGTAAAGCTCGAGCAGCTCAAGACTCGTGGCTTCGATCAGAATTGGGGATCCTCCATCACAGCTTGGTCGCTGACAAAGCTCTCATTGATGCTTTTTTCTGCGCATTTTTTATCGAAATGCGTCGGCTTTCATGCTTGCGTCGCGGGTGTAGATGCCATTTTTTAATGCGGGAAGAGACCGTGCCACCGCGGTGTCGTGGTCAGTCGACCGTCGTAGCTCACTGAAGCACAATGGCCGTGCCGACTTCCAGCCTTGCACTGCTTGATGCTTTCTGCACCACGCATCGATCATAAGAAATGCAGAATTGGCTGTTTCCCATACGGTCTCCTACATCAGTGGCGCAGGACAAGGTTTCTGAGTCTTGAACCAACCATTGCATGTAAGGTAAGCCCGGAAACCACGATATTTATGAAAAAACGTTCTGGCGCCAACAAAGAGCGACCGACCGAGGTGCCCAGGCTTCCGCATAAGCAATTAAGAACCGACAGTCATGAGTGTCTAGTCTTGCGTTCTCAGCAGAGCGACATGATGCTAGAGTCTCGAGCTTGTGAGCTTGGTCTCTCGACAAAAGCTGACTGATGGTATTTGCCAACAGTCGCGATGACGAGTGCACGTGACATGACGTACATCTTCCCACCGGCTCTCCGCGCCTTCTTGCCTTGCGCGTCGAGCGTTCTCGATCACGATTGCCGAGCTTGCATGGGGTCGAATTTGAATCCCGTTCCATCCGTGATTCTTGCTTCGGGAGCCGCTGCACACCGGATGCCTGATAACAGCAGGCCAGCAAGTCTGCTCATTCGTGATAAGTGGCGTGTCATGATGATGCTCCCATCGACACTCGTGACTCGCGTGACTTGGAAGGCTCACGGCTGTGTGCTGCATATGACGATGAGCCAGCCTCATTAACCGCAAGGCGCCGTCCACTTTCATGCAGGCTCACGACTGGGGGTTTCCGCGGAAAAGTAACACAGGGTCTGCAGAAGGGGGCCGAGCCCGCGGAAGATGCCATGCACCTGATGCCCAAACCCATGCACAAAGGGCGAATCCAGTTGGTACTGGATTGAAACTGGATTTGCTACGCTGGGCTGTCAAGCATCATGATCAGGCCGCGCTGCTGGCGAGTACTCTTGACTCTTGACTCTGACTCTTGCTGAATCAGGCACATGCACGGTCTGCTGATGATTATCTGCGTGCTCGACGTTGCTTGCCACGGGTGGTTCTGACTCTGACCCGTGCATGCTGCTGGATGCATGGAGAGCAAGGTCACAAGTCGCGTGGGCGCACCTGTTCTGAGAATGAAAAGGTATGCAGGCACGAGGAGGAGAGGTGGGGAAATTGAATTTGGAAGCCTTCGGCCGCGGTGTGGTGAAACAGTAGTGTGTGATTCTGATGAATGCTTGCATGGTACAGTAGCTGCTGCTTGCAATCTGAAATGATCCTCAAGAGTCACGAGAGGGGGAAGGTTCGCGGTCTCTCTGCTGTCTAGATTTGCCTGGATCGAGCTTTATGCGAACGATCGATAGCTTCGGGCATCAAAGCGCTAGCTTGCCTACGCCTGCAGCTGCTGGAAGACACCACCCCTGGTGACTGGAAGACAAACCTCGTTTTGCGCGCGCCCTGCGAGCTCACGCAGCGATAACCTCAGGATGGAGACAAAGAGGAGTCGACGCAGGAGTGGACCGTTATTTGACTCATAAAAAAGGGACGTGATACCGTGACGACTCGATCGCGATCGAGAGGGAGCAGAAAACTTGCGCGAGGCTGTGCTCGATGCTCGCGCTATGGACACACGTCATTCGTGATCCCTGTTACCGTAATCGCGAAGTCGTGAGTCAAGAGTGTAGAGCAGTCGTGGGTTGATCGTTAGTGATCGAGTTTGACTGCACTTGTGCCTTACGACTCGTGACTGACAGCTGGGACAGGCGTGCCCAGCGTTCTCGTCGGCAGAGCTCAGCACGAAACATGATCCATGCTGGAAATTGACATCCATCATTCGGCTGAGCTCGTCCGGCGCACTTGTACATCGCCGACATCAGCAGCAGCACACAGGTCACGATCCTGAATGCGTGGGCGCCGCTGCGTGACGCTATTTTCGCATCCAAACAGACTGCTCTGCTGCTGGCGCATCATTCAGCGCGGCGGACCCTCGCGGGTATACTCGCCGTGCTTAAGTGTTGTGGCGCCGTGCCAAGCCCCATCGATGCTGTGGAGAGGTGCGTGACATGCGCGGATTTCAGCCAGGACGACGATGCTGCAGCAGCTGCTGCGTGCGTGCAGCTGCACGACCACGGGCCGCGTCTCGCGGACGGCATAGATCATCTATACGCGTATAGCTCGCTGCTTCTTGGTACTTGCATGGTGCCTACAACCGCCGCCTCACCAGTTGTGATCATCTCTCACGGCCTGATACGAATCGGTGGTACGCTCACCATCGGATTGGCGACCCGGAGCCAATAGTCACGTCGATCTCCCGGACCGATTCCTGCTGATGCACGCGCGCTTGACAGGGCGAGAGGCAGCTTTGCTGATGCATGCGCGAATCGTGAATGCGTGGATGGTATGCCGCACAGCATATGCAATCGTAGCCTTGCTGATGCAACCAGCAGAGCACCGCCCGCAAATGCTTAGAGAGCGCTAGAGCCTGCATGATGGGCGGCTATACTCACGCGGCTGCTGCACCGACGAGTTGACGTTCAAAGGGCCGGGCACACTCACGACTTCTAGCTGCTGCTAAGCCAGGCCGATGTGCCGCGCCGTTGTAGACCAGGCACACGCGCGAGCCATGCGCGCAGCAGGGGTTCGGCGCTCGCGCGCGGTCGCCATCGTGAAATCATCATCAGCTGCATGGCCACGCAGACATGCACGCCTTAGCTGGTGCCCAACTTCACGAGAGTGCACACTTTGCACAAGACGTTCGACTTTCCCAAATTTGGCTTTTGACGGAAGGTGGGAGGAGCGGGTTCGAGCAGACAATCATCAATAGGCAATGAGCATATTCCTCGTCAGCCTCACCAGCTGGCGCAGCTTTGTACTTTCAACTCACCATTCATTCCAGTCTGCGCTGATCACGCACACTGCATTCATCGCTCAGCTCGATCGCACCCGTCTCGCCGAAAGTCACGCACGTTGGCGGCCAAATCGACACTCTGCCCTCCAAACAGTCACGAAGTTTTTGACACCGATTACGACTCCCTCATTCTTAGCGCTCACGACACTTGGCTGGGAGCGGACCTCCACACCATAGCACCACCAAGCCGGGCACCTGTCCGTGTCCTTTCGCACATTCTTCTCAACCGTCTTTGCAGCGCTAAAGTTGCCTCCTCCGCACTGCTAGTGACGGGCTAAAGCGGCAGCCACCATGGCTCGCCTCTTTTCTCGTCGCACCCAGTCGGTACTCCTCACTCTCTTGGCTCTGTTTCTGCTCGGGACAGTGATAGTGCTAAGTGCTGTGCGAGCATACTTCAGCATCGATCAGAGCGCGTACATTGAAGCTGAGGAGCTTGGCACTTGGGACGAGATAAGATGGGGCAGCGCTACGGATGATCTGCCGCTAGGCTGGGCTGCCAGGTATCCTTGGCTCGCCAAGATGCTCTCCAGCTCTTCTAGGTCTTCCGAGGGAGCTTTCCCACATTCGGGCCCGGCCCAAGAAGGCCCACACGCTGCGTCACCCATGACTGGCTCTCGTGACCCCTCACTGGATGCCCTCGAGAAGGATCCATCTGCACCCGCCTTTGACAACACACCCAAACCATGGTCACCCACGTCACCTAAAGAGAAGATTCCCCGGATCATCCATCAGACCTGGAAAGACTCGACCTTGCCTGGGAAGTGGCAGGCGGTTCGCGAAGAATGTCAAGCAATGCATCCAGACTAGTGAGTGTTCTCTCTCGCGGCCTTGTCCCAACTCTGCTCAAGAGGCAGCAGTACTCACCGCTAGCTCTTTACAATCACTCTCGCTCCCAGCGAGTACATGCTGTGGACGGATGCTGACAGCCGGAAGTTCTTAGTCGAACACTACTCCTGGTTCGTCCCAATTTTCGACGCGTACCCGTACGCTATCCAGCGCGCGGATGCCATCCGTTACTTCGTGCTTCACAAGTATGGTGGCATATATATGGACCTCGACGTTGGCTGTCTTCGCCGCTTTGATCCGCTCCTCCGCTTTGAAGTCGTCTTACCAAAGACGATTCCAGTGGGCGTATCCAACGACATCATGCTGTCCGCAAAGGGTCACCCCTTCATGGATCAGCTGATCCACAATCTCGTCACTTTCAACCATCGCTACCTGACCAACTATCCGACAGTCATGTTCAGCACTGGCCCGATGTTCGTTAGCGCATCGTATCGCATCTATGTCGACGCTCATGGTCCTGCTATCCCGAGCTCGCCGAGCAAACCGGCCGCAGGGTTCGAGGGTGTCCGAGTGTTGCCCAAATCGTTGTACGGAAAGAACGCCAAGCCCGGAGAGGCACCCAACGCGTTCTTCAAGCACTTCTATGGGTCCAGTTGGCATGCCAACGATGCAGGCTTCCTCATCCTGCTGCGAGACTACGGGAAAGGCTTGATGCTAATTGGTGCCATCGTCGTCGCCTATGGATTTGCCAAGACGCTTTTGCCCCGTCTCTTGCATTCGCTTGGTCGCAGATCGGCGCTATCTAGTGCCGACAGGCGGAGACGTCGAGGTAGCGCGAACAATGGTGGTGGGGCGGCACCGTCGTCTAGCGCAGGTCGCTGGATCAGCCTTCCTATCCGTGCTGCAGACGCTCGCAGTTCGCGTCGGGCGCACAGCGCAGCGTACGGCAGGCTCCCGGATGCCGACAATAGCGATCCTCTGGACCCTCGTAGTGCGCACAATAGTCTCACTCGCGTTGCCGCGCCACGGCCACAGAGGTACAGCTTGCCAATGTTTGACCTGGCCGATGGCGACGGAGAGGCGGACACGTCAGAGGCAGGGAGTGGAGGGGCATACGCTGACGAAGAAACCAATTCGGACCTGTCACTTGACAGTGGCCGGCATCCGGCAGCGCAAGGTCTGTTGTCCTGGGTCGGCAGCGGCTTCGCCCGCCCACCCACCGCGAGCAGCGAGGCGGAAGAGCGCCAAGTCGCTGCTGATGGTAGTCACTTGGTCAGGTCAGGCACGGCCAGCAAGGACGAGAGGACTAAACCGAGGAAAGGCTCGTCCAGCGGAGGTGGCACTCTGTACTTGCCGGCGTTCTTCGTCGGCGGCAGCTCATCGACTTCGAGCGAGAGGGCGCGAGCCTCTCCCACAGAGACGGCTGGATGGGCAAGCGGAGCGCGAACGCGCATGGGCTCAGACGAGTCCGCTATGGGCCACTCGAGGGGAAGCAGTCTCGGCACCTGGGCAGCTGGACTGCTTCCACCAAATTGGCGCGCGGCTTCGCCAAGTGCGCTCGCAACGGTGAATCAATGGCTAGGCCGCACACCGTCTCCTGCACTCGCCGAGGACGTCGAACGGATAGGCAGCGGGAGAGCTGGCGCGAGCTTTCCAATGACAAATTCACAGCCTTCAGGCTCTGGACGCTACACCTCGACGTGGAGCGAGGGGGCAGAATCGAATGCTGGCGTAAAGGAAGGAAGACGTGCCTTGCGGCCTGACACATCGCACGATACCTCTGCCCAACGGCACGTTCCAGCAATCGCCTTGGACATGGACAGTCCTCCGCCGCCTTACATCGATGCCAGTGGCACCTCGAATTCGCGCGCGCGGCACGAGCAAGGCACATCCGTCACGCCCTCCTTGGGCGAATCCAGTGCGAGTGCGGCTAGTCCGAGCCCATCTGTCTCTAGACCAGGTTTAACGAAACGGCCTAGTAGAGGATCTCTACGGGAAACAGCACCAGGCGACGCCGCGCCCCCATCCGCAGCAGTATCTGCGGCAGAAATCGGCGCCAGGAGTGAGACGCCTCCGGTGGCCCTGGTTCCACCGCCGACAGACGCCGCAGACGTAAATCTCTCCTCCGAACGCACGAGACTGTCCTCTGACTCTGCGACAAGACCTGTGCGGTAGAGAATAGCTATACTGCAGCGGTTCCCGATGACGTCGACGTCCTCGCTGAGCGCTAGGGTGCTCGAGTCCCTGCAGGATGTTTTCGTTTGTGCCATCTCTGCTGCTATCTTGCCCGGCCTCGCTCTGTAAATATTGCCGCGCTCTGCGCGTCGACTGGCCGATTGCAATGACACTTTCATCCCACGCGACAGTGGTCTCAACGCGCGTCTGAGCTGATTCGCTGTGCGACGCTCACCCCTCTTCGACTGACGGCGCCTCCTATAGCGCGCATGAATGCCGTGGGCTACTGACACAGTTCACTCGCCCCTTGCTAGCATCTGGAGCCGAAGCTCGTTGAGCATGTGGAATTTGTAGCAGCATTGCATGACTTCCTCGATCGACGCGATGCGGAGTTGTCCAAGTCTGAGGCTAGACAGCATGCGAACGCAGTCGATCAAAACGTCGAAGCATGTATCGACCAAGCGAACGAAGGGACTTGCAAGCAGGGCTGAAGCCTGATAATGCAATTTGCATTCACAATGGTTGTCATCTTCTCACACAGAGGCCAGTGATGGTCGCTTGCGACGGCAACGGGTAGACACCGCGATCATCCACCTCATCAGCAGCAGACATCCACCTGTCCATACATTTACCGCGCGACTCAGACTGTGGATTGGCCGCTCGAATCTTTGATGCTCGTCCAATCCAAAAAAAGTGTCTGGGATCAGCGGAAATGGAGCAACGGTCTCACTGCCTTTTGACTTGCAAAAGTGCGGTGTGCCTCGACTTTGGCTGTGACTGATGGCGTGCTGGTCGGTCTTGCGTGGAGTGAAGACGCACAAGAGCCAAAAGTTGATCATGAACCGTGCACCGAGTGGTATCACGTGAAGCTTGCCCAGCAGGGGCTACGCGCCCAGGACCGCAGCGAAGGCGCGCTATGCGGCGCCGATCAAAATTTGAATCCAACATGCATCTCAACCACGTGGCTCTCGACGAGGAGCTCGCACACGAACTTCGCGGTCTCCAGTCTTGAATTCGACTTGTTAGACTGCAACGCTCGGCGCTGGCTAGTCCGCTCTACCAGACACCACACTCTCCTGAAGACTCCCTCAAGATGTCGCACTGCAAGGTTGGTTCCTAGCTCCTTCTATACTCGTCATCATTGAGCTGACGTTCCATTGCGCTTCTCCATGCGCTTTCTCCCTCGATTTTGCTTAGTTCGAGCATCCACGTCGTGAGTAGCGTGCGGACACGTCCAGCCTAGGACACCAGCCGCTTACACTACCCCTTTCACTGCCATCAGACGGTCACTTGGGCTTCTTGCCCCGCAAGCGCGCTGCGCGCCACCGCGGAAAGGTCAAGAGGTGAGCTTTCGGTTGCGGGACGATACCATGGCGCGTGGAGCAAGGGGCAGTCGCAGGAAGGATCATTGGTGCAGAAGGTTTCGAGGTTGCCGCGTACAAGGGACCCGGCGCTGGAAATCTCTGAGCGAGCGCTAAAGTCAGTTCTCTCGCCTGCGTTCAGCTTCCCCAAGGATGACCCCAAGAAGCCTGTGCACCTCACTGCTATGCTCGGCTACAAGGCTGGCATGACCCACGTCGTTCGCGACTTGGACCGACCTGGATCCAAGATGCACAAGCGTGAGGTTGTGGAGGCGGTCACCCTCGTCGAGACTCCTCCCATGGTTGTTGTCGGTGTCGTTGGCTACGTCGAGACTCCTCGTGGTCTGCGCAGCTTGACGACTGTCTGGGCAGAGCACCTCTCGGACGAGCTCAAGCGTCGATTCTACAAGAACTGGTACCGCAGCAAGAAGAAGGCTTTCACCAAGTACGCTCAGAAGCACTCTCAAGGCAACGGCGCTCCCATTGCTCGCGAGCTCGAGCGCATCCGCAAGTACTGCACTGTCGTCCGCGTGCTCGCCCACACCCAAATCCGCAAGACGAGCATCAAGCAGAAGAAGGCGCACCTGATGGAAATCCAAGTTAACGGTGGCTCTGTCGGCGACAAGGTCGACTTTGCGAAGGGCATGTTTGAGAAGACATTTGACGTCAAGAGCGTCTTTGAGCCCAACGAGAACATCGATGTCGTTGCTGTCACCAAGGGTCACGGTTACGAGGGTGTTACGAGTCGTTGGGGAACCAAGCGTCTGCCGCGCAAGACCCACAGAGTGAGTTCACACAGCCCTCTTCGACTTGGCTTTGTGTCATGCGAGAGCTGTAGCTGACTTGGTGCGCACGTCGACGTCTTTTCAGGGTCTCCGCAAGGTCGCTTGTATCGGTGCCTGGCACCCTAGCTCCGTCTTCTACACTGTCGCTCGTTCCGGTCAGGATGGTTACCACCACCGTACTGAGCTCAACAAGAAGGTGTACAGCATCATCAATGGCGCTGACCCCAAGTCTGGTAGCACCGACTTCGACCGCACAGAGAAGTCCATCAACCCTCTCGGCGGCTGGGGACACTACGGCATCATCAAGAACGATGCTCTTATCCTCAAGGGTACCACTCCCGGTGTCGTCAAGCGTGTCGTCGCTCTCCGAAAGTCTCTCCAGGTGCACACTTCTCGTCGTGACCTCGAGAACATTTCCCTCAAGTGGATCTCCACCAGCTCCACCCACGGTCACGGTATTTTCCAGACCCGAGAGGAGCGCCGTGCCTTCGAGGGCGCCCGCAAAATCAAGGTCTTGCCCAACGCCTGAGTGGCATGACGCTTCTATGCATGTCCACATCTACACGCCCACCATGTACTTTTGTCACATCACGCAAAAGGCAATCTCATGTTGCCCACCAGATGGCCCTTGTGTCCGACGTGTTTGCGTCTCATGAAATCGTTCACTCGATGCGACGTTGCTACGGGGTACAAAAGGACAAACCTTCTTGATTCCCTGACAAAGGGTTTGGAAGTCAGCTTTCGGAGCGACGTCGCCGCGGGCCACGCAAGTGACAAAGGTCCTTGGGTGGCTTTCCAACATAGCGCTGCTCAGGTGTTTCAACCTAACCACAAAGGGAGGGCTGTATACAGTTGCTATTCGGGCCGTGTGCGGCATGCACCGGCCATCCGTCTTCTGAGAGCCGGGCTTTGACTCGATCGAAGCGCTTCGACTGCACTCTCTGGCTGGCAGACTGATGTGTACTGTCAGTCAGTCCTTGCTGTCCGCATCGAGAACAGTGCGCCCTGGTTACATTCGCCACAAGAGTACGTGTACGTGTGTTTCGAATGCATTCGACCGGACAACAAACGGACAACGAACGGACTACAAGCGCTCTAGACAGTGTTGTGGAGCAATGCTCCGAGACCGCAGCCTCGAAGTTTACTCCCAGAGCACGTCATCGTTGGTGCCGAGTGAAGGTCTGTGAGTGCAGGCACGGACTGCTCTCACGCCTTTCAGGTCTGTTGCGGAGTCAGCGGAGCGCAATCCGTGTAAAGGATGGTCGGAGCGGACACTTCGTCGCCACGTTTCGGAGATATCCAACGCCCGAAGCACATTCCTTGTCCTCGATCGAAGTGATGGTAGAGTTGAGGCTTCGAGCCAATTTCTAGCTGATCTTGAACCAATATCCAACTCACGCGAGTGCTGCTACGTCAATGACGAATGTGGACGGGCAGCAACGGTGACAAAGGGCTACAGCAGCGCCGCGGGGCCTTGATGCGCATGTCGTCATGCTTGCTGACGAGAGCGGATCTGAGATAGGCGTGCATCGCGAGTGTATCGTAACGCAACAACAGGGTCGGCCTGGCTATAGGCCGTATAGCTCCAATCGTGGCGCAAGCATGAAGGACCAGCACAGTCGTGAGTAGCTCTTATTATGACGATCGAATCCATGGCTCACAAAGGGGAGTGAAACCCTAGCTCACTATATATGTCTGACCGCCTTTGTTTGCCTCGTCGCTCGTGGCTATATAAGATGATTCACCGCGGGCTTCGTCAGCAGCCCAACGATGCCCCACCTTTCGCGCAAAGTGAAACACGTCGCGCCGATGCTCCATATATCTGCTGCAGTTGGGCTGCTGCTGCTGCTGCTGCTATCTATCTCACGAATCTCACGACCATTATGGCGCGTCGTCATGCGCGGTCGTGCTGCGTGTCCGCTAGTCCGAGCGCTCCCTCACATCCATCCACGCAATCCGTCGAGAGCTCCCTGCATAGCTCCTTTCATCCATCCCACCAATCCATGTTTCAGGCGCTTGTTGTCCTGCCTCGATGATCAAGCGCCAGCAGTCAAGCCCTGCTGGACGCAAGATGCTGGAAGAAAGACTCGACTTGGGCAGACCAGCCTAGCCAGAAAGAATCAAGATCGGGAAAGAAGCTCGAGTCGGGCTGCGCATATACCTCTTATTCACGATGTGACCCGCTGCTATTAAAGGGTAGGCACTGTCTCTCAGAACCCCGAGCCCCTGCTTCCGTCGTGCCTCTTCAGCGTTCGAGAGACGACTACCCCTATCCCCAGCCTTCCGCTCTTCGCACCTCTCGTCAAGAAGCAGACTCTTCCGATTCCATCGTCTTCTTTACACGCCTTTGCTCGTTCATGGACGACATCAACGATTCAGACTTGGACGCTCAGCGCTTGGCCAACGCCGCCGCCATCGACTCGGACACTGAATCTTTGCCTGGTCGCCAATCCATTCAAGCGTGTGTCAACGACCTTGCAACCAAGCTGGGATCGGCACAATCAGTCAAGATGCCTGTTGAGCGACAATCTGAACAAATGAACGCGCCTCCGCCTCCACGACGATCTGGGAGACTGCAAAAGCAGGCGTCTAAAACTCATAAGCAAAATCATAAGCAGGCGGCACAAACTCATAAGCAAAATCATAAGCAGTTTGGACACATCCCGGACGTAGTTGTCGGATCCTGGTGGTCGGACAGAGAGGTGAGTTGCGTGCTTTGGTCCACGGTTACGCGCAAATGTTCATACTGCGGCTTATTGAGACTGATCAATGAATTGACCCGCCTCATCTAGGAATGTTCTGAAGCTGCAGTGCACGCTCCTACTGACAATGTGATCTCTGGCAATCCTCGCAAAGGCTGCTGGTCATTGATTCTCACAACTGCACATGAAGTCGAGGAGGACGAAGGCGATACTTTCATCTTCTTCGGCAGCGAGCCGATCAAACCTACCGGAAAGAAGACTCACCACCAATCTCTCAGCCACGCCTCGATTGCGACTCTCAAGAAGAGTGTTGAAACAGCAGAACCGATCCGCGTGGTTCGCGGCTACCAAGTACAGAATTGTTTTGCGCCTCTCAAAGGCTACTCCTACTCTGGACTGTACAGTATCAAGTGGTCCACGATGCTGCGCGGACCGGCCGGCGCGGTCGTTCACTGTTTCTTTTTCGTACGATGCGAGCATCAGCCTTCTTTGCCGTCCTATGACCGGGACTCGTCGCCGTACCCCACCTTGAGCCCTCTACAAGAAGAGCATGCCGCTGATGCTGACGACGAAAATGACGACGACGACGAGTCGATTCACTCAGGCCCTGTTCGAAGCCAAGATCCGACCTACGTCGCCAATGTCCCACTACCATGGAACAGTCATGCAGGCGCTGCACTCAACACTGCGCCGGGACTCGAACCACTTCCCGACTCCACTCTCGGTCTCCCTCCTCACACCGATAGAGGCCACGACGACGATGCAGATGCGGCGGCCGTCTCTCAGCTTCTTGGGGACGAAACATCGCTTCGCGACCTCGACAACTCCATCACAGCAGCCTCATTCACTCTAAAGCGCGCCGCAGATGAGGCACTACAGCCAACCACCGGCGACGACGACAAGCAAGTTGACGATGAGGT